TTCTTCTGGAATTTGTATTTTAAGATGTTGATATTGACCCCTGCGAGGGCCCCGCTACTTCCTTGAAGAAGCTGATGGGCTCCGTATGGCTGGGCAAGTCATTTTCATTTGAGCGTTTCGGATGTTGTTTTGTGAGATACTGGTTGCTATGTGGCTGCGCCTGCGGGCCTGTGTGATTAATGGAAACAGCCTATTTTTGCACATATGTTTCCCCTGGTCCTGGACTGTGCTATCTTCATAATATCCTGTAGAAGAAAGGCCTGGCATGAATCACCTGGGTTAAACCAGGGCCGGAAATGGGCGCTGTGGACATCCCAAACCGCGCCTCCTACTCCTGACGCCATGTTTCCACCCATCTGACTGTGTCTTACCAATAGGCGGTGGCTATGAGCTTTTGACTTGCAGTGGTATGAAACCGCATTCATTGTTCCTGCGACCGGAAGAGAAGATGTGGGCTGCCAGACAAAGCGACAAATCTAACTCTAGTGTCCTGCAGCCATGGATCGGACAAAGAAACCACATGGCAGAGAAGCATGTCCCAAAGCGGCCATTTTGCGGAGATCGACAGGTTTTAGATGAGAAGCACCCAGAAGAAAGAGAGTCTCTCACCCAGAGCCTGTTGTGAGTATTTTAAAACCGCCCGCCCTCCCAGTCTTTTGCGTATAGCATGCAGTGGTAGTTAGTACTGACTGTTTGGAGTGTGCTATCTGAGCCATCCTCATACAGTACGAAGTACGCAGAAGCTCGACTGTCCCAAGCCATTGGACCTTCCTCTGTTCTTGCTCTTCGGCATAGACTGCTTGAGTCCCATACGTTGCGAATGTGCTTCTACAAACCCAACAAACCGCCCTGCACCTGCAGATTCCTCCAGCTCGTCCAACCCTGCAACCATGCTCATCTTTACCCTTCCAACAACCCAAACCCGAATCCTATCATCCAAGTTTGCGGCGCGGTCGTCCTCGCCGCGGGAGTCGGCCAGCGCCATTGCCGCCGATGCGAGTTGTTGCTGAGCAATACCCGGCCGGTCAACACTTGGATCACGTCCCAGGAAAGTCCGCAGCGAGCGATCCTCCCTGGCCTATCTTCTGTACAACAGCAGTGGACGGGCATGCTTCCGAGCATCAACAACACTACCCCTGCAACGATCGCACCATCGAGCATCTTGCCCTCCTCCTCCTCTCCTCCTCCTCCCCCTCCTCCATCATCTTCATCAATGCATCTTACGCCTAAAAAAACTCACGCCAGGCGCATCTCGGCTGGACCGAGCCCACGCGCCAAGACAGGTTCTCCACGCGCGGCGTCGATTCCCAGAAGCATTCCGTCTGGACTGATCAGGTCAGAGTCAATGTCATCTCTTCCTCCGGCTGCCTCGGCTGTTGAAGAGGCGGTGTATGCCAATCCTATTGTGGACAGCCCGAGCGTCTCTGCGAATAAACATCCCATCGATATACATATGGAAACGAAATATCTCCCAGATACGTATGACGGCGGTGCTATTTGCATGGACGACGACAAGGACGGACTAGGCACGCTCATGTCGTACGGCGATGTGAGGTTCCTGGTTGACTTGGATGGGGATGGACAGCGACTCCATGAAGCCAGCTGGGATCCAGTTGATTGCTGAGCCAGGGAAAGGGGTTTTCGGTGGTGCAGATTGAATTTCTTTCTTTTTTTTTCTATGATTGATGGGTAGATCCTCTTCGCATTGTCCCGGCGTAGCCTGGTGTTTTGCTTTTGTGTTCGTTAGGAATAGACAGATAGACAGCATCACAGAATAGATATAAAAAGAAACGTTTAGATGCATCTTTTAGCTTTCTTACTATCTTCCCCTTATCTGTCTACTGCTTCAGTATACTACAGCTTATTTTATCTTGTTTTATACACATGTCCTCCTTTCCTTTTTGGCTTATTCAGATATCCTGGATTTTGCATGCAAAGAACAAGTTCCCCTGTTTCAAATCACCTGTAGCCATAGACTGCTATTGTTTGATTTCCTTTGTGCCAAAAATAGCCCATTACCGAGTAAGGATTGAGAGCTCAACAAAAGGACTTAAAGCCAGCAACAGGGGTTCGGCTATTCCTGGAGAGAATATGGACTCGGAATGGTAGAATTATACACTCGGAGCTTTGGATGTTCAGTCGTCATGCCTTGAAATAGGCTGAACTCGGTCGAGACTGATCAGCTTGAAGGACGGGAGAAGGCTATTTGGAGAGTTATAGACAAGAAGAATAACTCAATTATATCTTTTTTAAATGAACAGAACTCTGTGGTATACAATGATACTTGTTGCTAGACAGTAGAATGTGGTATAAACACAGGTATCAAGCTATATAGGGAGGGATTCAATCATCGAATCCCTCGAACTCTTCACCCTCGGCATCCGCCGTAGAGTCATTTTTCGCTTCCGCGAGTCGAGCTTGTCGCTCACGCTCGTTCTTCTTGCGGACCTTCTCCAGCATCTTTTCTGTTTCGCGGACGCCCTGCTTCTCTTCCTCCGTCATCTTCTCCCATCGGTCCTTCTCTTTACGAACGCGTTTCTGTTCTCGTCGCTTCTCCTTCTTATCCTTGTTCTGGAGGTTGTTGCTCCATGCCACGTTCTCGGGTCGTTTCCTCTTCGCAGAGGATTCCGAGGGTTCCTTGGGCTCGGCTTGGGCGGCTTCCTCGAGCTGCTCCTTTCGACGCTTCTCGCGTTGTTTGTCCGCGTATGCGAAACTGTCCCACTCAAGGCTGACACCCAGGGTGCGATCGCCCGTGAAGTTCCTCAACTCCGGCATCTTGGGCAGCTTGAGCAGGCCCCATCCCTTACCAAGCGATTCCCAGTCAAGGTCTGCCACACGGAAGATACTGCTAGCTTGATGTTTGCTGTAGCTTCTAAGCCAGCTGACGAATGCCTTCTGGCCCTTGTCGTGGAGGGCACGGTCCGCAAGCACGGCTTTGCGCGAGAGATCCGTTGCGGCTGCGGCTTCCTCTTCCGATATCGATACTGGTTTTTCAAAGAGCGTGACCGGGGTTTTACGAACTTCAAGAAACGAAATGTAGTCTTCCTCGCGTCCGGGCTGGAGAAGGACCACGCTCAAACCTCTGCGACCTGCTCGGCCCGCACGGCCACATCTGTGGATAAAAGTTTTAGGGTCTGAAGGAGGGTCAACCTGAATAACGACATCAACAGATGGAATGTCCAAGCCGCGAGAAGCAACATCTGTGGTTAGAAGAATAGAAGAGGCGGAGTTGATGAAGCGGTTGAAGTTCTTTTGGCGTACGTTTGCCGGGTGTTTACCATGCAGCGGGATGAGAAGAAAGTCATCACCAAGAATGTGTGGCAGGATAGACGATAGATAATCGACAGCTGCGCAGGTTGATACGAAGACAATCGACTTTTGCGGTGTAGGTTCGACAACGGAAAGTATTTTCTTGATAGCAAGAAGCTTGTGCGTTGGAGGAGTGAGGAGGTATGTCATCTGCAAGCTGGTGGGAGGCGTAAGCTATGGATCAAACGCTAGATTAAAGAACCCGCATGGCTAGTTTGAGCTCACCTGGCTGGTGTTCGTTTATCTTCAGCACCAGAGCCCCCTTTGACTTTCACCACAATCTTGACAGGGTTTCGCAGACCGACTCTCACGATCTGGTCGACAGCCTCACTGACACTAGCGCTGAACAGTCCTGTCCGTCTCTGCTTTGGCAGCCGCTTCAAGATGTTTTGCAAGTCCTCCTTGAACCCAAGATCCAGCAGCCGATCCGCTTCGTCGAGAATCAACATTTCGAACGATGACTGGGGACAGTGGACATGGGGCGAGGACAGTAATTCCAACAGCCGGCCGGGCGTAGACACTAGAACATTCGGAGATCGTTTCAAGAAAGTGCTCAAGTCTTCTGCTGGCGTGGTGGAGCCCCCTAGTAGGAGCTGCGGTACCACTTTGAGGGTCGAAGAAGGGTACTTCTGGCGAGGGCCATTGTCATCTGCGGGAGGGTTGATCGCAGCGGAAGAAGGCCCATGGAATGCCAACAACGAAACAAGAACATTATAAATTTGTGACGCAAGCTCTCTACACACCGGTGGTAACTGTTAGCTTCACGGTCATCAATCGAAGTGCTTCGAGCGAATATCAACCGTACCGGGTAGGAGAGATAATAATGGCACCAACATGGTGTTTCTTCATCGGCTCTTCAAGTCTTAGAAGCTTCTCCACCACCGGGATCAGGAAAGACAGTGTCTTCCCACTTCCAGTCACGGCTTCCACCACGACGTCCTTGTGTCCCATAAACAGCGGGATCGCTGAGGCCTGGACCGGAGTCATCCGTGCGAAACCCATCGACGAGACGGCTTCAAGCACCCATTCTGAGAGCGACGGATTCACCCCGTCCCACGCTCTCGAGGAGGTGCCGGCAGGGGGCTTCGGAGCCATGGTGTAGTCCCAAACGTCTAGCAGTTGGTTCTCTGCGCCAAAACTTTTGCGATAAAAGAAAATGAAGCCCTTATCACGCGCTGATTAGATAAGGCGGTGGGCAGAGTTCTGCCGCTGCACGTGACACTATTATTTCACGGCTTCGGCGGAAGACGGCGCTGCAGGGCCAGAAAAAAATACCCGTCAACAGAAAATCTATCATTCTTAATGTCTATTGGACCGTAACAATCTGCAGAGAGACCAAAAGGAAAGCCTGATCGATCTTCCATCGCTGCAGTCCTGGCCCCATTTTCCCAGCTGCGGTGGCTATGCTTGTTTGCCCTTGAGAACTGCGACATGCGCACTGCTGCTGCCTGTGCCACTAACCACCACCACCTGATAATCAATCTATTGCGATCCCCTCCTGACGGCGGTGAAACTTGCCCAGCATTACGTCGCTAGAAGAGGGTCAGCTATATTTATTCGGCATCTTTGCCAGCAACTTCTGTTCCTTTCCTCGCCGTCCGCTGTCTGGTCTGATAGCGGCTCGTACGCTGCCGCCTTTCGCCTTCAAGATGCCTTCCGTTCAAACGCCTGTCCCCTCAACACGGGTCATATCTCCTTCGCCTACACCCTCGGAGAGGTCGGAATCTGGATATTTTGGTCCTGTCACACGCTCTGCATCGCGGCGACAGCGTCTGGATACTACGGCTGAAGAGAAAGAGGAGAGCAAGGAGAAAGAAAAGGGAGAGGAGGATGGTTCGGATTCCGCTGGCTCTGGGAAACGGTCTCGAACCAGATCGCGCAGTCCTGTTACTGGTATCAGTCCGGGCTCTGCCTCTTCGCGACGACGAAGAACCCATCCTAAGATTCCGTTGGATAAACCCAAGCCAGTGTCCAACGGCTTCCTCTCCCCGAACGGCTATCTATCCCCGACTACCGGCCTTGCCAACAGTTGGCGGGATTTCTCGCGGTCTCCATCACCGTTAGGCCTGATCCCATTACATTCCCGCTACCGAAGTTTCATTCACCGCCATGAGATCCCGCGCAAGCTCTTACATGTCTCGATTGGCTTTCTGACCTTGCACTTGTATAGCCGAGGAATTCAGACCCATCAGATCACCCCCTGGCTCTTTTCCGCTCTTGTCCCCATAGCTGCGGTCGATGTCGTACGACATCAGTTCGACAAGGTCAACAAGCTCTACATTCGCTGTGTTGGCGCGCTTATGCGCGAGACGGAAGTAACCGGATACAATGGCGTGATATGGTATCTGCTCGGCGCGTACATTGTTCTGCGCTTCTTCCCCAAGGATGTGGGCGTTATGGGCGTTTTGCTTCTGAGCTGGTGCGATACCGCGGCATCCACCTTTGGCCGTCTCTATGGCCGCTACACCATCCGTCTGCGCAAAGGAAAAAGCTTGGCCGGAACCCTTGCTGCCTGGGCTGTGGGCGTGATCACCGCTGCGGCGTTCTGGGGCTACTTCGTCCCTCATATTGGCTCGTTCCCAAACGATCCCGAAAACGCCTTCATGTTCACTGGCCGATTGAACCTTCTACCTGACTGCGTGAAGGGGTTGATTGGGTGGTCTCCCGAGTCCGACACTCCCACCACTAGTGTCATCAGTGGACCCTTGGCGCTCGGCGTCATGAGCGTGGTCTCCGGTATTGTTGCTGCCGGCAGCGAATTCATCGATCTCTTTGGCTGGGATGACAACTTCACAATTCCCGTGTTGAGTGGGATAGGCCTCTGGGGATTCCTGAAGGTCTTCGGCTGACCGGTTGTGTCCCCCCCCCCCCCCCTCCGATCCTTCTTGTTACGAATCTTATTGCGTTGGGCGCCTGATTTTTTCCGAATTTCCTGCATTCGAATAATATCCATCCTTCTATTATATTACCCCATACTGGAGACTCATGCCTCCATTACCGTGACATAGACTTAAAGCTTGCTTGCCATGATATCAACATCTACTACATATGTCCATCTCCCCTTTTTACATTTTCCACTTTGGGGGTTGCTCCTTTTTTTGACCTACCTTGTACAGCTTGTCAATTACCTACCCTATGACCTGCCTTGATCAGCCCATTTGCACTATTACATTGCTCTACCCATTGGTTTTTCTTATTATATCTAATCCATTTATTTATGGCAACCATTCACATAAACCAATAGAGAGATCAAAATGATACTGGAAATCATGGAATGTTCTCAATTTTCTAATTGTAGCATCCCGGAATGAGTCTGCTGAGAAATATAAATATGTACCGAAACCATCGGAGACCTGCTTCCGACGCAAATCTCATGCTAAATAATAGTTCAAAAGAGCTCCCAAACATTTGTGCCGTGTAAAGTATTCGTGTACATCGTGAAGATTAGCTGGCCTGTCGTCTCCGCTATATCATGGCCGAAGAAGAAAGGTAAGCTAGCTCAGATCTAGGATGCTGACGCGTGGTATTCTTTTTTTCTTCCGCTTCTCTTGAGGGCTGTTTTCAGTCTTCACGTCATCGTCATCGTCATCTTCACTGTTGACTTGGCTAGGTTTATTGTCCTTCGCTTTGTCGACGGCCCAAAAGCCAGAGGATGTGATAACACAGTCGACATGTACGGCAGAGGACGATCGTTGAACTGCGGCCGTGTCTCCATCTTTTGGTTTCTTCGTGTTCTCGGATATAATGTGGTCTGGCTTTTGGAGCTGTGCATCCTCTTTTCTCGGAACGCTTGGTTCCAGTCCCCTTGACTTGCTTTGGGTTGACTTCTCTATCTTCGGAGGTGAGTCGAGAGAAATTGAGCCTAGCAGATCTTCAAGCGATGGGAGAGTTTCCTCTCCGGCGGCTGGAAATGTTGAAGCTGCCTTTTTCTTTGTTCGTCCTCCAGGTTTGGGCTTGGGCTCAGAGGCTAAGGCCTTCTTGAGAGCCCGAGGCTTCGATAAAGATAATGGCCCAAAAGAACAGGTTTTCTCTTCCGCCTGATTACGCAAACCATCCCCTAGGTTTATTATTGATAAGGATTCCATCTGTGAACCAAGATTCTCGATTGTCAAAGACTCATCAAGTTCATAGTCACGTTGAGCAGTGCGGTTTAATCTTTTCCGATGACCTTTCTTAGTAGGAGAGCCCAGATGAACGCTGTGCTGTTCATCGACACTCTGCACTGTTGATGTTGAACCGTAATACTCAAGATTGGAGTAGCTCACCCTTATACCACTTGGAGAAGCTCGTGGTGACTCAACGACAGAGATCGCTACTGCCTCCACCTCACCATCGTCAAAGCGGCGAGAATGAATTCCTCGAGCAAAACTATTCATTTGTTGGTGTTTAGCGGCCAGTTCTCTGGCCCTGCTGTGCGATGGAGAGAACCGTTCGACGAAGTCATCAAGGCCTTGATTCCGGAAGTCAGAAAACCCCTCTTTGGAAACCAGATTTTGCACCATCATTGACCCGAAAGGCGAGTTAGGTGACTTCAAATTGTCTTTCTTGCTAGAATAGCTGTTTCTAGATGCGGGTGAAGCAGCTGCCTGGAGGAGCTGGGCCTGTTTGGCAGGAGACATCTCAGGTTTTTGTTTAGACAAAGTGCCGTATTTCAAGATGCTTCCGGATTTCATGCCTGAATCAATCGGTCCCTTTTTCCTGGGTGCAGACTTGCGAGCAGGCGCTTTTTTCGCAGTGGCTGATTTCCCGGCTTTCCCGGCTTTCTCAGCCTGTTCTCTCTTCCATTTTTCGACCACTTCAGGGATTCCCATTGCGGCTATCGTTTCGAATACCCACACCTTTTCAGGAGCACAAGGATCGTACCGTCTCGTAACACGAATTTTAGATATAGATGGTGTTACAGGTCCTGTGGTCTGATCTTGTTCGTCTTCTTCGTCTGCGGATTCAACCGATTCTGGTAATGGGGTTTGTGGGTTTGCTTCTTCGCTCATCAGATCAATCCCCACCACATCGATAGGAATCATGTCCACTTGCAACTCAGTTTGGCCGTCTGTGCTAAAGCTCGTGCGGCTTCTGTAGATTTTCTGCAAGATGGGTGTATCGAGTTCCGAGAGCAACGGTGCGCCAAAGGCTAGAACCGGCCGCTGAAGGCGAAGTCGATATGAGACCAGAGGATCAGCAAGCAATTTAATGATTTTTCTTGCCCCCGAACGATAGTTCCACTCGAAGTACTCCGCAGTAAATCGTCTGATCTCCAGAGCATCGATTTCCTGATCCCACGCACTTTGCAAACGCAGTTCCAAGGCCTTGGCCTCTTCTTCTGTTGATACCACAGGATTGGCATAGTAGGATAGAATGGTTCTGTCTGGAAAGGCCTCCGGGATACGAACGGCCTTATGCTTCGTTTGGAAATACCCGCTTTCGTTCTCGTCCAATTCGTATTGAAGTCTCTCCCTCCAATCAGCCAAGTTAGACTCCAGCTTCAATTCTTCCGATTCAAGTGCTTCCAATAGATCTGCCCCAAACCCTGCCTTGGCGATTTCTCCAGCTAGCTTGCTTCCGCATTTCGGGACGCCAGTCGGCAGGTAGTCACCGCCACTCAACATTGCAAAAAGTATCATGCCAGCCCTGTCGAATGGCACGTTTGGCGGTCCACCAAGTCCCCCTATGCGATAGCAATCAAGATGTGTGGCAGCTGTAGTCCCGCTGCCGGGTTCCTTTGAAAAGTTCATCACCGTCCAACTAGAGCCAAACATCAACGCGTCGACATCATTGCTCATCACGGCATCAACAACTCCTGCTCTTTGCAGTCTAGCACACTCCGCCTCCGCCTCTCCTGGAGCGTCATGGATGGGGAATTTGAACAGTCGAATCAATATTTTAGACAGACTAATGATAGGGGCACTGCCATAACTGCGGCCGCCAACAGCCTTGCCTCGTTTGAACGGCGGCTTTTGCCTGCCATCATAAACAAATAGAGGATGTATTGGAAGCGCCAGAAACTTGAGAAGTCTGTAGAACAGAGTCCGCAGTTCCGGGTTTCGACCACCCCGACCAGCCTGAACTTGAAACAGCCATATAGATATATCTACCGCGATCCGAATCGGTCGCTTATTGTTTCTCAGATGACTGATAGCTAGCTTTGACAGAGAAATGCGTTCCCCAGAGCCAATGGCATTGATAAGACTAGATATGTCAGTTTTCTTAAACGTAGACTCCTGCGTAACACAAATATATATACTCGGACGCGTCTGTCATCGCGTCCCAAAAGCCAAGTTTCACCTACCCAGGAATACCCATTTCTCATATATGCCTCACGATCCATGCATGAGCACAGCCACATACGTTTTATCTGCCACAATTCGAAAGAAGAGCAGCTGTGGTGGACTGTTCGAGTGTTGTTGTTTTGGTTTGACAAACGTCGACGTGATCCCAGACGGCGGCGCGGCCCGATGTAGATCCGTCGACGGTTGCTCTGCAGTGTTGAGGACAACGACTTTGATCTTGCACTGTTTGTACTGACGACGTGAACAGAATTTTAATACAGTTTGAGCTCTATTATCTGTTTCTTTTGAGCAGAAATGCTGCTTTTTTATTCCTGAGATCCCTGTCGATCGATGCTGCGATAGCGAAACCACAGAGTGTTGGATGATAAACAGCAATATTGAGAGCGCTGGACATAAAAACAGAGTGGACAAGCCCAGTTCATTCAGCCATGGCAACGGCACCGACTGCGGCTGCCATTGATGGCAAATACTCAGCGACGAGCGGTTCGAATATACGGTCCAACTTGCGTCACAGCCAACAACGGCCTCCGAACACCCCACATACTCCGCAGCATTCGCGAGGGATATCTTCATTCGCCAGCACTTCATCACAGGGCTCTTTACGGAATGACGAAGACGCGATAATCTTCGAAATTGGCTCCCGATGGTTACGTGCTGGGTTCGAGGGTGACAGCACCCCTATGTGCAGCGTGGGGTTCGGACCGGAAGAGTCGAGACGTGTTGGAGACTACAGAGGCTGGGCGAGGAATAACAGCTCACAAGCGGAGGAGAAGACTCGACAGGAGCCTGTTGATCCAGACTTTTGGGCTAGTCCGTATGAGCTCTGGCGAATGGACCTGCGAGATATGGATCTGGGGCTAGTGGAGGATAGAATCGAGCGTGCGTTTCGAGAGACGTACAACAAGTACCTGTTGACTGATGCTGGCACGTCACGGCTGGTGCTTGTTCTGCCTTCTCTCATGCCCCATCCGTTGCTGTCTTCTGTTCTTTCGACTCTCTTTAGTCGATGGCGGTTTCCGAGCATCACACTTTTGCCTGGCGCAGCCATGGCTACCGCGGCAGCTGGACTGCGGGCTGCTTTGGTCGTGGATATTGGATGGGCGGAAACAACTGTCACTGGTGTCTACGAATACAGAGAGATTGCCATCAAAAGGAGTACGCGAGGAATGAGGTCATTGACGACAGCGATGGGAAGGTTTCTCTCCCGACTCGCCAGGAAGGATAATAATGAAGCCCAGGAGGGTCAGCCAGCTGCATTGGAAGCCATATCAGTCGACTTTGAGTATTGTGAAGACGTCGTCAACCGCTTCGCATGGTGCAGGCCTTGTGGACACGACGAAGAAAGCACCGGACAAGACGAAGAAGAACCAAGCGACCCACGACTGGTCTCTAAGAAGATAGTTTCAATCCCATCGCCATCTACACCCGGGTTGAACTATATCGAGCTTCCCTTTGGCTCCCTAGCTGAACCTGTGGAACAGGCGCTCTTTGCTCAAGGGTTAGCAGACTGCGTCCTGGATGACCAGGAGAAGCCACTACATGTGGTAGTCTACAACACTCTTCTAGCGCTCCCTCCCGATATCCGAGGAACGTGTATGTCTCGTATCATTTTTGTGGGCGGAGGAGCACATATTCCTGGTATCCGGCGCCGAACCATACAAGAAGTGCAAGCCCTGGTCGATCAGTACGGCTGGAGTCCCGTACGCGGCAAGGTGGTCGACGAGCAACTGCGGAAGCTGCAAGATCTGCGGCTTTCGAAACAACCGCCACCTGCGGCGCAGCAGCCGGAGCCGACCCACGAGGAGAAAGCAGAAGAGCAAGACTTTGTGGAACAGAAGCTGCGCCGAAACAACAGAGACAAGGATCTCAAGCCTTTCGTCCATGGGATGCTTCGCGATGTCGAATCGCTCGGCGCCTGGGCGGGCGCCAGCCTCGTCACTGCTCTCAAAGTCCGCGGTCTTGTCGAAATCGAACGAGAAAAGTATGTGCAACATGGCCTAGCTGGCGCAAGTCGGGATCTGGACACGCATGTCCCGGATCGACGGTCTGGACTGCGAGCGGGAGATCGATCGAGTTGGACGCTGGCAGGTTGGGGATGAGCTTTTCTTTTCAAGGCATGATACCAGGTCATAGGAGAAAAAAAAAGAATAGTAAATAGTTAATCACATATATTGCATGAGTACATAGAAGCTAGAGATATCTTCAACTATATCTTGTAAGGCTACTGCTTACAATCTGATAGACAGATCAATCCTCTTTACCGATGCATGCAGTCAATTAAAATATCAGGTAGTTATTATTCGGGTATGCTTGCAGTATGTACAAGGTGTGGCCGATCGAAGCGCTAAGGATAGACAGACGACTGGGAAGACAGCGACAGGATCCTGATTGTGTGAAATAGGATTTTTTGAGAGAGTGACAGGATGGAATAACATTCCTTTAGGCCCGAGGCCCGAGGCTCAAGGAAAAGCCTAGGAGAGCCGATTCTTATGGACAGAAGGATTAAGAAATAGTATCAAACCGGTAGGTTGCCCAGTTGATAGCCGGAGGGCCGAACGGGTCGTAGAACTGGGTAGTCTGCTGGCCCCATTCCGGGTAGTTGATGGCGTCGATCCAGCCCTCGGTCTCGATGACGAGGCAGCCGAATTGGTTGATCGTGGAGGTTGCGTTGTCGCCCTCGGCCTCGTTACGCTCCAGCTGCGAGGCCCGGACAGGGATGGTCCCGTCCAACTCGTTGCAGGTGTAGATCTGCAGGGCGTTCTGGTTCGTGGTCACCTCCAGGGCGATGCCGGTGGTGTTTGAGCTCATCCGAAGCGATGGGATCATGGAGTCCGGCGCGCTGTAGGACGGCGGCCGGTCGACCATCCAGCAGGTGTCGTAGCCGGTGCAGCCGGTGCCACACAGACCCTCGGTCTCAAAGATGTCTTGGCCAACCAGCTTGCTGCTTGTGAAGTCTAGCGCGCCATTGTATGTATCAAAGACCTCGAGGATCGTGCCGTTGGGGACTTCAATGCCGTCCACAGCGACGTACCGAGGAGACCAGGGCATCTCCAAATAAGTATCATTGAGAATGGTCGACTCCTTGAAGGCATTCAGGTTCCAGTAGATGTGATTGGCAAGCATGATCGGGGTCCTCTCAGTCAGAGCCAGGGACACCAGCTTCGTCGTCAATTGGGGCAGACCCTTGGGGTTCTCCGGGGTGACCTCGTTATCCACGCTATAGATCGCATGGGTGATGACATCTCCTGGAAAGCCTTGAAAGGCCTCGTCTAGCAATGTAAAGGTGATGTGGGAGTCGGTATAACTGGTGACCGTCCAGTTGCGCTGGTCATAACCGATGAAGCCCCCGTGCAGGGTGTCTTCGCCGTCATGTTCGTTCTCCGGGATGTGGTACGTCTGGCCCCTCACGTTGAAGGTACCGTTCTTGATGCGGTTTGCGTACCGACCTACCACCGCGCCGAAGTAGGTGTGGACAGTCTCTGTGTCCGTCAGGTACTGCAGTGGGTCGTCGTAGCCCACTACCACGTCCTGTACATTGCCATCACGGTCAGGCACAAGCAAGGAGGTGAGGCGAGCCCCATAAGGAATGAAGGTCGCGTTAATGTTCCCCGCGCTGATGGTGTACTCTTTGAAGTGGGCCGCATCCTCAGCCGTCACGTTGCTGTTGGATGAAGCCGAAGTGGCTGTGGCAAGCACCGGAAGCCCAGACAGGGCCACGGCGAAATAGCTTTTCACGTGCATCTTGACCCCTAGGAGAGCAGTAGCCGAAAGGAATATGACTCCGTATATGAGCAATACACGAGGAGAGACACGCGCAGGGCAGAATACTGAACGCAGGCGGTTGCAAAACCAGGGGAGTCTCGGCCTATATATGCCAGTCCGTACCATTTCTCCCGGCCTGCGGGGCAAGGAAACAAGCTCTACCTTCCCTTTTTCCCTTTTTGTTAATTATCCGATGTCTCGAACCGAATTCCCGCAAGAAACGAAAGCTTTTCCCCGCGTTGGCTAGCTCTAGGTAAAGGAATGGACGCTTCCAGGGGAGGGGGGGCCTTGCACTCGAATGCCGCTCCACCAGGTAAGCTACTACCACTGGGAATTTCCCGGTTCAGTCAATGGCACATGGCACAAGCTTGCTCTGACAATCTCACGACATGCAATACCATGCAAGGATCGCGGGTCACCGCGTGCTCTGGCCGAATCAGCTCCTGAGCTCCCTTGCCCGCCGAGAGCCAAAGAGGGGAAGAATAACGAGCGGAATGAGGCCTAAGAGGCCAGAACTCTGGATCTAACAGTCAGACAGACAGTTCAGCAGCACTCTCTACCTGCTCCGTACTGAAACTCAGCCTGTCGCCGTCTGGAGATGCAGATGCTGCCGGCCAACAAGATAGACGTGTGGTCGGAAACGGCTGCGAAAGTCCTGGGCGACGCGCTAATCCGGACAGGGGAAATTCCGGTGGGGGCTTGCGGGGAAGCCGGGCTGAGGCAGGGCTTATTCTGTAGGCGTGGAGCGTCATTTCTCCGTTTCGTAGGCGGCGTGCCGATCAGGACGGATTAACTGTGGCCGGGGTCGCAATTGCTAATGATGTTGCATTAGTATCACCTACTCCGTATGCCTGGGTACGGAGTAGATTACAGGTATGTACTATCATTTAAGCGGGAGATGGAGGAGGACATACGGAAAAACTTCGGGAGGCAGATATTCCGATTCCGGGGCTCCTTCCGCAAATTGCAATTAGCAATGACATGTGATTGTTCTCTTTTGGGATTTTAGGGCAAGAAAGTAGGGCTACAGCCACTCACTGGGCAACCTGCGAGTTGTTTGAATTCCGCTCCTGCTCATAATTCACGACTGCTGCAATACGATGGTCACCATTTTGACGGAGGAGCAGCTAACCGACAGCACCACGAGTGCCCTGTGTGCCCTCTGGCAAGCTGTGTGCGGTCAAGCCAGGGAAACGAGACTAGTACTGTTGTTCACGGTTGACGGTAATTCCACTGCTCTGTGAGCCAGGCAAAGATAGTTTATCTTCCTGCTTGACTGCCTACCATGAATTCTTGGATCAGAAGGGACTGGATTTGGGGACGGTTTGATCCATGGTCATGACCAACCTAGACCTCATGACATCAACTTGATCTGGATACTTGAAAAAAAGGTGTGAATGACTCGAGGTCACTATGACACTGTCAAATGGGATCTTGAGTTTGAAATAAAGGTGAGAGAATATCTCCAAGAGACAGCATATGGACTAATCTTTGCAATCCGTCTTCTCACCATGTATTCAAGTCTGCATAGCCTCATTCTACTGCTCTCCTGCCTGCACTATGTGCAGGGGGAAAGAATCCTAGGCGCATATATTTTCCAAAGACATGGCGATCGGACTGCAAAGGCGAATCCACCAACGCTTCTGACAGTGCTGGGATACAATGAAGTGTTCATCACCGGTAGCTATTTTCGTCGCCGATATCTCTCATCAAGCTCCTCTCTTCAAATCTCGGGAATCAGCGAACATATCGTTAACCTGTCACATATCACTGCGTCCGCACCGGCCGATACAGTCATCCGGAATAGTGCCACAGGCTGGCTCCAAGGTCTCTACCCCCCTGTTGGAACAGCGATCGAGACTCTTCGAGACGGGTCAATCGTCAACTCACCGATGAATGGATACCAGCTCATCCCTATTTCCTCCGTTTCCAACGCAGGAGGAGGAAACAGTGAAAACTCTGCCTGGCTCCAGAGCACCAGTCGCTGTGATAGAGCAATGAGTAGCAGCAGCTCGTACCTCCAGAGCTCCAAATACGAATCCTTGTTCAACTCGACCACGGACTTTTATCAGTCCTTGTCGCCGGTGCTGAGTAGCACGTTTAATTCCTCTCAGATGAGCTATGAAAACGCTTACACCATCTGGGACTACCTAAATGTCGCCATGATCCACAACTCATCCAGCAACTTCCCATCGGCTGGCCTGGTGACCGACGATGTCAAGCAAAAGCTTCGCCTTTTGGCCAGCATTCACGAATTTGACTTGGCATATAATAGCTCTGAACAGATCCGTGCCGTAGCCGGCGCCATCCTTGCAGGCGAAGTACTCTCTGCACTGAACGAGACCGTCACATCCGACAGCTCATCCAAACTGCACGTCCAGTTTGGTGCGTATGGCACTTTTCTTTCCTATTTTGGTCTGACAGAGCTCCCTTTTGCCGACTCGGACTTTTATGGATTACCGGACTATGCCTCGTCTATGGTGTGGGAACTGGTGACCAATTCCACGGATGAGAGTTTTCCGGCAACGTCTGAGATCAGCGTGCGCTTCCTGTTCCACAACGGCACCTTGGATGGCAGTATCGACCCGGTCGCTTTCCCCCTCTTCGGACAGTCAAGCACTCTGCTATCATGGTCCGATTTTGTCAACTATACCAAGAATTTTGCGATACTTTCTCAGGACCAGTGGTGTCAAGAGTGCGGAAACACAACGGGCATCTGTGCGAACACTGTTACCACACCTGATGGCAAGAGCGACTCTTCTGCAAGCACAAGCACCAGTCACAGGAGAAATCCATTGTCTTTGAGCGTTGCCGGTGTGATTGGAGCAATGGTCACCCTCGGCCTCATCGCTAGCTTTGGAGCTTTAAGTCTGCTTTTCAACAAGCTGAGGCTCTCAAGCAAACAAGCAGGTACTTCTGAGCCCGCGCAAAATTTCCCTGCTCTGCCTCGTATTAGTGAAGAGTTTCGAAAGTTAGATCCAATCAGACTGGATTGGAGACATCCACGAGCATAAGGTGCTCTGAATGTCCAGTCTAGATGGCAAGGGAAGACAGATCGCATCCCAGTCAAACGCTCAGTATTCTGGTTAATCTATTCAATCCGAAAATTCTAAACAAATATGGACTACAAATCCCTCTCTGCGTAGTATGAAATAGTGCTACCTTGCTGCCTTGAATCCTCAGGCAGAAACAATCACAACTGTCAAAGCGCCGCCTTCAGGATCAGCTTGACTTACCTTGGAGAAACACTTTGACACACTGTCTCATCCATCTATTTACCCTGAGTTCTCTTTACTAATTTGACTACAGAACTCGTGTCATCTCACCAAGTTCCATTTCATGCCCCAGGTTGCTGGACTGACTGTCATCTCCCTCTTCTTTGCGAAGGTGCCCGCACCGTACACAGAAGTACAGGAGTAGTCACTGCTAGTAAATGCAGGGGAGAAGCAGCAACCCGGTAATGCTGAATACTTCTACTAATCCTGTGCGGAGTAAGCTGCGCAAGGGTACATTTAGCTGTTGGGAATGCAAAAATCGAAAGAGACGCTGCGAGTTCAAGCCTGGATCAGGCTCCGCCTGTGTCTCCTGCCAGCGCCGGGGTCTGCCCTGTATCAGCCAAGAGCATCCAAACACGGAATCCAGCGGCTACCAAGAGGTTGAACGACGGATCGAACAGGTTGAGGCTTTAGTCCGTCGGCTAGTTGAGCAAAACGGGCCTTGCTCATTCCAGCAGCCACGGGGAGAAGCCTCACCAGCTGCTATTGCGACAGGGTCCTGGAACAGCAGAAAACTGCTGCCGTCGCCCTTACCTACAGCCGGCCAAGAGATGCTGAATAGATGCTGCTCTCTTAGCGGCTATCTCCATTCGATTCTTCCGTCGCCAACGGTTATCAGGCTCATATTCAGTCGCGCAAAGTCCTTCACACGGCCGCTGCGGCTGTTTCAGCACTCTTTGAGAGGGCTCAATGATGGGGCTTTGCGGGCGTCAGGAGGAGTCCCAGATAATCCTCACCCTGTCTTCTTGGCCCGGACACTCATACAGATCGCGGTTTGCTTACAGCAGCTGGACGACGCGGCAATATCCGACCAACCGGAACTCCATCTTGGTGAGCCGATTCGGAACGCTGCCTGCCGATTCTTTGACGCTGCATCGCGCCACGTCACATCTCAAGACTTGCTGGTGGACTCGTTGGATGGGCTGGAGACCCTCATGCTGGAGGCTTGTTACCATGTCACCGTAGGCAATATTCGTGTTGCCTGGCTAACGTTCCGCCGTGCTGTAAGCATTGCCCAGTCGATGAGCCTTCATAGGAGCACTGGGAAAGCAGATCGTCGGGGGGAATACCTGTGGTTTCGCCTCGTTTATAGCGACCGCTTCAGCTCGCTGATTCTGGGTCTTCCCTCGGCTGTTGCCGACGATGCCGGCCTTGCAAGTGAGGACATTCTGGTGAGGAGCAGCTCTACCGAACGGTTGGAACGTATCCATGCCGTGATTGTGGGCCGTATCATTGTGCGAAACCTGCGGATGCAACGGCTCGATCATGGGAGTAAGGATGAAATATATGAAGAGACACTAGAGATTGACCACCAGCTTAAACAAGCTACAAAGTCGTTGCCGTCGAGCTGGTGGATTGTTGGAAACCTACACCATACGAACACAGACGGAGAGATTATGGAAAAAACGGCCAGATTGCTTGCGCAGCTACACTATTATTACGTCTTGATTCTCCTTCACCAGCCACATCTGCTATACAAGCCAAGACCTTCATCAAGAGCAGCTCTGATACCCGATTCACTCGATGGCACATACAGCAAGCTTGTCCTCCCCCCTGCGAGCCGAGAACTTCTCAGCCGTTTTATAGTGCTTCGAAACGTCTACAACATACCGTCCTACCGTGCACTTGATGACAAGGCTCTCACTGCGGCAATGATGCTACTTCTTCTTCATATAGATGGACACCGTCTTGGCCGGGAAAATGCTCTAGATCACCAGCGTCTGAGCGATATAGGGACTATACATGGCGTGATGGAAAAAATAGAGAATCTGTCACACTGGAATACCAATCACGAGGGCCACAGCTCTAGAATGCAAGCACTGAGGAATCTCATAGACATTGAAGCAAGAGTGGCAGACGGTGCAAAATATTCTTTCTGGAGCGAGATTGGCCCTGTCGAAGGTGAGGAATATAGCCTCAAGCTATCAGTTCCATATTTTGGAACGGTCTTCCTCTCAAATCAAGGATTAGAGAGATCTCAACGGAACATCCCAGATCTCAAGTCGAGTTTGGAAGTATCGAGGCCGTTGACTCAACCTGGGCACGACTTGCATGCTGCCAGCACTCCGATAACCACTGATATAATGTCTGCGGAATCACAGCTCCAAATCCCATCACCGGGCCTGGTATCACTTGACTTTGACGCTTTTCTGGAATGGCCATCCCTAGAGCATTCAAATGATGGGAGCTATCTACAGCCCTCCGACTCGATGCAAGCCTTATCGCATACACAAGAGAGTATCCCCTCATTTTCTGAAATGCGGACCCCAGATCAGAATGAGAACAACAAGACGATATGAATTTTAGGTTAGCAAAGGACAAAGTACTCTCTATCTTTTTTCTATCCACCTCCCTCAACTATTACAACAAGCCTTGTAACAGGAAAGGGTTACAATACAATCACAATGTCGGGGTATCAGCAAAAGAGTATCCAGTTGCGGCCTGGAACTGAGTACCGAGCATACCCTGCCCTAGCTCTCGGATAGCCCTCTCTTCTTCCTCCGACAAAAAAACCGAGAGACTCTCCAGGTTCTCTTCCAGTCGGTGAATCTTGGTTGTTCCGGGAATAGCGAAGATGTCGTCGCCCTGCGCCAATATCCAAGCGAGCGTCAACTGAGCAGGGGTGAGACTCTTTGCCCTGGCGATTGCAGCAATCCTATCCACGATGGTCAGGTTCTTTTGCAGATTCTCCTCGGAAAACAATGGCAGCTTGACGCGCATATCCCCGGGCCTGATGAAGTCTCCGCGATCACGGACGGTCCCCGCGAGGAGGCCGTGGCCAAGGGGACTGTAGGACACAATAGCGACGCCGAGCTCGCGGGCTGTCTCGAGCAGGCGAGTCTCTGGCGACTCGATCTGGAGACAGAAGGGGTTATACTCGATCTGCACGCAGGAAATCGGGTGCACTGTATGCGCACGCCGCAGTGACTCGGCACTGCACTCGCACAGACCGAGGTACTTGACCTTCCCGGCCTTTTTCAGCTCGACCATCGCTTCGACCGTCTTCTCGATTGGCGTGACCTTGTCAAGGCGGTGCGGGTAGTATATGTCGACGTACTCCAAGCCCAAGCGCTTGAGAGACTGCTCGATGGATGCTCTGCAGTTTTCCGACGTTGTGTCGACGGTGAATCCGGTGCCGGTGATCTTCACGCCAAACTTGGTGGCCAGAAAGATGTCTTTGCGCTTTTCAGGGTTCGCAGCGAACCACTTGCCGAGAAGCTCCTCGGAATCACCATATATCTGAGCTAGACAGAGAGAAAAAGAAGAAAGAAGATTAGTCTGGCCACCTTTTTTGAACATATGCATCGCATCTAACAGTGTACTTACCGCTGTCCCAAAAGGTCTCGCCTCTCTTGTACGCTTCATCCAGAAAAGCCAGGCGCTCGGCGTCGGAACCTGGCACACAATAATGGCTACTCGCGCCCATAAGCCCCAGGCCTAGCCGTGGAATCTGTGGTCCATTTCTGCCCAACGAGCGACGGACAGGCTGTTTGCAGGTAGCCATCATGAGATGAAGACGTCTTGTTGCTGACAATTACTTGGTGCATCTTGGACATGGCAGCGACTCAACCACTCCTTATTTATCTATCAATGCTCGGAATTTTGCGGCGGACAACTGGCCATGATGTTCTCCATCCCATTATTTGGTATAGTCCTGGTATAGTCCTGGTATAGTCTCTTGAGACTCATAGTAGAAGCTCCGCCTGCTCTCTTAAATCCGCCGTTAAGTCCGCCGCATCTCTCCGTCTACACGTGATGTAAAATCATGTGACCACATTAATTACATAAGCCTTTCACCGCCGGGTGGAACAACATTGATTCCGTTGATTACATAATCACAACGCGCCTGCCCGCATAGTCTCTGGAGCGGGTCCAGAACTGCCTGATGGGGAAGGCTTGTTTACGACTTCAGACATCAACACACAGTGGGCGAGAGGGGCGCAACTACGATCTGGTGGGAGCGAGGGACGGACAATCAACCTGCCTGACGATTCCACAGTCGATGCCCGAACCGCCCTGAGGCTAGAAGATACTCCGACGCGATCGCCCGTGCCTCGTGGAATGCAACGACCGTGTTCCACGGTACCCCCCAGCCTTTCGAGTCGAGTCGAGTGGTCATGTCGTCCCGCAGCTCCAGCTCTTCCCCAGACGTCTTGGGACCCCCCGGCGACGTCGACTACCTGATCTCGTCACCGATCAAGCCGTTTGTCGGGCGCCAGAGCTGGCTATCGCCCGCCAACTTCAAGTGGCTCCAGACACCGCGGAAGAGGTCGCGCATCAGCCTCAGCCCCGCCCGAAGCACCCACTCCGTGCAGTTCAATCATATCGTGCTCCCTGCCTCGCCGACGGCTAAGATAAACGGCCGCCAGCGATCGATCTCCCCGGCGAAGGGGCTACCGGACGGCAACGGGAGCCCGTGGAGGATCCGAGTGACGCTGGAGGCGAGCCAGGACGCGGACGAGATGGAGACCGGAAGCCCGTCGCGGAAGCGCATCAAGCCCTCGGCGATGACGTTCAAGGTGCCGTTGAAGGGGGGGCAGGAGGAGGAGGACTCGACACAGACACCCAGGAGACCGAGGGGTCGTCCCCGCAAGTCTCTTCTCGCTCGGCCGGCCGACGCGACACCAGTCGCTGCAAGCCCCGGACATACACCGGGTCCTAATGGGGTGACTGGGGAGAAGAGGAAAAGAGGGAGGCCGAGAAAAAGTCTCCCGGCGCCAGAGCCGGAGTTGGAACAGGAGCAAGAACAGCACGTTGTCGAGGAGGAACCGTCGAACCAACCTCCGGAGCAGGAAGAGGAACAAAGTTGGAGTCCGATTAATTTGGCTGCAGATGGGGATTCTGACGATGGGTTTCTTGATGATGCACCGGTGGAGGAGGTCCTCGAACCGGTCGACGACGATGTACAAATGGACACCCCTGGCTTCGATAGAACTCTGCTACAGGACGCTGAGTTACCCGAACACCCTACACCGATTGTCAATGCTACGGAGGATGATGATGACGACGACGTTGAGTTACACTCTACACCATCCAAGAGACCCTCGCCGACTCATTCAAGACGTACCGTCGATCTTTCCCCTGAACATTCCTTACTCCATGCAGGGCATACACCCCGTACCCGACGAATATACCCCACTCCTACATCTTCGTCTCTGCTGGAGGAGGAGAAAATATACCAGCAGAAGGACTACCAAGAAACAACACTTCAGCACAGTGCTCTACGAAGCGTGCCTCGTTCTGTGCATGACCCGACAGAAGAGCACAGAGAGTTTGACTCAATCATGGAAAGCGAGGGATTCAGTATGGTTTCTCTGGATACACTACCATCCGCTCAACAACATGGTTTGGGATCTAGTCGGCTGGGATCTAGTCAGAGGATGCTCAAAGGAGCTCTCCAGCCTTTCTTCGAGCGACAAGACGGGAACTCTCTGGAAAGTTTGAAACGCAAGTCTTCTGCTATCAGTAACGATGGTATCTTTGAAGACAACCAGGAGACCGAGGCGCCTCATTCGAACTTAGCGATAGTAGAGAATCAAGACCACCCATCACCACCGACAATTGAGAAACCGCAACACTTACCTCACCCAGACTGGTCATCGGGAGATCAAACCTCTCCCTTTATTTACAAGTCCTTGAAAAGTTCAGACGCTTCCAGGGCCTCGCCATTAGTCTCTGCGTCTGTCCCAAAACCCTCTCCTGTCAAACGGCAAAATCCGCTCAAAAGACTTGCCAAGGTCCTCCGCGTGGGCATTGCTCTCCAAAACACTCTTAGGCCCCGACATGAAGCCTCGGTCATTCATAACTCGATGCCGAGTCCAGGTGCATCGGACACCGAGGACCATGAGGACGAGATTGCAAATTCACGTAGACGCCTTGAGCGGGACCTTGATGAGCTCGAGCCCGAGTCGCAAAAGATTTTACGAGCTGGCTTGAGATTAGCTGAAGTGCTCGCAAAGAGGCGGGAACAAGCTGAGACAGAGTCTCTCCGACAGAAAGCCACGGCTGAAGCTGGCTTCAAGGAAGCAAGCCCAGCTAGTGCGCACCAAACCAGTCCGGACAATCGCACGCCGGTTCAGCCTCGCAATCGGAGTACCGGATCTTTGGCTTCTGAGATGAAACGACGGGAGGCCGAGTGGCAGCTAGAAAGGGAGGCCGTCAGCCGACAGATTGACATGGCGAATTCTAGCCAAGTAATTCGCATTGACAGCGAAGGAACTGATGCACAGGATCCCCAGGACAATGGCGACATTAACGACTCGGAACAAGAGCTTGAAAACCAAGCTCTTCAAGAGTCGGAACTGTACACAGAGTCGGAGTCGGTATCCGATCAAGAAGCAGAAGAGCACGAGCACGGTCTAAACCAAGAGCAGGATCTCGTACAGGATTTAGACCAGAGATTCGAGTCATCGTCAGAAGGAGAACCAGATCTTGAATTAGACGATGTCCAGGTTCCCGAATCTGCCGACGAGCCAGGTGACTATGAGGACATTTGGCAGCAAGAGGCCAAAGATTCAAGCTACCTCACTCATCGCTCTTCAACTATGCATCCTCCTGACGATGAAATAAGACAGCAAGCGTTTTCTAGGCAAAAGTCGACTCCGTGGAACAAGCGTGGACGTGCGATTCTGGATGACCAAACAAGCAGTCATCTATCGCCAGCCCAATGGATCACTAGCCAGGGTGGCATGCCGCTTTTAGGATCATCACGAGTGAAAAGGATACGAGAGCAAGAAGTTGATCTTCAAGCCTTACTACGTGCTCGCGCCACTCCGCAACGCGTCCGCTATTTCCATCTAAAAGGAGGAGCGCAGGAGCCGGAGCCAGAGCTGGAGCCAGAGCCGGAGCCCAAATCAGAGCCTGAACCCGAGTCAGAGCCTGAGCCCGAGTCAGAGCTGGAGTCAGAGCCAGAATTACCCCCAAGAGATCGTCTGAATTCAACGACAGACAGACGGGACAGTGTTGAGGTCGCCCATGAACAGGATGAACCAACTCCTTCTGACCACGAATCGGTTTCGGCCAGCCTTCAAGAAGCTAATGTGCCTAGCCATAATGACCATTTTGAGCTTGGTGCAGAGAAAGCTTCCGGCAGGATTTCGCCTGCCTATTCAGAACATGGAGAGGAAGAAAGCGTTTCGACTAGGGATGATGTATCTGTCCAACAGACGCCCAACGCCACGACTCCAGCTCCCTCTAGACCGCCTGCTACTACGGATATACAGGCATCATCCTGGTTCCAGAGAATCACCAGTCTCACTCCTGGATGGTTGAAAGCACCTGGTGGCAAATCAGCGAACAAGTTTGAATCCCCAATGAGCGAAGTGAGTGAAGTCGATCCCGAGTTCGAACAGAGTTTGTCCAATGTTCGACGGTCTTTGCAATTGGACAATGATTCAGACGAGGAAGACGACGTATCACAATATATGGAGGAAATAATACAGAGAATCCCACGTTCCGAGGAACAGGTCCAGAACCACGCAGACCACAGCTCGCTTGCTTCCGAGGACTTTGAACCAATGGACGAAAACGCTTCTCCAACCCTGCAGGCCCAACGCAGCACATTGCTTGCCCCCAAGCCGCTAGCCATCTCTGGATATTTCACTGACGAGCATTACTACACACTGCGTCGGCTTTACCGCCTTGCAAAACAATCGCCTGAACTTTTTGCCTACTATCCTGCTCCCGGCCGTGACGAAATGCTCGGGGACTGGATCTGGACTTCCGATGGGACCCACGGTGTACCTGTGACCGAAGGCCAATTCGCCATCATCGACCGATTTATCCAGGAACTCGTTGAGGCAGACGTGCAGTCTGGCGGGTCCGGCCAGGTTGGTTGGACTGACGCCGACCTGCACAAACGCTTGATTAGCGTCATCATAGGCGAACAGATTAGAGCGGAGCGGAGCGCAAAAGCTCGCGAAGAAGAATCCCGGCGCAGCAGGGAAACTTCCTTGGGAACGTGGCAACGATGATTGTTCTTCCTTGTCCGGAGGACTTTAGCCTGAATTTTTCCTAGAGGAAGGTTTCTCCCCGGGGTTACACATGTCGGGCACCTGCGAAAACGTGGAATATTTTTTGTGAATTGTCATTCGTGTCAAATTCCTTTTTTTCTTTTTCTCCTTTTTTCTTTTTGTTCGCTGATTTGGCACTTTGCAGCGCTTGGCTTGGATTGAACGATTTGAATGAGCCTTCATGATTGGAGGGAAAATGATGACTTTCTGGTCAAAAACGGTATCATCTGAATGGCGCTGCTTGATGGCAGGAGGACTTGGAAGCCGCTGTTACACTGTGTCACTCGGATCTCAACCAGCTACTGATGACTACAGTGCTGCCGGCAGTTTTGAACAGACAAGTGTGTGTATATGGTCCCTTGTAGGGGAAAATTGGGAGGGAGGGTTCGGCATTGGCGTATTCCTTCTTTTGATATTGTTTCTTTTGATATCCCATCTGTTGCATACAGAGTTGCTATTCGCTGTATTCAATTTGCTTTCATTTTGGCATATAGATTTGGACGAGTCAAAATACCCAGTCATTTTTCTGTCCTTGTTGGATGTCGATCTTCGGGCCTGATTTCCGAGGGCTGTTGTCAGGAGTCAACAATACCCCAGAGTCTCTCCGGCCGCCACGGACCACATGCAGGGGACGGCGTGGACTTGCATTGCATTCGGGACTGGGCTGCGCTGGAGCAATCAGTCAAGCCGTCGAAGACTTGTTTTTTTCCCAAGAATCTAGAGAGACCTTCCGTGGGGACTACAGGTCAGGTTCGAGTCTAGTTCTCTTCCAGAGGGCTCCACGTCAGCCAAGCAGCAACGTAACGACACAGGGCCGCATTCGATTTGTGCATCGATGATGATGGATGCTTCAGGAATCCCACCGATCGATCGGAATCGGTAGTAGGGTGGTAATTTCTTGTTCTTATATAAGGCATGTCCCAGGCCGGTTTGGAAGAAACGCCAACGACTCAAGATTCAGCAAGAGCACGAGTCATATATAAAGATCCGAAAAAGGTCCAAACGAGATGCGAGTTACAAACACCGTCAAACTCTGTCTCTCCTGCCTGCTAAAACGCGGCCACCACCCACCCCCGTCGTCATGGAAGGGCAAGGCGCCTCTTGAAGACGCCTCGGCGGTGCAAGTCAACTGTTTCGCTACTGTGGACTGTGGTGCCGAGCAAGACTCGTGCTGCGGCGCGGAGAAGATCGATGATGACGAGGCCGACGACTTCCACAGCATCATCAGCGACAGCAGTACGGGGAGCAAGTCCCGGCTGGTGCGTGTGGTGAGCGTCGTGCGGACGAGACGACGGTGGACCGGCGAACAGGAGCGCGATCTCAGTATCGCCGAGCACGAGCTGGCGAGATGTCAGAAGGCGTGGAGCTCAGAACAGGAGCTATGGTTGGCATATGTGAGTTGATTTCGTTCTTTTTGGCTCCATGGTGTAACTACAGTTTGTTAATGCGGGTATATTAGATCAAAGACCTCGAGGAGGAAAAAGAAGCACACGAAGATTTCCTCCACCATCGATCGAAGCAACAAGACGACGAGCGCCTGCGGTTCCGTCGGGCATGGGAACGACGACGGTCGGATGATGGACAATCGGATCCTTCGCCGAGACGGAATAGTATGAGCAAGCTGCGACGATTGCGCAAGGGCAGTGACAGCAGTTGATGGAACCGGCAATTCATAGGCACCAAATGTACCGCTACGCCATACTGGGTGGACCACTATCCGAACATAGTATCTAATAAATGATAGTTACTGACATACTCTGTAGTCACGGAGTACTATTAACTATCTCCTACCGAATGGAATGTCAGACATTCACCTGCAGTGTAGATCATCTTCATCAACTCAATAGTCCTACTACACAGTAAGTCATTCAGACCATTGCACATCCTGGAATAGGCATATAGACTGATCTTCCACTATTGCCTTGTCAATGACATACAGCAAGATCGGCAGTCGTTGCACGACGCCAGACATGCAAGGCATCAACTTCTGCCTGAGGCTCCAACACCCCCGACCAATCAGCAGCAACCGGGCCTTATCTCTGGTGACTAAATCCCACGACCAAAACAGGCTGATAACAACCTCATCCCAAGGATCTCCTCGCAATTGACAGAGACACTATTGTCCGTTGCCCGTCGAGAGTCGATCCTTCGATACGTCAGGTACGTTTGCCTTATCTCTGCTTCCTGTCTGGGACTCTTGCTGATCGGTACGCTATACGGAGTAGTGTTCATTAGCTGCGCCCCTCCCCATGCGCCAAGCTCAGCAAGAAGAAGTACCGTACTACATACAGCCTCAGGGACAGATCGGGAGGCACGAAGGGCCCCGATCACTCCAGACTCAGTGCCCTGTGAAGAAAATGCTTGTCACCGTTGTGGTCGGTGGGTTCAGAAAGGCCGAAAACGGTTGAGACAAACGCTCGAGCGGGTCGGGTTCGTACCTGGATCGAGGCGAATCGCACTGCCTCCACCACGCCCCCGATATCTGCCACCGGTCCATGGCCGGAGCGATTAGTGATGGTTTGTTGAGATTCAGTCAGTTGGTGACTGACTAGTTATCTCTTATCCCTACGTCGTACTTGATCCCTTGGGCTTGCACCGTGCAATAGGGAAATTCGCCGGCGTGCCGCCCCTTGCGGTATTAAAATATTGGGTCGTGATAAGCAAGCAATATGCACTCCCCGAGGGACCAGTAGGCAGCAGAGCCCGCCGTCGGGGTATCCCGTACCAGGAATCCCGCAATCCTCTGCCCCGATCTTTTTGATCTGACAGATGTCATTTGCTTTCTCGCAAACCGCTTCTCATTGGCGGTACGGTAGATGCCGGTTGTGATTTAAAGGACTGGGTCGTACATTCCCCCCCGGGGGAGAGCTGTCTCTTTTGCTGTCGTGTTCGATACGAAGTAAGCCAGGCCAAGAGCCATGCAAAGCTTCCATCATGGCGGACCCCCCGACCTCACTATGGTGGACGGAGGAGAGAATCAAGGCGACCCTGTGCACAGGGTTTGTGGCCAGCCATCTTCCACCAGAGAGTCAGCGACGACTCTTGGACCAACCCCCCTGGGGCGAAGGATTGACCGAAGAGACTTATCTCGACTGGATCCTCACCCGGGCCGGTAGGCTGTTCCTGATCCTGAACGAGATCGGCATCTCGGATCGCATCTTCGCTCTGGTCGACGAGTCCTTGGACGACAACGACCTGCCTGTAGCGGCCCACAGTGTCGACCGGCTGCGGCTCTCGCCGCACGGCAGTTCGCCTGCGCTCGATACCAAGTTTTTCCATGCCCAATGGCGTTTCATCGTCCGCAGTATCAACGAAGGAGACCATGTTCGCTATACGCAGAACGAAGGCGTCCCCATCGAGGTACAACGGCACGGCATTGCCAGTCCCTGGACCCAAGACGGAGTCGACAGGGTCGTCCTGGCCGGCGCGGTGTGTCGTGTGCTGCTACGCACTGAGGTCAAGCTGGGCGGCGCTCCGCATTTCTTCGAGGAGGCGGAGGTGCTGGACGAGGTCCGATCCCTGCGCCGGTTGGCCCATGAGCATGTGTTTTCCATCTACGGGTCCTATTTCGTCGACGAGAGTGTTTCTATCCTTTTCGCCGGTGCCTACGAACGCACTTTATTGTCCTTCTTGACCGATACCCCCCAGTCGTTCAAGAAACTCCCCAAGACCCAGCGTCGAGCTCTCATGATCAACTGGCCCCATTGCCTGGCAAACGGCCTATCGTGGCTCCATGCCCATGGTCAGACGCACGGAGCTATCCGCCCGTCCAACATCCTGATCGACGCCGACTACAAAATCATTCTCGGTCAATTCGAGGCGCTGGATACTCTGTTACCACCCGCCAAGATCCATGACGTCGAGGCGTACCAGTACGGCGCCCCCGAACGCTGGGTGCGGTCGGCGACCAAGCATGAGACTGCTCGCTCGAATCACCTCCTCCCATCCGGTGGACGCACCGCTCGCAAGCAGGCATCGACATCCTCAATGATGCGGCTGAGCCTTTTGAAGGCCAAGGATCAGCCCCCCACCGTCGACGAGCAATCTGTCGACGAGTCCCGCCGACCGTCAGTCGCCTCACAGGGAACGGCCATCCGGATCGGATTTCCAGGCTCGCCATCACGATTCTCCTTCTCGCTCTCGTCATCGTCGTCTGGTTCAAGTCATGACGGCGGCCGCAAACGCGGCATCGCCTCCATCAAGAGACCCATCTTCTACACCCCGTCCATCTCCTCGTCCAACTCATCAGGCTCAGCAGCCTCGCACCCGTCGTCCTCCATGTCCAGGACAACCTCCGGGGCGGCGGTCAATCCGATGGGTTCGAATCAAGCGAGCGTCCTGGTCCAGAGCTGGCAATCACACCTGGCCAACCCACCAGCGTCGGACATCTTCTCCCTTGCCGCCGTTACGCTAGATATCATCACGTATCTCTGCAAGCGCAAGATCTCAACCTTTGTGCACCACCGCGGCGCGAAAAATCGCACCCCGGGCCGCGGCGGCGGCATTGCAGATGCCTCCTTCCACCTTGACCGCAACACCAGCCAGGTCGCCTCGTGGATCACCCTTCTGGAGAGCGACGCCCGCAAAGGCAAGGGCCCCGTCTTCCGCGCCGTCGGGCCCATTCTCGCGACTGTCCGCCAAATGCTGCAGCGCGACTCCTCCGCACGCCCCGCCGCCCTCCTCGTCGAGCGCCAATTCTCCAACGCCATCCGTCAACTCGACGAAGGTGTGACTGATTTGCATTGCATCTCACAATTTCCCCGACAGATCCGGCCTGACAATGTCGATACCACCACCACCACCACAGCGAAACAGAAACGACCTGTCCCGCCGCCCATCACCGTCTCAGCGCCTACAGATCCCTGCAGTACCGCCAATGACACCCCGCTCTCGTCTACCACAACCAGCAGCCCGTCCATCCTATTATCCGGACCACCATCGTCTACCTCCCTCTCCCTCTCCGTCTCCGTCTCGGCTTCCTCCAGGTCCTCGTCTCCTCTCCCTTCATCCTACGCTTCGAGCTTCGGGCCCGACGCCTCCTCCTCATCAGCAGTGACCTCCGATCTCGGCTTCGATTTCGGCTTCACCGCTTGGCACGAGTCCGGTCTTTTTGACCCGGATGATATCATCGCAGAACATTACCATCCTTGATCCCCTAACATGCGGAACAAAGTATCTGATATTCCCCCAGATTCCTGATCTATAAACTTGATATCTATATATACCCTGATATGACCCGGTACGCGTTTCCTATATATATCATACATAATATATATGATATATACCAACTTTCCCTTCTCTTTATCATTGCCACTTTATCCTTTTTACCTTGTCCCAGAGCTTTGGGCATGTAATTTACCATTATTAGCAGTTTTCTGCCAGATGCTAGGCCTACAGTCTAGAGAGAGACATTAATATCATCAGACTATTTCGAATGAATGAATCTTTCTATATTCGTGTAGCCTCTAATATTATACAAGGCATACTCTCAGTCATGTTGGACGAAAAAGTAAACATCCATAGTAATACAACCCTGTAATCAATGTATACAACGAAACAACAAACCCTTCTATGAGACCACAGATGAAGTGGAGTGAACCTTTGGGATGATGAATATAAAACCCCGTCTACAGACACCAGGCAAAGACACCAACCAGCCCGCTCAGCACCAGCGAGACCTTCATCAGACGGTCGGCACCAGTCACGCCGATAGCACCGACTGCGTTCGCGCTGCTCTTCGAGCTGGATGTGGTGGCCGCAGCGGCCGCAGCCGTGTTAGTTCCCGACGAGGCGGACGATCCAGTCGTCGCGGTGGCGGCGTCCGAGTTGTACGTCTGACCCAGGGTGGGCAGGGCAGAGCTGGGATGCACCTCCCAGCCGCCGGAGGTGTATGCCGGGCACGAGGGCAGGGTGATGGTGGAGGTGGACTTTGTGTAATCCGACAAGGCCACACCGGAGGGGGTCAAGGTAGCCCACTGGTTCATCAGGTTGGTGAAATCGGGGCTGATAGGGGTCGGGGTGCCCGATCGGGTGTAGCCATCCTCGATGTTCGTGGCGGTCGCGGCAGCGCTGGACACATAAGGCCCATAGCTGATCAGACCGTAGTCGTTGGTCTCCTCGATCCATTCGTAGATGATGGCGCCGGACCAGGTGCCGTCCATGTCAGAGCCGAGAATGGCGGCCTGATCAGTAAAGGTGCGGGGCGAGACGGAGTTGCAGCCCGTCTCGGAGAAGAAGATGGGGATAGGGTAACCGGTAGCGTTCTTCTCGAGCATGTCATAGCCAGACTCGGTGTACGAGGAATCACCGCACCACTCGTAGGCGTTCAGAGAGAAGAAATCCAGACGCTCGGACGCATTGCTGCGGCAGGCCATGTAGTTCTGCAGCATGGGGCGCAGCTCTGTAATATCGGCGGCCGAATAGCCGACGGGAATCTCGCGGTAGCCCTGGCTGTCGCGGTAGGCCTTGATGTCACGAGCTGCAGCCAGGACATAGGGAGCTGCGGGAGAGCCCGCGGCGGTGGTGAGCACCTCGTTTCCGACAAACACACCGGCGGTGTTGTTGTACTGCTGGAACTCATCCAGCACCGCCTTGAACCGGTCGAACTGGGTCTCATTCCAGTGCGGACTGGTCTACAAATCGTTGTCATCAGTCTTTTTGCCCTGATTATTTAAATAGATTTGAGGCTCCTACCTGATCGATGGCGGTGTCGAAGGTGTCAAGATCAACCCAGAGATAGATGCCTGCATCCGCAAACGCCGACATGCAGCCGGAATGGTCACCGCTGGCGTCAACATGATACACACGGATGGTGTTGGCGCCCAGCTCGCTCATGACGGCGATATCGCGCTCGCATTGAGCAGTGTCCACGAGCGGGTCGTCGGGGGTAAGCTGATACGCAACACCTGGGCGGTGTCAATTGAATGGCTAATTAAACAGAAGCATATGCCACTTAACTACTTACCCTTGATGTAAAACTGCGTTCCATTCGGGTAGAAGAGTTTGGACCCCACAGCGGAGAGGGAGGGAATAGCGTGGGCACTCAGGGCGTGAAGGCCTCCCACCAGCAACGAGTATCCCGCGAGAGAGAAACGCATGGTGACGAAATGATGCAATTGGCAATTGAAGATATACTTGGAGAGCAGAAATATGTGATTATAGGAATGCACGTGTATCGCTCGGATAGTTAAGATAAAGTTTCAAGCTGATGTCTCGATAACTCAATCCCGTCAACGATCGTGGGTGTCAAAAGAAGATGGCGAGCAGCGAGAGAGCAACGGCGCTCTTGAATTTTCCTCTTGTAACAATGAAGCAGGAGCAAACGAAGGAGAAAAGCCGGAGTCGGTGCCCAGGGAAGGAGGCACTCGTCACAGACCGGCCGTTGTCGTGAGAAGCCAAGCGAAGGAAGCAAGAGTCAAATCTTTCCTGAAGCGACTGTCTTGAAATCAACAAGAAGAGAGAAGCGAAGAGAAGCGAAGAAAAGATAAAACCCAAACGAAGGGCGGGAGAAACCGAATCTAGGAGAAAACCCTCAATCCAGCATCCAAAAAAGGCGACATCCAAGAAAAAAACAGGAAAGGGGAGTTCGTCACCCACGGCGAAAACCCGAAGAAATCCAGGGTCATCCATCCCCAAGAAGGAGTAGCGCCGGGCAGGTTGGGAGCCTCAGGCCTCGAACTCGCACCACCGGTCCAGGCTCATGACTATTTTTGTTTTATTTGATGAGACTGCTAATAATGATTATTATTGATGAGTCGGGTTACCACTACTACTCGGATGCTGCAGTGGCCCAATAAGGGTTCTGGGATCCGGCTAGATCCCTGAATCCCCTTGGGGTCTTCCCCTGAAGTGATTGGTGATGACGTTTGCTTTATTACTAGCGAAGGGTACTTATGAGTACCTAGGTACACAAGGACTCCATAGGATCTGAAATATGTAGTATCAGTAGTTACCCCTGTACTCCGTACGGAGCCGTGATTATTATTGTTTGAATGTCCTTGTGAAGACTCGAAAGGAGCAAGGGAAGGCTTTTGTTTCACAACATTCGAGAACAACGCCGCGGACTATTGTTTCACGGGTTTAATAGTTAAAGATGGTCCAGATCGATTAGGAGTAACTAACTGCTAACTAGTTAGTTAAGCGGTGGTTAGCAACGGAGTCCTAACTTATTAGTTAGTTAGTTGGTTGCCCTCAGGTAAGCTGTCTCCCCTGTGCGGAGTCCTCCGTAAGGCTAGGAGGGTAATTAGGCGCTCTCCGTCCCCGGTAGAAAACAATGGATGACGAAGCAGTGGCTCCAACAAGGGAAGAAGGATGATCCTGATCCTTGGAAATCCCGCGATACTAGATGTCTACTACTCCGTAGTTAGTTATCTAGTAACTAGTAGTACGGAGTAGACCCAGACAGCTTAAAGGGCGCGCTAGGAAACAGATTTATTAGCCGGCAGATTAAATCCATTTCCGCATCACCAACAATGACGACGACGGTCAATAGTTGGCTCTGGGCAGCGCCAAGACCGGTGGTGAGCATCGCAGAAGCTCGTCTGACCATGTGCGACATATTAATAGAGCTCCGGAAAGGTGCTTCCTCTTCCTCCTTCTCCTTCTCTATCGAGGCCTGAGCCACGGAAGCAATGCTCTGCATGGACTCAGCGACTCACAATCCTTGTGCGCTTATCGGCTGCCAAGACCCAGCTTGTATCTAGTGCATCCACGGATCCCACACGGGCGACCACGAACGAGTAAAGCCCAGACCATACACCCAAGCAGGTTTCGGGGGAAGAGGCGCGATCGGCCCAAGCGTCCACATCTTGCACTTGTGGAGACAGGCGTCGAGTCGTCGTGGCCCGTCTCGTTGATCGGCGGTGGCACATAATAATTCCCGCATTGGTGTGAGTGTGTGTGTAGACTCTAACTACTACATAGAGTCCAGTGTCCACTGTAGGACTCCGTAGCAGTAGTGGTATGGAGTGGGTGTCCACCTCCAGTGTTACCCTTCATTTTTCCACGCCCCCCTCCCCCTTGTTTTTGTGGTGCTCTCCTGTTGCATGCCCGACGGACAGGCCACAACCTGTTTGCTGTACGCTGAGCTGTTCGGCATTCCGAATGCGAGACAGAGGAGGAGGGGGGGGGGGGGAGGGAGAGAGAGACATAGCAAGTCAGCAGTGCACACATCGGCAGAAGATACTCAACTCCCGTATTTCTATTCCGTTTTGTTCCGTAGTAGGTCAAAGGGAACCCCGGCAGTAACGATTATTTATTCTGCGTATTGGGCTGAGAGGCTCGCAGTCTCGCAGTCTCGCTCGCACTAGGCAGATGTAGTGACCGTTCTCGACCTTCTGTGTAAGGGCTCCACCGAGGACTATTGGAGCGTAGTTAGTCAATCAAAAGGCATATCGATGGAGACTTGCTGGGTTTCGATCGGCTCCTCGTTTCCAAGGGTCCCTTTGTTGACCCCCGTGTGCCTTGAAAAAGGCCCATTCTCCCAGGCTGTCGTTCTCTTTGCGTCAAGGCGTGTTTCGAAAGCGAGCATGACGTGACCTCACATGACTAGCCCACATTCTTCAATCTTCCCCGTCGCAGTGACTTTTGAACTCGCCCTCAATTCTTCAGCGTGATTATTAATTATATGTTTTATATTACGTCGTGTACAGAGTGCCTGGGCTCGTTTTAAGTTATTCTCCTTGCAGACGACAGCGCCCTCCCTGTGCTATCTGTGCTACGTGTTCCCGAACGTCGGTGTCTGTCGCTGGGAACGGCCTCGGTCGCACAACAACCCGTCTGGAGATTGTACCCTTTCTCCATCCATGGTTGCAGCATCGGAATATTTGACAATCCAATGGACGCTGCCATCGCTATCGCTTGATCTGTCTGACCGAAGCGTTGTGTCAAGTGCCACAGCGTAACTTTTGAGTGTTGTGCGACGTCACCATTCCAAGTCTATTACGCCCTTTTTTTTTACCTACGCATCAAGTACGGAGTACCTAGAAGGGAGCGGAACCTTTGGTCGAACAGGCAACCGGGGGACCTATATACAATTCATGAGGCTCACTGTTTCCGAAATTCATCATTCACGCAATAAAAGATGAGCGACACATCGCCCTTTCACATTGCTCGAAAAGACGAGGAGAACCTGGAGCGTAATGAGGCGTTCCAGGCGATCAGAGACCACTTGAAGCGGCAAGAGTTGGGCATGGATGCTCCGAGGTAGGAATTTTCTCTCCTTTTTTACCCTTCAATTGAGGTTCAAGGATTGACCCAGGTCTAGTTTTTGCTCTTTCCATCGCCATGCGTGTTCTACTGAAGATCAAGCCGTATTCCGACTTCACCGCGACATCATCCACACTCTGTTCCTTCCCCTGTTCGTCCTCCACACACAGGCGTCGCAGATCGCATCGCGCACGCTGCCTTCGCAGCGGGCGAGCGAGCCCGAGCGAGCGTTCCGCGGGGAAGCCCGCAGTGCTTACGCCTGGCTGCACTGCATCCTGACCGAGGAACACGACTGGTATATGACGGAGCGGTGCCCGGCCTGCATCGTGCTTCACATCTTACATTCCGAGCCGACCATTCGTTTCGTGGCGGTGGCCTGCATGCTCTCCGATCGCTTCCAGGACCTGGAACTTGCGGCGACTAAGCAGCAGTTGCCAGCATTTGACTTTTGGCTTGACGCTCTGGAGAGCGCGGTCCGCGAGGATCCCTTTTGGGGTCATGCGTTTTGGCCGGACATTGAGTACCGAGCCTGCGGGCTCGCCGACGCCGTCAAGCAGTTGATGCTGCAGTGTCGGGAGCTGCAGGCGGGGAACCCTCCCGTCCAGCCTGCGAGCTCCGTATGCAAGACCACCGTCTCGTACCGCCGCGAGACCACCGTGTGCACCATTCCGCTCAAGCCATCAAGCTTTGCGCGGAAGCAGTTGCGTATGACTCGCGAGGAGCAAAAGTTCTTATTGAGGTGAGTGCTCAGCGCCGACAAATGAAGAGACATATACCCTATACTAAACGTTTCAATTCAGTTCCAGTTCGATGCGTCCGTCTCGTCGGCGGTCGATCACTTCCTGAGCATCAATCTCGAAAAAACAAAGAAAGAAAAAAAAAAGAAATGAGAATTACAATACAAAAAAACTCGGCAAGAATTGCCAGACATTGCGCCACATACAATTTACCCACCCGTGACTCACACCGAGCGATAGATATGCCTCATGAGGGCTAAAGTACCGTGTCATGTCGAACACAAGATAACGCTCAGTGCGGATTATTTCAGTCTTTTTTTTTATATATATAACAAAAAGAAGAGAAATAAGAAAGATCGAATCTGAAAATGACGTCGAAAACCACATACTCGACCTCGTCACCCTACGAAGAGAAATTCGGCTATTACCGAGCCGTACGGACAGGGTCCTACATCTTCGTGGCAGGCACGACAGCCGTGGACCCGAACTCACCGGCGAGCGCGCCACAGGTGCTCTTCCCCGGCGACGCGCGGCGGCAGACTGTGACAGCGCTGCGCGAGTGCATTGCAGCGATTGAGGCGGTGGCTCCCGAGGGTGGCCCGGGCGCGGCCAGCGTGGTGCGAGTCAAGATGTACGTGGGACGCCATGAAGATTGTGAGGCGGTTGGCGCGGGGTTCAGAGAGGTATTGGGCAAGGATCAGAATGGCGAGGATACGAGAGGCACAGGCACAGGCACAGGACTCGGAGCTGTGGCGACCATGATTGTTGTGCACGGCGGGTTCGTCCATCCGGATATGCTAGTCGAGGTTGAGGTTGATGCTGTGCTTCGTACTCCGTAATCAAATAGAACAAATTACTACCTAATAAATCGAGAATCACGTGTCTAGATCATTCTACTGCAGAAGTAGGTAGGTATACCTGACAAGTGGTACCTAACCTACCTATGGAGTCTGTAGGCAGGTATGTAGGCAGTAGATACCCAAGACTGAATAGGCGCATGCACCTTCAATCAGCAGCCGCCATGTTGCAGTAGTGTAAACAATATTATTGTTACCGTAGGAGTACCTAGTACCTGGTACCTACTACCTACCTAGTAGGTACCTAGTGATCTATCTGAGACACAGTGGAGAGGAATCGAATCTCATTATCCATGGATCAGGAGATTACCGGTCCCGACAGACACGATCATTCTTCTTCATGGCAGCTTTCTACTCCACACTTGTCAGTTGCATCAGGTCAGGGTCATAGCTCTACGTAGTATACATAGTAGTAACTATTCCGTAGTCCGTACAGGAGGTAGGTACTACCTAGTAGGTAGGTAACTACTAGGTAAGTTCTACTAGCTAGTTACCTGGTACCAGGTAGTGCCTGAGGTACGGAGTACTGAAGAATGCAGGTTACCAATAGGTACCTAGACATTCAGCTTCCTAAGCCGAGATGGAATTTTCTTCTTGGAGGTAGATAGTTACTAGGTACTACCTCTTAATACTACCTAGGTAACTAGTACCTGAGGTACCTCTTAATACTACCTCCTACTGGAGAGGTGTATTAATAATACCGTATCATCCTCGCCAATCAAGGAATGGGCGGATCTGCGCAGGGCCGGAAAGGGAAGCCTCAGTGCCTTAAAAGACGCCCGTCACCACTTGTATTAGCATGTACGTACCTCTCCGTAGAGGGATTAATATCAGTGATCATGCTGCCATATGTAGTATGTACCTGTAGTACCTAGGTATGCTCTGTAGTACTTGGACAATTTTTCCTTTTTTATTACCCGTCTGATTAGTCCAACTTCCTTTCCTTTCTTTTTTTCGTATTCCTCCTCTCAAATCCTAGACGACGTATTGTCGATCCGTGGGCAGTGGGCCTGATCGAGATCAAGTTTGTCGAACACTGGTTATTTAGTATTCCTCTGTACGGAGTACATACTCTACATATTAAACCTTTCATCGACATTAATTTAGAGAAGCTGAGATATCATTATTATAATCATGATTATTTAAGAAGAAGAATAATAATATTAATAATAATAATAATATCATTATTATTATAATCATTATTATTCAAGAATTCTATTCTCTTCTTTGTATGGTATTGTCAGCCCCACTGCCTCCCGGTCTAGACCACCGTTGGCAGCCTCTTCCGTGTCCCCAGAGCAAAATCGCAGAGTCGGAGTGAGTCTGGCCTTTTTTGCTCGCTGCTGCTGCTGCCATCTCTGGCTGCCCCATCCCAGGCTCTGCTCTGCTTCTCCTGCCTCACCTCACCACCACCACCACCTCACCTCTCTTCATCTCTCTCTCTCTCTCTCTCTCTCTCTCTCTCTCTCTATCCTTCTCATTCATCATCTCGTCTCAACCCAGTGTCATCTCCTTCACTCTTCCTATTCTCGGACTCATCTCCTATCCTTCCCCTTAATTCAAACTCTCTCTCTCTCTCTCTCTCTCTCTCTGTCTTTCTTTCTCTCTCCAGTGCGGAATTCTTTTCCTGCCTCCTCCTCCCCCCGACCGAGAATTCCACCCCCCTGCATGTCTCGACTGCTTTCTCACCATCACAATGAACCGCTTCCAATGGTATCCAGCAATCTAATCATGCGTACTCCCTCCTCGGCCTCCCGGGGGCGAGACATCTTGGTTCAGTCGGAGCCCTACCCGACCGCTGCTCCTCCCCCTCCCCCTCCTCCTTCTTCCACTTCAACTTCGCTCGTTGCTGCCTTCGACCGCCCACGGACGGCTGAGCCCAACAACCATGACCACCATGATATTATTGACTCCCACTGCCACGACAACAACAACAATTACAACTACAACTATGATCACACATCTACCCTGCCTCGACTCCGACGGCGAGCTTCTCAGGGCTCCATCCGCTCCAAACCCTCCTCCATCGCCCGGTTTCTGGCCAAACGGACCTCGCCATTACAGGTCTCCCGCGATTCCTCGTCGCCATCCTCATGGTCCCGGATCGAATTGCGTACCTCGTCGGTCGATGCTCGCCTATCGGGCTGGGATGCTGTCTCGCAGAACCGGTCGCTCGCCGAGTACGCCGCCTCCTCGTCTTCTTCCTCGTCGTCAACCACCACAACCACCACCACCACCAACCTGCCCCCGACACCCCCGGACGACGACGAAGGGATCGGTTGGAACCCACGCTCGCCTGTCTCTCTCTTCGATGCGTATATGAACCCACAGTCACACCCCAGCCCTCATATGCATGAGGGACCCAGCATGGATGGTCATTCCGCCGGCTCGGACAGTCTGTGCAGCCCCTCGGATCGGATCTCCAACGGGGCCTCCTCCAGCTCTGACGGTAGCCTAGGCCTAGGCAACGATGAGATGGATTGTGAGCAGTCCCTGGAGGCCTGGCTCGAGAATGGCATCGAGGCAACCGGTATTTCTCCTCTCTTTTCTTTTCTTTTTTTTTTTTTTTTTTTTTTTTTTTTTCTCCCCAAAACATATCGCTAATATGAAGGTTCAGTAACTTCTCTCCCCGCGGCGTTATCATCCGCAGAACCTGTCCGCATCATCTCACAGATGTTGCCATACCCACGCGCGACGGCCGATCAGACCCTTAAGCTGCCCACGCAGGACAGTGTCTTCTGCTCCGTCATCCATGCCATCCACAACCGCCTGCAGCCAGGCCAGTCGCCCTACATCAACGTCACCCACGCCGTGCCCGAGCAGTTCAGCCTGTCCAACCTGCCCTCCTCGCCCACCAGCACCCCACGTGCATCCACCCTGCCGCGCGACGACTACTTCAGCCCCACCGTCTTCGCCAGCGCCGCGGCCGTGCCCGCCTATCATGATTTCCGCGGACCCATCCGCTCACCCGCCACCTTCTCCCGCGCCCCGAATCCGATCGTGCCGCCGCAGAGCGTGCACGTCTCCATCCTTGAACGCTACCTGCCCCCTTCCTCCGTGCAGGAGTACCGCGACCTCTTCGCCCCGGATCGCCCCTCCTTCCTGGTCGACCGTCTCTTCGAGCTGTCCCCGCACGGCGGCTCCCTGCTTTTCCTTTATCCCACCAAGAAGGGCGCCGCCACCTTCAAGACCCAGTATCTCGGTCCCATCCTTGACCCACTGCTGCGTCAGCTGGTCGTCGTCAATGGCCTCTCTGCTGACGTCGGCCGCTACCTGGGCAAGTTCTCCTCCGTCTCGCAGATGGACGATTTCGACACCATGCGTGCCCACCTGGAGCGCCTGTGCCTCGCCATGAGTGGGCCTACCTCGTGCTACACCGTCGTCGACGCTGGCAAGGGTTCCGCCTACCTCGACCGCGGTCTCTGGACCGAATGGTTCATCCACCAGGAAAAGGCTCGCATGAAGGAGGTTCTCAACGTCCACTGGCACAGCGGCCGCCGTGGGCCGGGCCTCAAGGGCCTGCCCGTCGCCGACAAAGACGTCACCTCTGCCATGTTGCTCAGTGAGATCTTCGAGGGCATTCAGCGTCGGCCCTATGAAACCGAACCCCGCGACGGCGTCGAGCTCGGCATCTTCGTCATCCGTCGGTCGTAAAACAATCTCTCTCTCTCTCTCTCTCTCTCTCTCTCTCTCTCCCTCTTCGATCTTCTTTTTCTGCTCATATATATCATCCTTTCTATATACCTAGGTCATCATCATTGGATAAACGGTTGGCGTTGGGAGGGTTGTACATGAATCAATACCCTGTTCGGTTGTAGTATAATACATGACGGGAGTAGTGTTGTGACCAGACTACTAGTTCCATAAGCATACAAATGACAGTTACTCACATCATCGTGCATCTAATAAGACCTACATAGGACCTACGGAGTACATAAGATAACTCTTTACTCCGTCCCGAGTAGTGCGAATACTGCGTGTAAAAGCGGTCTCCAAGGCGGTGTAAATCCACCTGCAGAATCACTCCCAGGCGGTCACCGGATTAGGACCGGACCGTCTCAAGCACTGAATCTGCTCCTTCCTCTGTACTATGGATTAGTCCCTACCACCTATCAACCGCTACCCATACAGTCTCAGAGTTCTTCTTTCTTTTTTATTTTCTTTCTCTTTCAATTTGAAAACAAGCCCCTTCCTATTTTATTCCATGGCATACTCGCCGACCTCGCCCGCTCTGGGCACCGGGTACGGGTTCGGCAACAACTTGCTCTCCCACGGGCGCTCGCCCAGCCCCGGAACCGCCGTGGCAGGGAATGGGATGATGGGGGTGAACTCGGGGATGAATGGAAGCAGCGCGGGTGCCGCTTCGTCGAAACGCGACAAGAGAAGATCCGCCTTGCAAGAGCGGCTGGCCGATTTGACCGCCTCATTCAGCCAGAACCGCGACGCCCATTTCCGACAGCAGCTGCATGCTCTGCAGTGCGATATGACGTTGCTGAATAACGCGGATCCTTACGACCCGGGCCCGTTGCCCGATGATGCGGATGAGATCGCCGCCTTGATTGAGAATACCGTTGGGGGGGGCAAGTTTGCGCGGGAGATGGCTGGGTTGGCGGGGATGTGGTATTCGCGTTTCGTGCAGGAGGTGAACCAGGCGAAAGAGGATCGAGATACGGACCTAACCATGTTGATGGTAACTGATACACTCTCATCCACTTGCATTTAGTCTACCTTCAAGAGGACTAACGTTTTTAGCACCGCCACAATGACAATCTCGACCGGTTCAATCGCGAGTATCGCTTCCGCGTCCATTTCGCGAGCGAAGAATACAACAAGCTGTCTGGCACGCTGCGGGAACGGCTGGTCAGTTCGATCAATGGGAAGAAGACGCGGCTGATGCGCGAAAAGGAGCATCTGGATATCGCCGACACCAACGCCCTGCTGCTGCACCCGAACCAGTTTAGCATCACCAACCCGGCCAGCCCTGGGGGTCTGCACGGCAACCGCAAGACCCGACACACCCGCCACCGGATCGACCTGGACGAGCTCGGGAATGGCGTGTCGGATGCGTTTGGCGGAGGCAACGCCGCGGGCGGCGGCGGGACCAACAAGCGCAAGCGCAAGGCGGACGACGACCACCCGCCGGCGTCGCCTGCGCGGGACGCACCCACCCCGGCGGACCGGGCCAAGGTGAAGGAGGTGCAACAGCAGAACGCGGCGGCGTACTCGATCCACTCGCTCTTCACGGACAAGGAGCTGACGCTGCACGCCAACTACGCGCACGTTGCGACGACGCACTTCTTCTCCGTCTCGCGGCGCGCCGAGCACGCCGCCTCGGGCCTCGCGACCAACGGCCACAACACGGACGTCGACGAGGCCTCGGGTTTCGACGGCACAGGCGCCGAAGACAACGGCACCCCCGCGGAGTCGATGGCCCGCACCGCCAGCCACCAGAACTTCCACCACGCAACGCGCTCAACTCGCACCCAAGCCCACGCCGCGCTGAGCACCCTCGCCGACCTGTCCGACAAGCCCGCCACGCGGCCCAATCTGCCCTATCACATTCTGGCAAACTATCATGCCCGCCCTAACGGCAACGCGCCCCCGCTCCCCTCGCTGATGAACGACGAGATCGAAGACGACCTCGCGCGCATCGACCGTCTGCTGGGCCAGCCCGCTAGCTTCATCGACCGCACCTTGATAGACGAGTGCATCGAGGTCCCGCACGACGATGTCGGCGAGGGCGTTGTCCCACCGCAGGACCCCGCGCGGTTTAACTTCCTGCACCCGGATTTCCCGGCGGATATGGGTGTCCGCTGGTTTCCTATGCGGAACGCCGGGGAGCGCGAAGCTGTCGAGATGTTCAAATAGTTTATGTGAATAAGGGTTTGGATTACGATACCATTATGTTTTGTCTTTGTTGGTTGCTGTATTCTTTTGCACTTGCGTGTTCTGTCCTATGCATATTCAATTACCTGGATGCTATATCAGTGCTACTGCTGGATGATTATTTTAGACAGTAGTCTATTACTATCATTTTCTTAATTTCAACCATGTGTTACCGGGTATTACCTGGTAGTTTATACTGGTCTACTTCTAGCTGTGTTATAGATGTGTTTTAGGTGAGGAATAGAACTTGGGAGATGCACACAGATACAATGCTCTGCAATTCATATAGACATGTCATTAAGACTCTTAGCCAGTTCCCCCAGTCCTTGATGATAGCTATTCAAATGGTCCTAGCCAAGTCAGAGGAGAATAGATATACATCCCAAAGATACGTCCGTGACTTACCATCATCGAAGCAGGAAGAAAGGTAGGAAGCAGCCTGCAGAGCAAACTATTCGGCCCCCTCCAGAGCATCCCGCCCTTTCCTGGGCGGAGGATATCATCGACAATAATCCGGGCAAAGTGGTCCGGCGAGCATTCCAGATTCTCGGGCACCGCCTCTCCAGACGCCCAGGTCGCGATAGTCGAGCGGATGGCTTCGTAGCGCGACGACGGTGGCAGTACGAAGACGGGCTTGTTCTTGTGGAAAGACGTGGCGACCAGGCCGGCCATGACGGTCATCACGGAGACGCCGAAGGGAGCGAGTTCCAGCCGGAGTGTTTCGGAGAGGTTTGTCAGAGCGGATTTGGAGGATGAGTAGATGCCTGAAACATGAAGAACCGTTAGAATATATATATACTTATAGAATAAAAAATGAGGCAAGGGTTTCTCTTCCTACCAATCCATGGAGTCCCGACGGCCGCACTGATAGAACTGATATTGACGATGCGGCCGCGGCGGGCGATCAACAGGCTAGCAAAGGCTTGGATGGTTCGCAGCGGTCCCCAGACATTTATGTCGTAGAGGCGGACGGCCTCGTCGAGGTCTGAGTCCAGCAGAGGAGCGGTATATCCCATCCCAGCATTGTTGATGAGGATGTCGAGTCCGGGGGGGTTCTGCTGGTGTTCTCGTTGCTGCTGCTGCTCGACGGCACGCACAGCTGCAGCCACAGAATCGACAGAGGTCACGTCCATGGCCAGCGTGGTGACATTGGACAACTCGCTCAGGGACGCCGGGATTTTGGCCGGCAGACGGGCCGTTGCAAAGACGTGGTGGCCCTGGTAGGCGAGGGCGAGGGCGAGGGCGGCGCCAATGCCGCCGGCGGAACAGCCAGTGACGAGAATCGTCTTGCGAGACATGATAGGCGTTTAACTTAAAAACTTTATAGAAAGAAGCATCCAGGGTGGGAGGCTGTCCATCCTTTTTATACTGCTCGGCTCCGCCCCCAATCATCTTGGACCATGCGTTCAGATTGATAATTGCATCCAATCACACTGCCGCAGGAATATCTGGAAATCCTCCCTGTCGTATTCCAAGGGTCACTATTGATATCGAGTGTGTACCATGGCAAATTATTAGATAATAGAAATAGCCTGGGAAACACAGTTGATATTCTGATGCCTATATTGTGACTGTATCAGTTGGAGAGTGGTATCCAGTGGCCAAGAGCCAATCAAAGCAAGGAAGTATAGACCGTCTTCTATTAGTTTCTTCTTCTTCTCAAATAGAAGCAATGGAATCTCTCCCTAGTAAAGTAGGACTTGTGGTTCTGTAGACTGAAGCTCAACTGTTGTTGTGAGTCGTGACCCTTGATGCACGTGGTCGACGCGTGACTTCCACATGGCGGCAACTTTTATCTCGACTCTTTCAACCTTTGACTCTCACTGACTCTCACTTACCCTATCTTATTGATTCATCTCACCTTGGCTTTTATTTTGACTAGGTGCTTGTATAATATAATAAGAGAATATGCTAATTTTAATAGAGATGCCCTCGAGAGTGGACGAGCAACTCAAACACCCGATGTACAGAACGCTGTCGAAGAACTAGAACCATCGAATCTACTCTAGATATAGTCGAGACAGGAAGAATGGCTATTAAATAATACATGGAACCTACGGTACATCGAACACCGAATAATCCAACGGCGCAATGGCGTGCTTCTCCATCGCCAATGACAGTGATGGTTATCCATGATGCTTATGTGATCTGGGGTTAAAATGATGTCATTTGAGGGGTTCGTCGAATAGAGAATAGAGAGAGGGAGGGAGAGAGAGAGAGCGTACGGAATTGTGCGTGGCTTTTGCAGGGAGAATTCATCATGACACTTCCTTCCAGACCGAGTGAATTCGATGCCCGATACCTCCGCCGCCTGGTAGGGACTAAGGCCATTGCCTTTTATGACTTCGACTCCCCGAAACAGCCGTCTGCTGTCTCTCCCTCTGTGGCCCCCCCAGGGATCAGCCGCTCGTGGATCGTCACGGAAAAGCTCTCAGAGAGCGCTGTTCATCTCTCACAGGAAGATGTCGACATGGGCTCGGGGTCCCCCATGACCGTTGGCAAATTTCTGTGCCACCTAGAGGAGGGCCCGACATAGATAGCGTTTATGCGAATATACTATCAGATTCCTATCACTGGAACGGAGGACGCTGATCTGGCTACACTAGCGCAACAAATCCAACCTCTTGAGGTGTGTGGTGAACTAGAGACGTTTAGGCTATTGATGAATCAAGGCTGAAGCTCTGTTCCACGTTTCCTTAGCTACTACGAAAAAACGCAAGAGGAACATAATCTCGTTCCCACTGGCTATGTCAAATACCTCGTATGAAAACCGGTGCCTAGGGAGTCTCTTACAGAGGAATTCTTCTGGAGCTTGGATCCTCTTGTACGAGAGAACATCCGTGCCAGATTTCGTGCTGCCTTCGAGTCAGTCTACGCAAACCCAAGGTTGGCAGACAGACAAATGGCTAATACAACCAACAGAGAGATGCTGCGCTGCGGTGTAAAACCACAGGAGTCTAGAATCTCGAAGATCATCTATGACAAGTCCACTGGCAATGTGCCCGTCAAGGATTCTACGTATATTGGGGATATTTACTAATTGTTCAGTCGCATTTCGGGATTTCGAAGGGGATGGCCAATCCGTGATGAAATTCAATGGTCAGACACCCGTTATATCGCGTACAGGCTGGCTAAGCGACCTGACGAGAGGGACTGGCGTTCTCACCCGGAGAAATGGGAGTATTGAAAGGTTAGCAAGGTTGCAGTTAGTGAGTATCAAATTATGTTCAAATTGCTACTCTCCGTCCAAAGTGTTATGCAAGTCGAAATCGACTACAAGTTGAAGCGGCGACGAAGGGACTTTATAGAAACACGCACGGTGATAGTAACGCGCAGGCAAGGGCTAAACCTGAAACAATATATTAAACCATTTTGCGTAATTCACCGTAGGTATTCTGCACTCAGTGGACAGGGAGATGCGTGGATTACAAATAGGACTGTGGAATAAATGCTTTTGTCAGCAGAGAAGTGCGGAGAATTGTCAGGGCCTCATATAAATAGTACTCCAGTACTAGCTAGGCAAGAGGAAATGTTATTATTTCTAAATCATTATCTATCTCCCCACCATGTCTGCAACAGTTACTATCACAAAAACAACTGCCACCGCTGAAATCCCTCGAGGACCGGTGGAGGCGGACCTCGTCTTCTACGTCCCCCCCGAAGACGGATCAAGGCCCTTCAACTACGTCGAAGAGCCACCAACAGGTCTTCCCCAGCGTAACTTCGGCGAAACAACACACAAGGTCACGATCGAGGATATCCGGGGTGACGAGCATGCCTACGATCTCGACACCGACGCTCTGCAGGCGTTGCAGGGGGTCCCCACGCAAACCACATACGCAACCTTCGACTCGGACGAGGAGGTCCAGCGCGTGTATTACCCGGAGGTGGAGAAGTTACTGTTCGACCACGTTCAGGGAGTCCACAAGGTGATCATCTTCGACCATACGATCCGCAGACAGGAGTCGAAGGCGCGTCGCCAGCCCGTCAACCGCACGCACGTCGACCAGACAGCCAAAGCCGCTGCGGACCGGGTACGTCTGCACGTCTCAGATCCGGAAGAGGCAGAGAAGCTCCTTCGCGGCAGATATCGTATCATCAACGTGTGGCGGCCTTTGAACGGGGCGGTGGTCTCCGCCCCGCTGGCGTTTGCATCTGCTGCGTCCGTCGATCGGGAGAACGATCTCGTCGCGGTCGAGCATCGCTATCCAGATCGTACGGGGGAGACCATGCAGGTCAAATATAACCCCGCGCTCAAGTGGAAGTACTGGTCTGGAATGGAGAATGATGAGCGCCTGCTGCTCAAGTGCTCTGATACCGCGGAGGGTGTCGGCACGAGCGTGCCTCATACGGCGTTTGTCGACCCCAGGACGCCTGTTGGGGGGAAACCGAGAGAGAGTATCGAAGTGAGGACGTTGGTGTTTGGATAGTTTAGTATCTATACTTGGTAAGATGAATCAATAAGGTTATTGATTCACTTACCATGCTTTTTGGTAACCTCTCTTATATACATGCCATGACGGATTTTATAAACAACGTATCGTGAATTCAAACCATTGCTTAAAATACTGGGATCTTTCTTGGTGAGGAGGCATGCTGCATCATGTCCACTTCATCCTTCTCTCGGAAGTTTGGTCCGTCAAGAGAACGGGATCCAGGTCCGAGATTGTCTACGACACCTTTTGGGAAGCTGGGAATCCTCATTGCGTCAAAATTGTGATACCTCGCACTCTTTAAACATGGCTGACAACCATGCCTTACAACCTAATTTCATCAAAGGGCAGACAAGCAACCAGGTGCGATTCTTCTCCGAGAAAGTAGAGACGCCAATACCTCGCATCGCCGACGTCCTCCGGAGGGACCACCACGAGATCGAATCCGTCTATGACCGGATCCTCACGTCCAAGGATCCAGACGAACAGACTCGGTTCCAGAACCAGTTCACGTGGGAAGTCGCCCGGCATGCCATCGGCGAGGAGCTCGTCGTGTATCCTGCCTTTGAGAAGTACCTATCGAAAGGGGGTGAGATGGCAGACAGGGCTCGTCGCGAGCACCAAGAGGTGAATTCTGACCTCGCCATTCGTGTTTAGTTGGTATTAAACCATTTTTCAGATGAAGGAGAAACTCAAAGAATTCCAAAGCCTCAAGTCGACCGACCCCCAGTTCCACACCAAGCTGAAGTCTCTCATGGCTGATCTGCAGAACCACATCGAGAAGGAGGAATCAGGCGATTTACGGCGGCTGGAAGAGGTTCTGAGTCAGCCTGACAGCCAAGGTCTGTCCAAGTCTTTCGACCGTACAAGGATGTTTGTCCCCTCTCGATCGCATCCCAGCGCACCAAACAAGCCGCCCTTTGAGACGGTGGCCGGTTTGCTGACGGCGCCGATGGACCGAGTGGCAGATCTGTTCCGTAAATGGCCAGACGAGACACGGTTTTTGTAATTAGATTAGTAGTGAGCGTGTCGATGACTTGAGCTCGATAGACCCTCGTTGTTGTGGGAAAAAAAGAAGAACAAACGCGACTTCGTGTCTACGTTTGTCGACCTTTCCTTTTTGGGGTTCCTCCGTACTTGTCAATACAACTTCGTATAGCAACAACTCCTAGACTCAGTAGTTATTCTTGTCACATGCATCACAACCTCCAGGCTCCAGCGGCAAATAGCTGGCTGCAGGTCGTGAGCCGCCAGCGACAAGACCATCAGCCCTCTCAAGTCCCATCGTCTACGCTTGCCAAGGCTTCGCAGCTCATTCCTGCTCCGGAGCTAGCACAGGCGAAGCACGATACTCGCGAATCAGGCTGGAGCTTGGGCACTTGTTGGTGGGAATTGACGCTGTTTTATCCAAGATGAGTGGCTGTCATCCAGCGAGCCAAGCGCTGCTAATAATAACTAACACTGGGTGTCATTAGACTTATTCTTATCCACTGATCCAATATCCACCTTTATCTGCCTTATTCTCCCCCCACACGGCATCGACGCTGAGATCGAGTATTGGTCTTTGTTTACGTTGATGGGATTTCAAGCCGTTCGTGAGCGCGGTTGGTGTGACAGACTGCTGCGAACTAGCCCTATGTACCTCCCTGTTTCTTTCGATTGGGATCCCTCGATTAAACGCCCACGGTGCCTGACCCGGTCTCTCGGGTCCTGAAGGCGGGCGACAGGTGCTATTCCGGTCATAGTGCCGAGCCGAAGCGCAGCGGCAAACAAGGGAAGGGAGAGATAGAGAGAGAGGCGGAGGGAGAAAGGAAGAGAGGAAAGAGAAAGAACCTCATGATAAGTTTAGACATCGATCATAAACAGCGTTACCTTCGCATTCGACACGGTTTCCGCTTCAATAGAATCAAACCACCCTACCTCCGCACTGCTGCCTTTGGTTGATCCATAATGATCGTTGGCAGAGGCCCTCCATTGAATCTCATAGTGTAAGATCGTGGAACGTGAGCTGAAAAGTGACGACAACAACCATCAAATATGGATAATGAGACGAACGTCGAAACCGAACCTCGCCGGAGTATTCGTCGTTCTGAGCTGCGGAACTCAAGATACAATTTCGCCCTCGGCGCAGAAACTATTCATGAGGAAGCAAAGCCGCCTAGGACGCCTGCCATCATCATCAACTACGCTCCCAACGTTTCGTCAGGTGTGACTAGAAGCTCCACGGTGCTTCATCATCCAGCCGATACAGCGTATACCCCATTTGGTTTGCGCCGTTCCCACCGCTCAATTGGTTCTGTGGATGAGCTATCGCGACCGAAATCGATCATCAAGCGGCTGTCGAGTCTCAAGTCGCCAGATCTCCGAGCGGGCTTGCCATTCTCTCCTCGACAGAGCAGATACTCGGCGATTCATGAGCTAGAAGATTGGGGTGAAAGCGAACCGACCAACGTGGATATATCCTTTCTTGAAGGACCGAATAGCACGTTTTCACTCGCACAACCAATATCAGATCGAGATGGTCAGAAATCCGGAGGCGAAGTGGTTTTGGCCGAAGTCAGTGTTCGTCGCGATAGCGACCCCGAGGCATCGTCGAAGTCGAGCGCCATGTTAACCGTGGATTGCATGACGGAGGACTTAGCACGGGCTGCGTCTATCAGAGACTACGGACAGAAGCTGGCTAGGAGGTCAAACATGATTGTTGCCATCAAGGATTTATCACCGTCTGTCGACATCACTTCTTTGGAAGGTGGGAACCGATCATCAGCCGTCTTCGAGACTCTCGACCAGGCCTGCCAGAGCTACTTTTACCCCACTGACCCCGAACAACCGAACTGGAAGCCCTTATCGATGAGGACGCCATATATCATTATGTTGGTTGTGGTGTCTCTCGTTTTGGCGGGGGTGGAGGAGTACCTGTGCCAAAAGTCCAGATCCCTCGAAAAGGAAGGTAAAGGCTTAATTCAGTATAACACAGTTGCCGACATCCCTGTCATTGAGTTCTTCTGCTGGAAGTACCTCCCGACCATGGTAATGGTCAGCTATGGTGTTCTCTGGCAGATCACTGACTACGAGGTGAAACGATTGGAGCCGTACTTCCAACTGTCTCGCCCGGGCGGCAACACTGCCGCGCAAAGCTTGAACCTCGACTATGTGACCCAATGGACCTATCTTACTCCCATTAAAGCATTCTATTACCGACAGTGGGCTGTCTTTGTTGCCTGTATTGGCTCCATCCTCGCTACTGCGGCCGCTCCCTCTCTACAGAGTCCCACGATTGCTCCTGTCCGCAATCCCCTGTGCACCGGCTCTCAAGACGACACAGACTGCACATTCGAGTACTTTGTCCGCATCAGCTTGGTCTGGTCGCGCCTCCTGACCGCCTGTCTGATCATTGTCGCCCTGCTGGGGATTGTTCTCATGGTGCAATTGCGCAGAAAGTCCGGGTTGCTCAGTGACCCGCGTGGAATTGCCGGCGTCGCAGCCATGGCCACCAAATCACACATCCTCGCCGATTTCCAGGGGATGGACGAGGCCACCACGGATGAGATCCACCAGAGGCTTCGCCACCGGCGCTACATCCTGCACAAGTCCACTATCTGGCAAGGTGAATACATGAGACAGAGTGAACACGACCCGTACGCAGAACGCAAAGCCACCAACCCGCACCCAATCATCCTTCGCAGCCACTCCCTTCTCGCCCTGGTGGGCTTCCTCTTTGTCGTCCTCCCCTTCGTCCCCGTCATCACCTACACGAATCTCAACGTGATCCCACAGAATCTCCCCTGGCTGCCCGTGCTGGTCGCCACGCTGATCAAGCAACTCTGGACGACGCTCGAGTTTGCCGTCAAGATGATCGAGCCCTTCCACACGTTGTACAGAGGCAATGCCCGGCCCGAAGTGACACTCACCCTCGACTACCAGGGGACCCCTTACGGCCTGCTCCCGCTCAAAGCAGCATGGAACAGACACTACCTCGTCGCGCTGGTCGGTCTGGGCTCCGTATTGGGAGATATCCTAACCGTAACGGCATCGTCGCTCGCGCTCACCAACGAGACGTACAAATCCTTCACGGCCTCGTCCGGCATCTCCATCACAATCATCCTCCTCCTGATCGTCTCCGCGCTCGCCGTATACGCCCACCGGCGCCACACGTTTCTCCCGCGCCAGCCTTCAACCATCGCCTCCGTCCTAGCTTTCATCCACCAGTCGCGCATGCTGGATGATTTCGTCGGCACGGAACGCTACACAAATAAAGAAATGGAAGCCGTCCTCGTCGCGAAAAACAAACGCTACGCGCTCGGCTGGTTCAAGGGACGAGATAGCCAGCCTCACTGTGCTGTGGACGAGGAACCAATGCTGAGCAGGTATAAGCATGGGGTCAGCTATTTGCAGGCCCAGGCGCCTTGGGTAGAGAATGTCTGATTTTTTTTCTCTCCTTTGTCACCGTTCATGCCTAATGTTTTTACGAATAGATAGATAGCTATTACTATTACTATTATTATATAGAACATTCTTAAGTCAAGTCAATACATTAGTTCTTACACTCTACCTAGAGCATCTCTATGATAACCATGGTCTGATGTTTTGACTAGATACGGATAGGATCTATGTGTTGTAAATTGTACATGAACAGAACAGCGACTTTAAGGGGCAAAAAACAAGAATAAACAGATAAGAGACAAAAAAAGAGAGATTAAACCATGCACAGCAACAGAGCTAATACCGTCGCAATCCACAGACCCGATGATACCGAGACCGCTGGTGCAGCAGAAGTGTAGAGCTCATTAGACGAGAAAGAGGGGAATCGGCCAGTCCCCGTTGCGACCGCCAGGCGTGTGTACAAGGTGATCGAGGGAGTAGCGCTTTTTGTGCCGGCAAGGGGACCAGACGACGAAGTTGCAGTAGCACTGGCAGTTCCAATAGCTGGGACAAGTTCAACAGTGGCTGTTGCGTTGGCCGTGATGGTTGTGAAAGTCACGCGAGGCACGGTCACAGTGTAAGTGCTGTAAGTGATTGTTGTGCACGGCATGGCTGATGGTTTGCCGGCGGGTTTACCCACGGTGTAGCGCGCACCGTCGGAGTGAGAAAGAGTGGCGAAGGCAGAGGAAGGCAGGGGAACCGCCGTGGCTACAAGTGTGATATTCGATGGGATGGCCGTGATGATGGCTGGGTTTTGCGGTACGTAGGAGGCGCAGATACCCGTGAAGAATGAGAGAGCATTCTGGAGTTCAGCGTAGGAGGTCGACCGGGACTCGAGGCAAGTGATCACTTCATCGGTGAAGGCCGAGGACGGGCAGTAGCAGCTCGAGTCACTGTTGGAGTCGCAGTCGGTCACGACGGAGAGCCAGGTTTCGATACACTGGGGGACAATCTCTGGGCAAGGCACCTCAGAGATAGTCCACACGCCGGATGCCGATGCTGCTGCCGCGGAAGCACTGGCTGCCGCGCATCGGGGGCAGTAGGAAGTTGTCTCGGTCACGGTCACTGTTGAAACACTGTTGTAGACAGATGTATACTTCTTGCCATCAGATGTGATGGTTGTTGTGACGGGGCAGGTGGTGATGGTTTCATATGTCACCACAGTCACTGTGTAGTCTTCTGGCACTGTCGTGGAGACTGCAGTGGCGACCGGGGCTGGCGTGGTGACGTATTCCGCCGTTGCAGTAGCAACTATTGTTGATACTGAAGATAAAGTGATTGTTGAGGCAGTGGTATACACGGTGGTATACTCCTTTCCACTGGACGTCACGACGGCCGTCACAGGGCAGGTGGTAATAGTCTCCCACGTAACAACAGTCACCACTTCGGGAACTGAAGTTGCGACTGCACTGACTCCCGCACTGACACCAGCAGCTGGTACAGTTACTTGTGCTGTCTCAGTTGCAACCACAGTTGATACCGAAGATAAAGTGATTGTTGAGGCAGTGGTGTACACGGTGGTATACTCCTTTCCACTGGACGTCACGACGGCCGTCACAGGGCAGGTGGTAATAGTCTCCCACGTAACAACAGTCACTACCTCGGGAACTGAAGTTGCGACTGCACTGACTCCCGCACTGACACCAGCGGCTGGTACAGTGACATATGCTGTTTCAGTAGCAACTACCGTAGATACCGAGGATAAAGTAATGGTTGACGCAGTGGTGTAAACGGATGTATATGGCTTGCCTTCAGACGTGACGACTGTAGTGACAGGACAGGTGGTAATAGTCTCCCAGGTAATAACAGTAACCACTTCAGGAACCGAAGTTGTGACTGCGCTAACACTAGCGGCTGGTACAGTGACATATGCTGTTTCAGTAGCAACCACCGTCGATATTGATGATAGAGTCACAGTTGAGGCGGTAGTATATATTGAGGTGTACGCTTTACCGCTAGATGTCACGACAGTCGTGACAGGACATGTTGTAACTGTTACCCAGGTCACCACGGTCGTGGTTTCCTCCTCAGGAACAATCGAAGTAGCTGTGACGCCAGGTGTGGATTCGGCAACAATTGAAGAGTATGTCGTGACATCCCGGACGGTTGTGGACTCTTCAGGGACGACCGAAGGAACACTAGTTGCACCAGGGGCACCTGTGGATTGTTCAGGAACAGTCGTGGACTCTTCAGAAACGCCTGAAGAAACAGAAGTTGCGCCAGGAGCGCCTGTAGTCTGTTCAGGGACAGTCGAAGAAACAGCAGTTTCAGACAGTGTGGCAGACACGGCCCCTACTCCAGGAGAGATAGTGGTAGCCGGGGCTGCTGTACTAGCAGCCAGACATCTCGTGCAGTAAGTCGTGGTCGAAGTCAGCGTGACAGTGGAGATAGTGGAAGAGACAGTTGTATAAACAGAAGTAGTATGAGCTCCAGTGGAGGTGACGACCGCAGTGACAGGACACGTGGTGATAGTCACATATGTAACGACTGTGGTGATGATTTCTTCAGGAGCAATTGAAGAACTAGCAGGCACACTGGCAGCAGTTGTAGCAGCTTCTCCCGGGACAGAACCAGTGGTTTCCCCTGCAGCAGGAACAGTGGTCTCTCCTGAAGCAGGAACCGTGGTTTCCCCTGAAGCAGGAACAGTGGCCTCCCCTGAAGCAGGAACAGTGGTTTCCCCAGCAGCAGGAACAGTGGTCTCCCCTGAAGCAGGAACCGTGGTTTCTCCTGGGGCGCCCCCCCCAGAAATAGTCGCAGAAACAGCTCCCACGCCAGGAGAAATAGTTGCTGTAGAAGCTTCCGTGCTGGCAGCCAAGCATCTAGTGCAGTAGGTTGTAGTTGAAGTGAGTGTAACTGTAGAGATAGTGGAGGAGACAGTTGTGTAAACAGAAGTAGTATGATCTCCAGTGGAGGTGACGACCGCAGTGACTGGGCATGTTGTGATGGTCACATATGTAACGACTGTTGTAATATACTCTTCTGGGCCAACTGAAGAAGTAGCAAGCGCACCAGGAGCAGAGGTAATTCCACTGGGAGTAGTGGTCTGGGCTTCACTAGGAGCAGTGCTAGCTTCACCAGGAGCGGTGCTGCTTCCAGCAGGAATGGTGGTTTGGATTTCACTAGAAGCACTGCTGCTTCCAACAGGGATAGTAGACTGTGCTTCACCAGGAGCACTGCTGCTTCCAGCAGGAATGGTGGTTTGGCCCTCAACAGGAACAGTGCTGCTTCCAGCAGGGATAGTCGTTTCCCCGGGGGCAGCTCCGCCAGAAATGGTTGCCGAAACAGCTGCCACACCAGGAGAGATGGTTGCTGTAGAGGCCTCTGTGCTGGCTGCCAGACATCTTGTGCAATAAGTTGTGGTTGAGGTCAAAGTGACTGTGGAGATGGTGGAGGAGACAGTTGTGTAAACAGAAGTAGTATGATCACCTGTCAAGGTGACAACCGCAGTGACGGGGCACGTCGTGATGGTCACATATGTAACGACTGTTGTGATGATTTCCTCTGGAGCAACAGAAGAAACAAGGATCGTGGTGGCAGCTTCTCCAGAGACAGAGGCGGTAGTAAGAGCCTTTCCAGAGACAGGTGCAGTACTAGAAGCTTTTCCGGAGACAGGGGTAGAAAGAGCTTGTCCAGAGACATAGGCGGTAGTAGCAGCCTCTCCAGAGACAGGGGTGGAAGTAAGAACTTGTCCCGAGGAGGGAACTCCCGTACTCGAAGCGAGACATTCAGTGCAGATCGTGGAGACGGACGTTAACGTCACCGTCGAAACAGTGGTATGGACGGTGGTAATCGTACTGCCGCCGGTAGTTTTGACCTCTGTGACTGGGCAGATGGTCGTCGTTTCATATGTAACAACAGTCACGATGACGTCTGAAGGGGTCGCAGGCACAACCGTCACGGTGGAAGCTGCGCTCGTATCGGCAGAAGATTCTGCGGGGGCAGTCTCAGCGGCAACAGACGAGGGACCAGTAGAAATTTCGCTAGTCGCAGCTTTGGTGACACCGGTAGAAGACTCGGCCGGGGCAGTCTCAACAGCGACAGACGAGGGACCAGTAGAAATGTCGGCAGTAGCACCACTGCTGGATTGCGCAACAGCAGCAACAGATGAGGGGAGAGAAGTGGCTTCACTGGAGGCTCCGACGGACGAAGACTCTGCTCCAGATGTTCCCGGAGTAGCAGTTTCTGTGGCGGCCCCCTGAGAACTTGTCTCTCCAGGAGCTGGCGCAGTGCTTGCACCGGCCGAAGCACTATTGCTAGCGGCTCCGGAAGTCGGGGTGATAGAGGCACGACGAACAGAGGTACTGATGGGGATCCTAGAGGTGACTACTGTGGTAGAATCGGCAGGACAGTCGGTGATGGTTGCTGCACAGCTGGTGATGGTGATTTCGCTTGTTGTGTAGACCGTGATTGTCGTGAGCTCGTCTGTGGGAGCAACAGCAGAGGTGGTCCCGTAGACAGCAGCAGAGGTAGTCTCGGAGCCAGCACCAGAGGGGGTTTGAGACGCAGTCTCGGATCCCCCTGGGACAGCACCTGAAGCTGTACCAGACGCACCAGGAATTTCACTCGAGGCACCAGCAGCAGTGCCCGAACTGGAGGCCACGCTAGACGCAGTAGGAATTTCACTGGAAGCACCAGCAGTGCCCGACCCGGAATCCCCCACTGCAACTGCACCTGCAGAAGCGGTGGTCGCAGCAGCAGTCTCCGTGGCGGTGACAGGGCAGATGGTGGTGGAGATGGCGATGGTGGAGGTGACGACAACGGTGGAATCAGCCGGGCAGTTTTTCACTGTAGAGGCGCAGCTGATGATCGTGACCTCGCTAGTGGTGTAGACGGTCGAGGTGGTGTACTTGGGTGCAGCAGAGATAGCTGCAGAAGTGTATGCAGCAGCAGTAGAGCCTCCAGTAGAAGCAGGATAAGCACTGGTAGAACCAGACGAAGTGTATCCGGCAGACGTGGATTCAAGGTTTCCAGACGACTCTGCAGAGCCAGAAGCAGACTGAGTGAAGCCACCAGCGACAGACTGAGTACTTCCCAGTCCAGCAGACTGAGAGACGCCACCAGCGACAGACTCCGTACCAGCAGGCTGAGCATCCCCGGTTGTATCGCCAGGCTGAACGGATGCTGCAGGAGCAGACGCAGTGTATCCCGCAGCTGTGCTCTCAGCCTGGCCAGTAGCAGCAGCGACAGACTCCGTATAACCAGAGCCAGCAGAGACGGCGACGGTTCCATGGCTATCGGAGGGAGTGGCAGCAGCTGTGCTTTCCACGGCAGTTTGGGTGGAAGCAGAAGCCTGAGTGTATCCAGCAGCCTGAGTGGAAGCAGCAGCCTGAGTGCTTTCCTGTCCAGAAGGATCTCCATCCTCCCCATCATGTGACCCCTCAGCTCCGGCCGAGACTGAAGAGGCAGCAGCAGAGGCAGAGGCAGAGGCAGAAGCCTCAGGCACTGACTCTCCCACAGCAGACGTCGGGGCAGCCACGGGCGTGACAACGATGGAATCATACTCGCGCACCTTCAACCCATTCTCACCGGATCCAGCTCCCCAGAACTAATCATTAGAATCGTTTGTTGTGCTTGAAGCGATAGTACTTACAGCCTGTCCCACGGCGAGGAAAGAGAGAAACGCCGAGAGCGTTGCAGTCTTCATGGCGAAGATGAAGCGATACCAAGCGGAAGTATCAAGCGAGAGTATCAAGGAAAAAAGACTATGGTAGGAATGAAAAGTATCGATAGCAAAGGCAAGCGAGGGTATGATCGTGCCAGACGAATCAGTACTATATGAAGGGCTTACAAGACGAACGACTTGACTTTGATAAGAGAGAAGTAGAAGAAGAAGAGTTTAAGATGAAAGACCCTTGAAGGAAATCAAAAGAGAAGACTAAAAGAAAAAAGAGGAAAGAGACAAAGAACGAGGCGGTTCAACGAACCAAGAACCAAGAATCATCCATATGGAGGAGAGGATCCAGACCAGAAGGGAAGACAAACAGGACAATCGAGTCTTTTAACTATTCTCTCTCTATTGAAACATTCTGAGCCGGGGGGGAAAACAAGAAATCCTTCCGTCTAGGAGGATCCAGCTGCAAGACCGAGCAGCGTTCATGCAGCTCAGACATGGCGGGTGGTGAAACGCAGCGTCAAAAGTGAAGGTATTCAATAGGTAGCTAGCGGTAGCTAGTAGCTATGAATGGAGAACTGGAGTTCGTCGTTCCTATTGTCGGAGGAAGCGCTAGTATCGGCTATCCAGCCACCTGAAGATGTCGATCGAGTGAATGGAGGAAACTAGTTAGCCAGTCATCGTCCAGGAATCAATAGGAATCAATAGCAGTCAATGTGGGGGGGGTCAAGTATGGATGGATCCTCAGCCAGATTTGATACAGGACTGGGATTAGTGATCCTGGCCAGCGTCAATTGAGCGAATCGTTGAGGGAGTTTCGTGAAACAAAGCGCTTGAATAGAAATAAAATTAGAAAGGAAATTAAAAATAAATTGCTCCAGACAGAATCAGACAACAATGAAGAATAATTATGAATAATATGATCGGAGAATCAACAAGGGGTCCCTTTGTTTTGTCTACTGTTCTAAGAAAAGAACAATATACCTGAGTATCCATGGTTTCTAATAGAAACTGTACCTGGGTACAGTCTTGTCTATTTACTATTTACTCGAAACTGTTGACTTTTAAAAGAATAATTTATTCAAATATGGTATCTTATCCAGACAAATCAAAATGAATGGGAAAAAGAGAATTGAAACAAAGCAGGCAGGACTAGATGGCTTTTTTCCGAATCATAAGGACATCGTAGACATCTTTCATCTGCAAAAGGACAAACTTTTGACAAAGTAGATTCAACGGCCGTCAGGACAAGTTCACTGCTATTAAGACAGGAAACAGAAGAAGAGGAAACCGAAGAGGAGTCAAATGGTTTAGAAGTTTAAAAAGAAAAAGAAAAGAAGATTCGTGGCGTCATGAAGGAGGTCGTAGAGGGGGGGGGGTTCTCTTTAGAAAGGCAACTGGCTGCGGCGCTGTGCATCCATCAGCTTGCGGCGGACCGCCTCGCCGCCCGCGAGGCCGCTCGCCTTGCGTTTCCGCGTGGGCGTCTTGGGGTCTGTGTGGCGGGAGTGGCGGAAGACACTGGCAGGCCGTGACGGCGAGTTGGCGGGCATGAATTCCCTGTGTTGCGGCAGACGTAGCAGTGCTTGGTACCTGTTATGATTGCGGCGGAAGGCCGTCACAATGCCCCGATCCAGATGGTTGAGAAATCGTTCGGCACTGCTAGCCTGATGCGCGTCGCCGCCGCTGCCGCTACGGTTGGGCGTGGGAGTGCCGGCCTCGGGGATACGAGGCGCACCCATAGGAGAGGCAAGGGTGTTGTCGTCATCAAAGGCCTTGAACTTGACGAGATCGTCTTCTTCGTCTTCGTCGTCATCATCATCATCATCCTCTCCGTCGTCGGACGAACCGTTGCCAAAGTCGATAAAGTCTTCCACGTTGAGCGCCGCCTCTGGATCATCCTCGTCGTCGTCTTCAAAGGAGCTGTCGAGGGTAAAGTCGCGCGACGGATAGAAGGCCTCGGGCGGGCCCATCACCTGGCCACCGGTGGAAATCTCGTTGCCGAGTGCTGTCATCATCAGGTTGGCACTCGAGGTGAGCATGGGGCTTAGGTCGGCATGGTGATGGTGGTGAGCATGACGATGGTTGGGCGAGGTGAATGCGTCCGTGTCGCTCTCATCGATTAGATGCATGGTAGTTGCGCGTGGGCTGTTGTTGGCGGTGTTGCAGATGCTATTGGCCGCAGATTCTAGCCAGTCGTGGCGGGAAGAGGCATAGGCGGGGATGATGACAAGATGCTTGCCGCTCCCATCCACCAGGGCGACGGGTTTGTGCGGGTCAGCCACAAAGGTGCCCATGATGGGGCCGCGCCGACGTGGTGGTGCGGCCTTGGTTTCCTCAGCTACAGGAGCCAGTGATGCAGACGAGTCCCGCCGCAGGATGGAGCGGGGGTGAGTAATGGTGGCAGGAGGTGGGAGATCTTCATCTGTCGTTTCACCGTCGTCGGCTGGACAAGTAATCAGTATGTGTGAAAAAGAAAAGAAGAAAAGGCAAAAAAAAGCATACTCTCATAACCGCTGGATTCCTCCGAGACGGCGTCAGACTCGACGTGATAGATGTTAGCGTGACCGTAATCGGCATCGCCAAAGATCTCTTCAGAATGCCGGCGGTTGGAACGAGAACGGGGCTCGGTGTCGTTCTCAATCATGCGGCGCAGCTGGGGATCGAGGCTGTCCTGCTGCAAAAAGTCGCTGGGGATCTCGTCGTCAGTGTGTGAGTCGCTGTCGGAGCTCGAATCAGACACGTGCTCCTCGAAGTGGACGCGACGGGGCATGGGGGTTTCAAGGGCGGCCTCGGAAGTGAGATCGGTCTCGCCAAAGGTCTCCATGGCGCTATAAAGGTGCTCCTCATCGAAGAAAGAGGCTCCCGGCAGGAGAATATGATCGTTGAAGGAGCCGGCAGGGGCGGCCCAGACCTCGGTGCCGGTCACGTCCCCGGTGGCGGAGAGCATGCCGCCGCCGATTTGATGCTCATCCTCGGACTCGACGATGAGCAATTCCTCAAGGATCTCGACCTCCTGCTCTTCATCGTCACCGTCGGAGATGTCATCAACGGCCGCGTAGGCATCATCGGAGCTGTCGTCAGCGTCGCTGCCCTGGTTGCTGTTCTGGCCGTCGTATCCTTCGTCGTCGGACAGACGCCGCATCTTCTTGCGGTTCGGGGTGGACTTGAGCCCCGTCTTGCGGCCCTGGTCACGGCGAGGAGCGTAAGACGGGGCCAAGAGGGCCGGCCGGTCTTCTTCGTCGTCGGCGTCTTCTTCTTCTTCTTCTTCCTCCGAGTCATCCTCCGAGGCATCGCTGAGGTCGTCGAATCCGGAGACTGAGGAAACACTCGAAAGCGAGGAGGATGCCCGGCGTTTCCTATCGGCTGTGCTGGCGGCCGGGCCTTTGCCTGGCTTCTTGCCGGCCTTGGTGCGCATCAAGGCGGGGTCGGAGGGGATGGTCTTGGTAGGAGCCGCGTTGGGAGACCGCTTGAGGGAGTATGTACTATGTTGTTGCGGCATGACGGGCGAGAGAAAGGTGAGATTAAAAAAAAAAAAGAGTTCGATATGGGGAGTCGTTGATTGATTGATTGGTTGGTAGGTTGGTTGAATGGATCGGCCGAGTTGAGTTTCGGAACGGCCAGATTTTTTTTTTCTTGACAGGAAATAAACGTGTTACAGACCAGTGCAGGTCAATTTCCAAACTCGAGTCGGTTGATAGATTTCAAGGTGGGTAGATAGGAGAGGGGAAGCAATTAAAAAAAAAAGAAAAAGGAGCAATGATGCCAGACGGTAAACCACGAAAAGCACCTCCTCCGTGCCGAGACGGACAGCCCAAAAGTGCTCTTTCTGGGGACTGTACTAGGGGGGGCAATTCCAACGCTGCGTTTTTTTTTTCTCCAAGCGTCGGAAGAGGAATCAGATATCTCGTCAAGTCGAATTGAGGGTTGATACTCGATAAGCTGTCAGACTGGGGGGAAGGGTTTGGTTGCACGGGCTTCGGGGCCCTCCCCCAGCGAGAGATTTACAGCCCAGCGACAGCCATTGCGGCACTTAATTCTTGACGGTATCTGGATTGTATGACGGGTCGGAAGGGGAGGTGAAGATGGAGGATTGGAAACGGAAGAGATGAAGACGAGGCGGGCGAGGATTGGGGGATAAGAGAGGGAGAAGAGGGGAGGGGAGGGAGGGGGGAGGAAGAAGGGGAAGAAGAAGCAGCCGAAAAGGCCAAGGGGAGGCTTGCACTGCGCCGTCCACTGGGTTTTTCCCTGGCGCAGGTGGGGAGCGTCAGGGCGGGCGGTGATTGGGCAGGAGGGAGGTAATCGACGAGCCCGATTGGCGGGCGGGTGTTCACCGCATCTTTCCCGAATCCAGCGGCCTGACGAAACACATGACTGTCAGGATTACTATTATGTAGTACCTACCTACCTGGTATTATTAAGTGATTTCTACCTTACTACAGTATGATATGGCGTTGAGTCATAATAGAGTATGTTTGTTAATACGTACTCGATGTCTATTGAGTAGTAGCTTACCCAGGTAGAGAACTACCTCTCCATACTGGTAGCAAGGTACCTAACGAGGTAGGTACCTGAAACCTCCAGGTAAAAAAGAATGACAAGGCCAGAGGTGATAGCATCACGCAGTCTGCCAGCGCATAGTACATGCTAGATACAGCTTTAGCGCTCTGTATAAAGTACTAAGTATAGAGTACAGAGTAACTAACTATGTGGTTACAGAGGACTGACTACGGAGGACCTGGTAGCATTGGTAGTTTGTTATTCCACAAGAATGTATGTAGTATGTAGTAAGGTAGGTAACTACTCCGTACTCTGTCCCGAGTAATTCTCAGGCGATGGCAAATTCCAGAATTCATCCATGCGGGTCATGCGGAGTACGTAACATTCACTAATGAACTAGTGAATTACAAAAAAAGCAGTTCTTTTTTTATGATACTGTCTGTAGGTAATAATTTAACAGTGAGCGGGGGGCGTCTTCGGGGCCGTGCTTAGAGTACCTACCTACCTAAAGTAACTAGTTACTAAGGTAACTAACAGGTACCTAAGCCTAAGTACCTAGTAACTACCGAGGTAGGTACCTAGAATTAGGTTGGGTACATACTAGGTACATAGAGCAGTACCTAGTTAGTTAGTTAGTTATATGAGACTACCCAGTTACTGGGAAACAGCTGAAGTACTCTCAGAAGTACTCATGGTAAACGAGGTGATTTTTGTTGTCAAAACAGACAAACACGGGAACCGTCCGACCCGGCAAAGATTGGCTCCGTGGAGTGTCATCATGATTCATCAGATCCATTTTGACTTTGACTATGCAAGAAAATATCTTCATCTCCACAGTGGCAAGCAATTACGGACGGCAAGAATAATACGAAATACATATCGAGGTAATCACCTAGGTACGTAACCTATAGTGACAACGGTAGGTAATACGATAACTTGGATTGGCTCAGTTGTTCAGACGTTGTTTGTTGTCCTTGAATTGCTCGAGTCAGGTAGGTACCAACTAGTAGTGAATTAGAAGAATGGAGATCGAGGCTCAATAGAATCTCGTATATCTATTCTATTTCTTTCGACCGGATTATGATTGGACATATTCACTTCACTTTTACACATCAAACTCATACGGTCAAGTCCCCGGGTATGGTGCAATGGTCGGCTCGACAGGCTTCGTGGTGGCCGGTTTCCCCCAAATCGAGAATCTGGTCCGAGAACGTGGCGATAACGGCGACCCATCGGCCGCACTGGCGGTCTGCTCGTTGTCGGTCTTCCTCGCCGCGGCGGGACCTGCAGCCGCAGCGGCCTGCCGTGCAGCCTGCACTTCCTGCACCCCGTCGCGGATCTCATCGGCAGACGCCCCTGGCGGTGCTGTCGTTGTCAGCGTCTCGGTCTCACGGATTTGATTGCCCGAGATAGCGGCCTCCTCGTTCAGCTTCGTCATCTCGTCCTGTGTCACCAGCCGTTCGTTCTCCAGGCGGACCTCGCGGCCTCGTTTGTGACAGTACCAGAGGACGAAAAGAAGAACTGTAGTTTAAAAAAAAAACTCGTTAGCACGTGCAAGTAAAAAAAGAAAAATATCTTGAGACCAAAAAAAAAAAAAAAAAAAGGTAGGCCTACTGAACAACGCCAAGGACCAGAGGACATTCATCCCCATCACGGCTGGAAAGCGCGCACGTAGAAACGCCACGATGGACCGAAGCATCCCAGTGATCGCCGCCGGTTTGGCAACCACTTCCTCCAGAGTCGGGACTTGAATGCCCATCTTGTTCGCCGCCGCCGCGGCTTTACCCACGTTCTCCAGGTTGATTCCGCTCCTTGCAGCCCGCTCGCTGGCAACCGCTAGCATCTCGGGCGCCAGCGTCTCCGTCCATTTCTCCGGTAGTTTCTCGATCAGTTTTTGCAGAAAGGTCGGCAGTTGTGTATACGTCTGCTGCAGCTGCCTGTTGCCGTTGCTCAGCAGCATCTCGAGATCGTGGTACGCGGTCGGCACCCCGTTAACCATATCCTTGAAGATCAACTTGAACTTGCGCAGCAGCTCCTGCGTCTCGTCGCTGATCGAGAACACCCGGTTGTTCACCGACGCCAGATTCAGCCGCTCCAGGATATCCGTCATGTCCTCAGCCTCGCGGCGAGCTTCGTCCTCCTCTGCCGTCGAGACGGGTTCAACTACCGTCGGCTCGGTAGCAGGTTTGCCCTTGTAAAAGAAAATTAGTACTCAAACCATATATCGTATCGTATCGAAAAAAAAAAAAAAGAATTACCCCCGATTTCATCCTCATCCAGCCAAAGGGCCGTCTTTTCCCAGTACTCTCCTTGCGCACGACTGCATGCCCCGAGTCCCTCCGTTGACTCTCCTGGCGCCCTTCCTCGCCCAACTCCTTCCCTAGCTCTTCCGCCGGCGAGGCCGGCAACGGGATATCCTGCGCCCCATCCATGAGAGCAATCTGCGCATCTTTCCCGACACGCGGGGTCGTCACCTCGGGGTCTTGTGTAGCTGGCTCTGCCGTAGCACCAGGTTGAGACTGTGACGTGAGTTGTTGCAGGAATGCTTCGTCTTCGGCAGTGAGAACAGGGGTGGGAACGTTCGCATGAGAGGACCGTCTCTTGCTCGCTATCCTATTTATATATTGCATTATAAATACTCAAAATAGATAAATTCGACAGTTATAATAAAAAAGAGTTTTTCTGTAATATACACTTTGTACATTCGTTAGGATGCTTAAATATGCAAATGCAACTTACGCCCTGCGTCGAGATGAGGTGAGAGGAGGCTGGTTGCCATTGGTGATGTCATTGCACGTGAAACCCCAGCCACATACACCGCCACAGAAGTATAATAAACCATTACCAAGCCACAACAGTGTCTCTTGACCTCGAGTACTCTATTAACCTCATCCTAGAGCCTCCTCTGTTTGACTGTAATGACTTTTCAGTCAGGAGAACACAACAATTTACTCTTTATCAGAGCTATATACTACAGCAAGTAATTACCCCACATCTACCTTGGTTATCATGGCGATCTTCGATAACTCAGATAAGGTCGTATCCACTCAACCAGATGTAGATCGTCCAGGTAGTAGGTAGTAGTAGGTAGTAGTACATGATATTCGGTTCCTAGGTACTAGGTAGTACACAGCACCTAAGTAGGTAACTAGTAGGTATGTATTCTGTAGTCAGGTATATAAGATACATGAATATGAGACTAGTTTTATATTTGTTGTACTTGTCTGTAGGATGAATTATTATATATTCTTCTAACCTATTAACTGGATATACCACATAGAGATTTATTAAGGTATAGATTCATCTGATAGTGGATCGGAAAGCTATAGCATCCAGATTCATTTCCCTTGCGCTATGGTAGGTTTTGACTAGATACCATTTCTTGGTCTATATTGAAAGGAAGGCCAAGGAGCCTCGAGTCTGTCCATCCTTTCTGCTTTTCTTTGGAGACTCAGAGAAGGACAGTTTATTATAGGTAGCTCTAGATGTCTAAGAACTGCTATAGACATCCAAAAACAAGTATCACATGGGAAAAAATCAACAAAGTCATTCAAACGAAGCTTGATTTATACTCACATATCTATTTGATGTTGACATCTAAATATGTGAATCAAGACTGACATTAGAAACCACTAAACATTGTTTTTATTAGACTCAGACTCTTCTGCGAATGCCCCTCTTTAAAGATACCACATCGCAGTCTTCATGACACTGAGAATCATTTACTCCATCATGGCCATTGATTTTCATCAATATCCATCCTCTTCTAATATCCTAAGATGCCACCACGAGCGAGAGACACTCCCAAGAGGAACAGCAAGAAGCCCTCCAAGGAGGTACTCAGAAATCCCGAGGACAAGGCGCTCCAAAAGCCTCCAAAATCGGGTCCAAAGAAGGCACCTCTTGACAGGAGAAATCGAGTGCAAAAGTATACCGGGCGGAAGTTGGCAAAAACAGCCCGTCGGAAGAAGAGTGACAATCAGGATGTCTTTGAAAAGTCGGATGAGAGAGCCGTAGGTGATCCAGCTAATGGATATGCGGCCCACAACGTGCCGGTTGCCGAGTATCAATTACTCGATAACCTGCCTTCAGTGGCAGGAAGCTTGAAGAATGTGCTGCTGAAGAGATATATCACGAAACCCGACAAGCATCAGCAGGGTATTGGCAGAGAGACTTTTCCAAATGATGATTGCGGGTCTATTGGACAGTCCATAGAGCTGAAAGTCGGTAAGCAGCTCCCCTTTTGCAATTTTGATGTCACTGGCAAAATATTTATTCATTAACAGGTAACGAGGAGCAGTGTACAGTGTATTCTGACAAAAGTGACCTTGACAGCCAGACAGCCGTCGACACTGGAGAAGACTTCGTCAAGTATAATCAGAGGAAATTATATATCAAGAAGTTGCTAACCAGGATCGACGTCGACGGGTCTTTAAAAGAGATCAACAGCCCTGTTAGAATTGCTCGTCCTCACGACGTGACAGCTAGCGCCATGGATGACTATGACATTGACATGTTCCGACTCAAGGCAATTCGCTGGAAAGAGAGAGACATCCATGAATACGTCACCCAAAAGCATGGATATCGCTTCCAGCAAAAGACCATCGGAACTCGCTACTGCCGAATGAAGAAAGCCATACAGAAGCATACCGATGAGATGCTCGAGCAGGGTCTTGCATTCTGGCACGAGGGTGATGTAAGTGATTCTCTGAGCGTTCTGACTGCCGATCGGTCTAAATAGTCAAGTACTCATCCCAGTCCCATAGGACCCATCGCTGCGTGCTGCAAAGGAGCAGGTTGACGTCGAAGTGGGGAAGTTTCTCCACGACCTCGAGGCGCTCAAGTGGGAGCTGACTGCAGATCGCCTCAAGATGCTCAAGCCAGTTACCAACTTCTCCGCCGAGGCTTGCAAGCGCCGCATCGAAGAGCTTGGGTGTGATCTGAACGCTGCCACGATCGATTCTCCCCGCCACCCTATGCATGGAACCATAAACGCCAATCATGCAATCAGCCATCGCCAGAAGGAAGAGGAGATATTAAAAAGCCTCGCCAAGCATCGTCCGAGGTGAAGGCCTTGCGGTCTGAAGAGGGTGACGGGTCATTTGAGCTAAAGTCTGAATATAACCAAGTCACCAGAGAGAGAAAAGAATATGGACTTGGGAGGATGGTCTTTCTACTTACAACCTAAAGAGTTGACTGGGTGAAGTCAACGAGCAGGATGGTGTTGCTTCTCTACTAGAAATAAAAGGTACGGGATGCTGTTTCTCAGGCGGAAGTCGCAGTCGCTCTCGCGCCAACATGTGACTTGCCACATTCGGAAGGAAAGCAGCTGGTTGACAGAGACTCCCAGACAGAACCTCTTGAAGTGACTCTATTCTATGTAGTACCTTATAAACAGTAAGTTATTATAGCTGAATGTATCCAGCCAATTCCAGTGACCCGGTATCTGTCCCAAGCGCCATACTATTAATTGTCTGCCAATCAACGTCAACAGCGCCCGAAGAATCCCTGTTAGAGCATCAGCCTGCAGCTCGCTATGCCTGTATGTGACAAGGCTGTGTTAACATGGAATCGGATAGGCTTCTGGCTATCCTGGGCGTCTAACACTCCACGAACCAGAGTTGTAGGAAGCTGGTTATAGAGCAAGCCATATAAAACCCCCCCCCGCGGTATGTGGCAGCCTGCATGCCTGTCACATGACTGTAGTGTGTGACCTTATCAGCCAGGCATCCGTCCCTTTTCCTCTTCTCTCTTCTCTCTTCTCTCTTTTCTCTTTCTCTCTCTCTCTACGCTCCACAGAGTCGACCGATGCCAGCTTCGTGAATCTATCTCGGATTCCCAAGGGGCAAAGCCTTCCCTCCTGGAACCAGTGTGCTCTTCTGGTGCTTTCCGGTTTTGTTCTTAATTGCACAGGACTGGGGTGGCCGTGAGGAGAATCACCGATCCTTTGGAGATCCGGAGGCTTCCAGGACTCGCACCTGTTTCCAATTTGGCAGCGTCACCATCTTTTCCTCGTTCCCCCGTGATAAATCTGTCCACTCCTTAACGGCTGCTGGCCAGGGGCCTTGTCGTCAATTTTTACTATCGTTTTGTTTTTTGCGACATATGCATTTGCTTGCGTGTGTTTCCGACGTAATGTTTAAACGCTCGTTTGCATCCAAGGACCGCGCAGGAAAGACGGTCAGGGCGACCAAGAAGACGTATGGCAAGCAAGCCAAGGTGAAAATGCAGGAGAAACTGGAGAGTCCGCCGCGGGAGAGTCCTCTGACGAGTCCCATAATCACTTTGGTCGTGGGGCACGAGCAGCGTTTGTTCGCTGCGCATGAGGACGTCCTGTGTCGCTCGCCATTCTTCAATATGGCATTGGAAGAAGATCGATCTGTGGACGAGAGTGCCAAGCGGGTGGTTTTGCCCGATGAGTAAGTAGTCAAAGATAACTACCTAACTGTTTAGTTACTTTATGGTGGTTAAACTAGTAACTGTAACCACCCTTGGAGACAACTTCCATGCTGATAGAACCCTCATAGGGAGCCCGAGATCCTGTCCTGTGTTCTCGAATTTCTCTACAAGGGTGACTATTACCCTCGCTTGCTGCATGGCAAGCACCGTGACTCTTGGAGACTCGAGGGCGCACAGGATATCCATGGTACAGGTGGTCGGGGCTCGAGCGAGGCCACCTTTTTTCACTCTGGAGTGGGCGACTTCGTTCTTCGGGATACCGTGGTCTACTGCTCTGCTGAGAAGTACGGCTTGGAGGACCTCAAGCGCCTTGCTCTTCGCAAGCAGGGTCTGCAGAGGGGCATCCCCGTCGATGTCATCCTGCGGTCTGCTCGCTATGCGTACGACCACACGCCCGACTCCGACTCTCGTCTCCGCGCTCATTACCTGGCTCTGATCATCAGAAGTCGTAAGGCCTTCAAGAAGAGCGGGTCCATGCAGATGGAAATGGAGGCCGGCGGCAAGTTTTTCTTCGATCTGTTCGTCGCCATGTGCAACCACATGGAGGATCTGACAGAAGTCAGGTAGGATCCTGCCAGCTTTTTTTTTCATTCATTGGTTATTTCTTTCCTCTTCTCTTGCTGCTAACTCTTCCTATCCAATCGAGTCTACCACCTTGGGTGCTTACTTTTGTTTGATTGAAGCAGCACCAAGCGCTTCGCCAACATCTTCTAAACGCGGACTGCAACAGACAAGAATCCCGATTGAGCCGCACAAATTGATGATTTTTTCTTGAAACAGCGAGTATTGATTCTTCAACAAGATTGACAACATACCACCATTTGCGTCTTGATATAGTCTCTTCTGCTTTTCATCGGCAAATTGACTGTTTCTTTTCCCGAGACGATGGCCATAGTTTGGACTTGAGCTGCAGGACTTATGTTCTTCTAATTACATTCCAACAAGTCTTCGGCCATAATCTCATCTTGTTTCATTGGCTACCAGTACCAAGTCGTTCTTGCGAACAGTACCCTGCTTTGAGGTTAACTCCAGAGTTCGCTGCCGCTCCTTTGCATGATTTTTTTCCGTTTTGGTTCTCTGCTATCTGTATGATACATACTCCGCTGTGCGATTGATATGATCAGATCCAGAATGAAGATATTATCACGAGATTCTCTCACCTGTCATGGTTTCAGCCTAGACTCACTTCTCTCACTAGAGGAGGACAATCCCATTTAGTCTTGGGTTCTTTTTCTCATCATATAAAGCTTGCCTTGGGGTCATTTGCACCTTCACTCTTCCATACTCAAGCGGACCCTCTTTCCTGAATCTTCTTTTAGATCTTCACATTATCCTAGTGCACTTTTGATATTTCGAACTTCATAGCTCACCATCCTATTGAACATCGTCGACTTCAACCTCTGTTGAACATTGAAATGCGCCCAAGACTCACTGCAGGGTTATTACCTGCTCCCAAGTACAAGGACATTCAACCCGGAGATCGGTTCATAGTCCATTACACAGGCAATGCGGACTTGAAAAGGCGGGAGATATGGCTTGGTATCATCATTCCCGAAACGAGCATGCCTCGAAAGCAACTCGTGAAGAGACCTGCAAACGCCAGGCCGGTGAATGGAGAATGGAAGACTCCCATCGCAGACCGCGTCTACTCTGTCTACCTACCCTGGCAGAATGTGTTGTAAGTCTGATATTTCCTTGTTTTGCCCTGATCTGATCTATCCTCATACTTGTTTACTATATATGTAGTAAATGGCTTGAAAAGAGATATCTGTTTCTGATCGGCCAGAACCCCCCCGATATATTTGCGGCAGAGATTCGACCAGACTCAAAGCTCTTCCTTGAACTGTTCCAGTTCATGAAGGCCCGCCCGGAACTAGACGTTCAGTTCTGGCTTAGAATGGCGGTTGAAGACCGCAAAGTCCCAAATCGAACCAGAGGGACCGTGGTCCGAGTGTTTCCCGACGGTGTTGACCCGAGCGCGATGATGATTCCGATCAGCCTCGATTCAACATCATTAACATTTGCTCCAATCCAGACCCAGGCGTCGTATGATGCACCGGCACTACCCTCTACTCCGTCTGAGGCTGGATCGCAGAAAAGCTTTGCATCAGGTTGTGAGGTGGTAGTCCCCCCCATGCCACAGCATTTGGTTGATTTGATGATACACCGGAATGCTCAAGCTGCACCAACAGAAGCAACTGGAGTGTCCAACATCTCATCCAGGAATGAAGAGGTCATACTGCTGGAATTATTACCGCGAGATAATCCAAAAGAACATTTAATCAATTCAGTTGGTACCCAAACAGCCATTGAGTGAGTCAATTGTTACCCTTTGTGCCGTTCTTGCTCATACAACTCTAGATTCCCATCCACAGAGGATATCGACATATATGTCGGATCAGGAACCGACCAAAGGGTCTTCCAATTACCATTCTCCACTGTCTCGCAGCATCGTCTTCTTTACGAGAATTTAATTCAGCGTGGAGGCGAGAAACCTTTCGTGTTCCACCCAGAGCTATACAACCTCCCTGCATCGGAATTCGAACCGATAGTCTCCTATCTGACCAGGAACGAATACCACCCATCCCTAATCCAAGACGCGGACACCAACGAAACCCACACCCCGAGCGAATCCCTGATCGGCGATATCTTCTCTGTGGGCCAGAAGTTCCGGCTCCGAACCTCCAACACCGAGGAAGACCTCGCCGACCTGGTCCGCCTCTTCGGCAGGACGTACCGTCTCGCCCGGCGGTTCGATCTCGGCCCCCTGCAGAAGCTATGCCTCCTCAAACTCCAGATAGCATGGAACACGAGCCCCGATCACCATCGCGTCAAGATGCTGGAGCCGATCCTCCAAGTCCTGGATGGGATGTATTACGACCACGAAGCTGCGACTCATACCACTATGACGACTAGGAAAAACCCCTTCCCGCGCAGTGACCCGTTGAACTCGTGGCTCGTCAAGTTCTTGGCTGATAGCATGGACCTCTACTTTGCGCACTGTCCCGAGGCATTCTGGGATGCTATTCGTGATAAGCATGTCGTGCAGGTGGCGGTGTTCAACGCCCGGACTGAAAACTTGATGAGGGAGCCGTTTCGGTATTCAAGCGTGGGCGAGAAACAGCATGATGACCATGGCTTGAAGATGGACGATGATGGTTGTTTCGAGAGGGAGAGCAGTAGCAGTGAGGAGGCGGATATGGATGAGATCATGGACGGCATGTCGATCTTCGGTTGATCGTTCTTTTCAGAAACCATATGCATATATTTGATTTATTTCTTCTTTTTGAAATAAATCCCATCATTAGAAACTTGATTATGGTCTGAATCCTACCAGTAACCGATTGCCCATCGTACTATTACAATTTCCCTTTCAATAGAAGACGCAAAGAAAGACGACGTGCAAAAGGCACTTTTTTGCACTCCCCGAGGTAAAGAGTCTACTCGGCGGACTTGCGACGCCCCCGCCTGGGCTTCTTCTTCTCCTGAACCACTTCCTCTTCGATATCCTCCTGGGGTTTGGCCTTGGGCTTGCGGCCGCGTTTGGGCTTTTCGACTTCATCGTCAGCCGTCACCACTGCAGCACGAGCCCTTTTAGAAGACGGCTTCGTCTTCGGCTCCGGCTCTTGCTTGGGCACAGCATCGGCTTCCTTGTTCTCTACAACCTCCTGGGCCGCGGCTTTCTTGGAACGGGGGGCTCTGGCTTTCTTTGTGGCCGGCTCGGCTTCCTCGTGGTCAGCCCGGCCACGTTTCGTAGCCTTGGTAGGTTTTTCTTCCTCCTTTTCCTATGGAACATTGTCAGAGAATGATACACTAAACAAAAATACCATTATTCGATAACTCACCTTCTCCTCCCCCTCTGTCTCTTCCTCTTCTTCCTCCTCCTTCTTTTTCTTCGGAGTCGCACGCTTCCGGAAACCAGTCTTACCCGGTCTGTTCACATCAGGGTCCTGCAGGGGGATACGAATATCAGCATTGGGAGCGAATACCAGAGAATCAAGAAGATCAGTCGACGAATTCTCACCCCTTTCCAATCTTCATCGTCCACATGGCCCTGTTCCAGCGCCTTGCGGACCTTCTCCTGGTTCTCGGACGAGAGATCCTCATACCCGTCCAGCTCGGAAAAGTCTTTCCCGTCCGCTCCGCTGACTTCGTCGAGGGTTTCGCTCAAGTTCGTGATGACTTTGGGCGTAACGCAACCCCTACCATCTCCGTCAACAATATTGACACGAGATATACTGAGATAGATTCTTTTGATGTCCTCACCAGTGTCTCCAGTACCAACTCTGGAAGTTACCAGTGTCAACCCAGGAGCCGAGACGAAGCTCCCCCTTTGCGATCTTGATCTTGGCTTCTTTACATTCCTTGTTCTGGCACCCGGCACGGCCGGTGGATGCCTCTTCTATGCAGTGTCAGCTAGTCCTTGATAATACCAATATTCACCATCGAATAAGATCTACTTAAGTCGGATCAAGCGTGAGAGGGTGTTATCTTACCCAGTCTGTAGGAGCCCATCTTGCCAGACGCGCCTCCCTCAGCGCGCAAGCTACCCGTGTACCTGGATATTTATTATTAGAATGGATCAAGGCCTTTTTTTTAGAGACGACCAGATAGACTTCAAAAAGAATCTGGTGGAGCCGTGGGTCGAATGAGTCGAGAGCGACTCGAGGGTTTGACGAGTGACGTGGGAGGGGAGGGAAACAGGGAGGGAGACAGAGCCAGCTCAGGCCACGGAACGGAACGCCTTTGCGGACCAGAACAAGGATCAGGACCGGGACTCCAACAAAGAAACAACAGCAGGGAACTTGGTGTAAGAGAAAAATGGGTGATTAAGAAAAAGAAAATATTATTGTGGTCATTGGAATCGACTACTTTGAGAGAGGTGAGATGATTCGGTTATGGCATCATCGCTAAGAAAGGTTTCTTCCATTAACTATCTGATGATAATAAACATCCTAGGTACAGGCAATTTCGTGGCAAGGAGTCAGGAAGACCTATCAGGACAAAACAACTATTTTTTCTTCGAGCCAGGTTTAGCAGCAGATTCGATTTTTGCCAGCGCAGTCAGATGTCCGCGGAGTATCGAGACTGCTCCACTCGTCAGGCGATGAATGAAATCCGACGCCGGTGCGGTGTTCAAACCCGTCACATTCACAGTATTGCAGTGATGTTCAATCATGGACTCGACCAGTTCCCTGGCCTTATGGATCAGGTGAGGGCGATCTACCCCATCGCCCGGGAGGTAAATCCAGTCCAAAACATCATCCAACCCGGCGACGGACTTCTTAAGAGCGTGTTCCATGAAAGAACGGGACAAAATAAATGCCCTCTCGCTGTATTGCGCTGACTCCATAAGACCAATTCCTTGATACTGAAGGGCATCATACCCGGCCTCGTCTAAACAGTTTGTCATCAGCTCCCACTCAATGAAAAGGAAAATCAACGTAGAACACTTACTATAGTAGGGAGTGCGGACAAGAACGAGAGCCAGGATGGAGACTAGGATTTGCAAGATAGTGGAATTCTTTGCAGACCAGTCTTCTGATTCATGCACAGCCGTCCAGGTGCCCAGAATGCTAAGACAGATCTCACCGTCTTCAGAAAGATTTGGGTTCACTTTGCCGGCCTCGTTTGTCCACGAATGGAAGAATGCTGCGGGAGGACCATCAGGGAACTTGGAATTCATATGAAAATCGAAGATAAACGGGCTCAATGCATAGGGGGTCCCCTCGGGGCCGATGATCAGGACTCGCATTAGATCCATTCGTGATTCCCAAGTTCGGACATAAATCCCGGACGGCAATGAAGTCTCGAGGATGGCGTATTCCTGTGAGATTCGTTTCATGATCTTACCCTTTTTGGAAGCAGGCGACGGGAGAAAATGGTGGTCTGCGGGGGGCAACCCGTCCAACACTTCAAAGCTCGGGGGAGCTGGGACTTCCTGGGGAGTGCTTGGAGCGTGCAACTCTCCAGCCTGACTGCCGATTCCTGCAATCGACAGTGCCCCGGCAACTGGTTCATGTGAGCCAGTGCCATGTACAATTTCAGCCTCGCATTCATATTCCATTCTGTATTCGGACTGATCAGATCCTTCAGTGTCGATCAGTGAATCCGACGCGCCGTGGGCAATTTCATTGTCCGATTCGTCCTCCATTTCATCATCGGACTGATAGGAATAATCGGAGTCACGCAGTGAATCCGAAGCGCTATCTACGGTTCCGTCCTCCGAGTCTTCCTCCATTTGATCCTCAGACTGATACGAATCTTCAGGGTCAAGCTGTGAATCCAAGGCACGACGCGTGGATTCGTTCTCCGAGTCGACCTGAATTTCGTCCCCGGACTGAGAAGGATATTCCGAGGAACTCGATGAATCTAAATTTGGAAGAATAGGCGGGAAAGACGGGCGAGAGGCATGTAGGTCATTCCAGGTCCAATTTTCAACGGTCGTGTAATCGGAGTCTATCTCGTTTATTGTTATACTAATCCACATGAGAATCCGATCAAATGGCACGGTAATATCTCGGTATCCTGATAGGTCCAGGATTCGAACAGTCACAACACCATCTAGATCAGACGAGACAATTTGGCCAACAAAATCGGTGCAAGATCTGACTGGCTTGCTGTCGTGATGATTATCGTGGCTAGAAGGTAGGAGGCATCGGTTTACATCAGTGCTGTTGATGAATGAAGGTTTCCGCACGAGTACCCTTTGGATGCATTCCAGATAAACCGTCAACTCTGTGAGATGGATAGGGCTAATGTAGGTCAAAGAAGTGAAGCCCGCGCCTCTGAAGCATTTAGAAGCCTTTGCTCGAGTGATCACAGACTCGTGGATTTTCTCTGGCGCGAGCAGCACAAACGAACCAAGTGGTCGGTCGAGGGCGGGAAACCGGCCCAATTCATGCATTGGCACCTCATTAGCTTCTGCTTCCAGAGGACCTAACACAGACAATTGGTTCAGCAAATCACCACCCTGCATCAGCTGAAGATCAGGGTCGCGATACCAGCGAACAAATGCAGTCTTCCCCCGTTTGTTGACCTGTTGGACTATGCCGACCTTGCATATGACGAGCCTGTCTTTGTTGTACATATCATGGGGAAGACCAAAGTGAAAAGATAACGGTATCATGCTTTGGCGATCGAGATCTTGGAAATTGTAGATAGAATCCAGCCAGACGACGAGGTCACCAGGCCAGGTGTTTTCGACGTCGTTTTCATACTTCTCGAAGATATCACAAATGTAGAGGTCAGCGCCATTCTCAGTGGTGACGCTGAGATCTTGCCAACGGACAGTGACTTGTGTGTTGATCGAGGTAATTTTAAAGACATTGAGATCATGCCCACCGACCAACTCAGTTGGAATGCTGCGAAACTGAGGTTGGTTCTTCTTGGCAGAATCAGGCTCTCTAAAGACCACCATATCACCAAGTTTCAGTTTACTATCCGTATGGACAGTGCTTCTGTCGATGGTTGCCGAAGGCAGTTGTCCCAAATCAAATTTCACAGCCTTTTCAAGGAAATCACAGCTTTCGATTATTTCCTCGGTTGTCGCTTCAATTGGTGGTTCATTAATGGAAAACACGTTTGAACAAATCCAGACCACGCGAAATAGCTGGGGAATGGAGCCGATGACATGCCCCTTGGGAAAGTTACGGGAACTCAATTTCAGACTCCTTTCAGTATAGAGATGGTCGTTTGTGACGCTGAGGTAGTGCCCAGGAAATCCAACACTAATCGCATAGTTAAAAAGAGTATGGTCCTTGGATTCGATAGGATTATTCATATCAGGAGGAAAGAAGTAGATTTGCTCGTCATCGATACGCTGTTGCATCTTCAAACGGGTAGCATCATACGTCGCAATGGAGCCATCGTCCATAAGCAAGACTATGCCGTATTCAACAGATTGGATGCAGCCGAGCTTATCTTCATAGATAACCCAGTCCTGTGCTTTAAAGTCTTGGAAATTTCTGAGTTCTGACATAGGGACATCATGCAGCAGGGGAGGTGCCGCACGACTAGAGTCTCGAGGGCGATTGGTGATGGGCTGCTCAGTGAATTTGACTGGGCCATATTTGTCAAGGTCCCGGTTGTACTCCTGAAACGCGACAGGCTCAAGCGTGCATGTTGCCTTGACGCTGATGCAGATCCCACTCATCGAGTCCTCCGGGTGCCGCTTGACAGTCTGGCTGATTTCGAAGGACCGACCGACAAGCTCTAGGTCATCTTCATGGATGATAGAGGCGGGGGACGTCAAAGCACAAAACTTCACGTAAACATAACCTTTAGGAGGCTATTGAGAGAAGAAATATCAGTGCAAATTCCGAGTCTCGGGGGGCATTTTATTTGCTTACGACGAACGTCTCCCAGAACTCTTCCATAACTTCTCCGGGGACTTCTGTACAGTGCAGGATCAAATCCGATTCTGCATCATACGAACTTCTTCTGGCTGAAGGTTCCTGAAGTAATAAAAGAAAGATATATGTCAGTTTTCTTTGAGATTCCGGCGACCGGGCAAAATCAGGACTTACGCTGTGTATTATCTAGAGCAGCCAGTATCAGTGCCTGCACTCTTCTTCAGTAGACTCTTATAGGATACTTACAGTTGCTATCCCAATAATCGAAGTGTTCGATCTCAAACAACAAATGTCGCCCTTCTCAAACTAGATTCAGACACGATAGTCAGCACGACGATACCCTAGCAACGCGAAAGATACTCAGCTGACCTTAGGCTCCTCTTCACCCTGCGAGTCAGAGCTCTCAGAAGGAGGCATTGTTCTGACAGCCGAAAGATGAGGTGGTCAACGCCGTACAACCTCTGCCAGAGACCACGCGTTGTTGGACGCGACTTCCAAGGCTCATGAGGTGAGGGAGGAGGGGAGAAAGAGAAAGAGAAAGGGAAAGGGAAAGATTTTTTTTCTGTCATAATGTGTTCCCAGACAAACGTGGGTCTCATGATTCTGTAGACAGTGGACAAAGGTTGCCGATTAAGTGTAGTTCCTGTCATGTTGAAAATTGCACTGAGGTTAATCGGGCCTGGTGCAGCTATTTACTATACGCAAGTCAGTACTAGCACTCTACATACTCTCCCTCCAGATACAACGAGAAGAGCAAAGATATATTCCACTTACAGACCTGCCAGCAATTTATATACCTGGTCGTTTCAATATCTGATCCAGTTCTCCCATCAGACAGACAGAGAGGTAGTACTCTTCTGATATCGTGGTTTCCTGACGCGCCTGCCCAATCCGTCAAACTGCCATGATTCACCGCCCAGGACCGGGCCCGGGCCCGGCTGTGTCATCGCAACATCAGTTTTGGGCAAGACGAGCCCCTCGGACACGAATCCGAGAGAAGGAAAGACAAGATTGCCCGCCCCTCTTGCTGTCTATACGGTGAATCCTAGTCTTCCATCTAAAGGAGTGACTTGGCCAGATCCTCAGTGGACACTACGTACCCAGCTTCTTCCGCTAGCTCCGGACTGGAGGAGACGTTTTTTTTTTCTTGCTCTTGATCATTCACTTTAAACCCACCCAAACCACAGACAAGAAGATTAGAAAAATGTCCGAACCGGGACCCGAGTCTATTCCTACGAGTGCGGATCCGCGCAGCAAGCGGCCCCTCAAGCGGCGCGCGATCACCCCGGTCTCCGAGCAAGCGTCGCAAATTGAATCGCTCTTCCGCGATCCGAACAAGGAGATCCAGCTGCCGAGATCGACCAAGGAGCGGAAAGTGTTCTCGCTGGCGGCACCGCCGGAGATCGTGGCCAACGTACAGGGGTCTTCGTCCGGGGCGGGCTCCGGGGAATTCCACGTCTACAAGGCGAGTCGGCGGCGGGAGTACGAGCGGCTCCGGCTGATGAATGAGGAGACGGAGAAGGAAAAGGATAACGCCGAGTGGGAGCAGAAGCAGTCGGAGGCGAAGCGCAAGGATGATGAGAAAACGGAGAAGAACCGCCGCAAGCGAGAGAAGAGGAAGGCGGCCAAGAACGGGAACAACGGTAAGAAAGACGAGATGGAGGTTGACAAGCAGGTGAAGCGTGGGGTGGCTAAGCCCATGATCATCAACCGGGCAAAGGATGGCGAGCAAGGCCAACATCAACAACAGACCTCTGCGGATGGGGGTGCAGATGCATCGGCCTACGAGGTCCCAGGAGTCATTATCCATGATGAGGATTGACCATCATGCTTACGGAGGGGGGGGGGGGAAAGGGGCAAGGCCCAAAAATGTACGATTTGAAGATACCCATGTAATTTTAGTCTAGAGTATTCATACAAAACCAATGGCAGTCGTGCAGCATTATGTACGCGTCTTCGCTTTCATCGGGCAAGTGTTGTTTCATCCGATCAGTCATCTCCACCGCCGACGTTTGCGCCGGCCTGCTGTGCAGACTTGGCGCTGCAGATATCGTCGACGCGAAGGAGTAGGCAGGCAGACTGAATGACATGTTAGCAAATAGTCCATATATGAAAAAGAAAAATGGGGGGGGGGAGGACAGGAATACAAACCTCGACTGCGGTCTTGATGCTCTGGAGCTTCACGGCCTCCGGCTCCCAGACACCGTACTCCTTCATATCAACCAGGTTACCACTCTCGCCGTCAAGACCCCAAGTGGTGTGCCCTTCAACATGCTTGGCCCTCAGGCGGGTGAGGAGACGGATCGGGCTGGCGCCGGCGTTCTGGGCCAGTGTGCGTGGGATGACCTCCATGGCATCGGCGACGGCCTTGTACGGCCACTGCTGGACGCCTTCGATCGAGCGGGCCAGCTGGCCTAGCTTGACGGAGACGGCCATCTCGGTGGCACCGCCTCCGGGGGACAGCCGGGGGTGGAAGATGACGTTGCGGGCAACGGACATGGCGTCTTGCAGGTTCCGCTCGATCTCGTTGATGATGTCCTTGGATGGACCGCGCAGGAGGATCGTGCAGGCCTTGGGGTTCTGGCACTTGCGCATGAACGTGAAGTACTCGTCGCCAATCTTCTCGATCTCGAACAGGCCGCATTGCGTTCCGACATCGGACTCCTGGAGGTCATCAACGCGGTTGACAACGGTCGCGCCGGTAGCACGAGCAATACGGTTGTTGTCTGTCTTTCTCACGCGGCGGAGGGCGGTCACGTTGGCCTTGACGAAGTAATGCTGTGCCAGATCTAGACGAAAGTGAGTATATATATATATATATATATATATATATATATATAAGGCAGGAAAGGAACGAAGTAAAAAAGATTTTCTCACCTGATACACCCTTTTCGGTGATGACAATATCAGGCTTGAGGGCGAGGATGGCGTCACACATGTGCTTCACCTGTTCCTCCTCGATCTGCAAGATACGGTTCCAGTCCTCCTCCTTGGTGACCTCGATATTTGTCTGCGACTCGCCCTTCTTGTACTCCAATGGACAGTCGAGCAGGACGATGCGAGGGTTTTCGATTCGTCTCCGCATCTTGGGGTGAGTGATATCTTTGTTGATCATCACGCCGTCGATCACTTCGCTGTCTTCGATCTGACCGCCGGGGATCTTCTCGATACGGGCATAACGCTTGATATCGACCTCCTTCTTACCCCCACCGACGTCGAATGAGACTGTCCGCACAGCCTTCAGGGCCAGACTGCACATCAGTTCGGACCACCGGGCGACAAACTTGGTTCCGATAGACGACTGGATGAGAGTGTACATGGCCTTGTCATCGTTGATGTCCACAGGCACAGAAACCTCCTCCACAATGGCGAGAGCATCGGCCAGGGCGCGCTTAAAGGCAGAGATAATGACAACGGGGTGGATGTTGCGTTCGAGTTGGGGGAGCGCCTGGGCAAGCATCTCACCGGCTGCAGAGAGATCAAGTATTAGGAAAGGTCTTTTCTTGTGCCACAGATAGATATAACGGGTAGGTACCAAGAATGATCACAGTGGTCGTTCCATCTCCCACCTCCTCGTCTTGGGTACGGCTGAGCTCAATCATGCTCTTGGCCGCGGGGTGCGACACCTCAATTTCTCTGAGAATAGCGTGGCCGTCATTGGTCAACACAATACCGCCCATGGGATCAAGAAGCATCTTCAGCATCGCCTTGGGCCCAAGACACGACCGAATGATATCAGCGACACTATCGTGGAGAGGGGCATGGTTAGACTGGACTGCAGCGGAGGAGGGGTAGAGAACGGTTTCACGGACGTCTTTGCGGCGGTGATGTTCGAGAGCTGTGCTCTCCGGCCAACCTGCCGGTCACCCGCCTGGGTGTCTTATATATCGTCAGCATACACTATCCGAAGAAATTCTGTAAGGGTGGTTCTGCGAGGTGAACCTACTCATAACCACCACCGGTGCTTGCATCTTGGCGGTGTTTTTTCGTTGGGGGATTCCTTCTCGGCAGCGCAACAAAGGAGAACAATAACCAGAAGACGGACCAGAGACAAATCTAGATGAATAAAAGTATTTCGTCTTCTCAAGACCAACAGAATCTCAAACGCGGGGCCACGCTCACGGGGGATTCGATGTGTGGTGCTCTCGCCCGCTCTATCACCATCAAATTTCCAGCACACCGCGAAGTGGGAGCAGAAGCTCGGAGCCGCTAGTCCTGATTTGGTCTAGCGCCAACCACCCCAGAGCTTACTCGTTTTGGAATCTTCCCCTGGCCAGGGCTCCTACTACAGTGTTCATGAGAGTACACAGGTTGTCGATGAATCCGAGGTCAAAGGCAGTCGAATAGACAAGAGATAGACTGCCAGGTGCTCAGTTAAAAGTTGATTGAAAAATGTATCGTACATGATTCGTCATGATTCATTCGTCATGCTTCATTTCATCAGATCCAGCCTGCTTCTTCGCCACTTAGTCCTTCGTTCCAAAGCCTTTCGGGAAGATCTTGCTCATTCGATGTACACTCCCTTTCACTCGAGCGCTCAGGCGGCTTGATACGCTAGAAATTGCCTTGGTCGTTCTGTAGAATCGAGGTTTCTTTCTCTTCAAGGCTCTTGCTTCGCGCTGGGGCTTCTCGAGAGCACCGTCTCGTGCAAGTGCTGCAAGGCCGGGTACAGAGCCAGTGCCAGGGTCCTCTTGACTCTCTGGTAGATAATTAGCTTCCTGCTCTCTAATGTGAGAGATAGAAGCGTCTGATCCACGAGAGAGCCAGATATCTCTGTGGTCCGTGGATAACCACCATTCACGATGAAATAAGGGCCGAGGGACTCGTGTGCCGTTGCCCATCTCTCCAAGTTTCTTGGCTCGGTCCTGATAAATTTCTCTCATGATGTCCTGAAGCCGACGAGGGATCTCGGCGAGCGCTCCTTCGTCGAGCTGGTATAGTACCTCCGACTCGTCCTCACTCCATTCGGACGGTGAAGTTGAATTGTACCAGGTCATCGCAGTACTTTCGCTAGTATGGGACTCTTGGTCCCGCGTTGTCTCCATTTTCTGTCTGGCGAACGCGTACCAGGTAACCGAAAATTGCTGTAGGAGAAAGGAAGAGTGAATGACAGTTCCAATACAGATACTCTGTTGGATACACATAGCGTAGGGAAATAGCATTGCATATCAAGAAATACGACTCACCTTCTGGAAATTATCTCTTCCTCTTGAAGATTTGAATTGGTTCTAAAATCTTTTCGACAAAGGTCAATAAGAGTGGGAGAGAGTAACTGGAAAGATGGTTGTAATAGCCTTCCCAGCTGTTGTAGGTGCAGAAGAGATATAATAAATGATATATCAGTTAAATCCAGATTTCTGAGAGATGGTTTTTATGTATGATGGCATGATTGGAAGAAGAACCCTTTCCCTGTTGGTGGCAGGGCAGTTGTTTCCCAGGTGGGTAGCAAGCAATCACGTCCATACTGCTCCAACCTCAGTTACAGTCGTCCTCTACTTAATGCTCTCACTTGGCTACCAATTATCTTTTAGGGTCTATAAGTACCATTAATTGGATACGAATACAAGGTAGTTTATCATTCAAGTATGTCATGTGTTGCTACCTTATAGCAAATTAGATTAAGGAATGGTGAATGCTGACTCTGACCTCTTCAACGATAGACATATCCAGACATCTACCTCTCAGATAGGCATGAGTATGATAGGCCTATATCTGTAGCTTACCAGTCACTGGCTACGCAATATTCTTGATATATTGATCAGGTATGGTAGAATCACTACACTCAGAAACCATTATCCAGCTCCTAGATGACAACCATGGTATCTTCGTCAGTAGAACCACCGAGACAGGTGGCAAGGGAAGCCCATCAAAAAACCATCTTTCATCTCTCTGCCCTTCTGGTCTTCTGGCTTGAGCTGGTCAGAGAAATAACCGAACACGTCATTAAAGCACTTACAGAGGCGAAGGGAAGTAGTGAGGAGATCAGGCTCTGTAAGGGCCGGAGAGATCCAGTTGGCTACGGCTGTTTCCCTAATGGATCCAACAATCAATTCCCCGTTGACAATGAGTTCATAATATGTCTTGCAGAATTTTAACACTAAGAAATACTTCTAACCACTATTACTTGCTATAGGTCTCATCATGGCCCTCGGGGATAAGACGCAGTCCATAAGAAACACACACCTCCGCCTCTTGCTCGCAACTCTAGCCATACAGATAGGGGGTCCTTGACGCGATCATTTCAGATGATCTCACGGGATGTTAATAAATCAGATGAGAGGGAGAGAAGGAATCGGATTGATGATTTTTTTTGGATTACAGGGATATAGAGCAGACCATACGTCAGTTATATATATCAAATTAAAAAGGCTTCCTTCCAGACCTGTTTCTCTCTTAGTATAGAAAAGAAATCAATTCAGTGACCAACTCAAAGGCGCATAATATCTTTTAATAGAGAGTCAAGAATATTTAAAGCTCCAATATAGTATTTATCGTTGAAAACAGTTTATATAACTATCAGTGAGTGGCATCATAAATTCTCCTCGGCCCGTTGTAACTCCGACATATCTTCGCGATACCGAAGTCGATAGCATCGCCCTCGAGGTCTGCTCAACAACCGTTCTGCCCGCTGGCATGGAGCCAAATGGACCTTCCAATGCGCAGGGATTGTCCTCATCTGTCGACCTGATATTACAGCAGAGAAAGGATGCAACAGCAACGGCCGTCCCGCCGCCCAGCGGCGATGGCAGTCTCTGGTCGCAGCTCACTAGCAATCCCTTATTCACCGCGGTTAGCCGAGACCAGCGTTTTCAATCGCGCTTTAAACGCTGCAAGATCTTTAATTACGGAATATCAAAACTGACTTTTGTTTCTTTAGGGGTTTGGTCTCGCGGGTCTAGGTGCGGGACTGGGCTTAGCACAGAAAGGTGTTCGACATGGCGCTGCCCTCATCCGCCGACGGATGCTGGTTGACGTGGAAATCAGTATCAAGGACGACTCGTACCCTTGGTTTCTCAATTGGATGACCCTGTATCAGCAAGCGCAGATGGGTTCGGCGCAATCGGCAGCCAGCAGGTCTGGTTTCATGGAGAGGGTTCTACAGAAGTTCACACCGGGGATGCGCCATCTCTCCATCCAGACACAAAAGATCGAGCACGCAAACGGAGCGATCCATGCCCATTTCGCGCTCGTCCCGGGCCCCGGGAAGCATGTCCTTCGCTACAAGAACGCTTTCGTCTTCGTGAACCGGATGCGCGAGTCCAAATCGCAGGACCTACAGACGGGCAGGCCGTGGGAGACCATCACCTTGACCACCCTATATGCACACCGCCATATTTTCGAAGACCTCTTCAGGGAGGCCCACGCATATGCGGCCAAGTCACATGAGGGCAAGACGTCCATCTACAACAGCTGGGGCACCGAGTGGCGGCAGTTTGGCCAGCCTCGCCGGAAACGTCCGTTGGACTCGGTGATCCTCGATGAAGGAGTAAAGGAGCGGGTTGTCGAGGATGTCAAGGACTTCATCTCCAGCGCCAAGTGGTATCATGAGCGCGGGATTCCCTACAGACGCGGCTACCTGCTCTATGGGCCGCCAGGGACGGGGAAAAGCTCCTTTATCCAGGCGCTAGCCGGAGAGCTGGACTATGACATTGCCATCTTGAATCTGAGTGAGAGGGGTCTAACCGATGACCGGCTCAACCATCTTTTGACCATCGTCCCCAACCGGACACTGGTTCTCCTCGAGGATGTCGATGCGGCTTTCGCGAACCGCCGACTCCAGAGTGACGCAGACGGGTATCGCGGTGCAAATGTGACCTTCTCGGGACTTTTGAACGCTCTCGACGGCGTTGCCAGCGCTGAGGAACGCATCATCTTCCTTACCACCAATCACGTCGAGAGGCTCGATGAAGCTCTGGTGCGGCCTGGTCGCGTGGATATGACGGTCCGACTGGGTGAAGTGACTCGTTACCAGGTCGGTCACCTGTGGGATCGATTTTACGGCGAAATCGACGAGTCCGGTACCCACCGGCAAGCCTTCATCGACCGGCTACAGGAGCTGGGGCTGATTGAAGACGAGAACGGCTCTAAGCCGGACCGATCGAAGACAACGAGCACCGCCGCTCTCCAGGGATTATTCCTGTACAACAAGGGCAACATGGAAGGGGCCATAGCCATGGCTGAAGCTCTCACTCAAACCTTGCATAGCGAGGCCGCAGAAAGCGTGCCCCAATGAGGAGGTGGAATCTGTACTATAGAACCCTTATTTCTCCGATATTTTCTGTACATATACCATTATTACCTATAGATATTGCAGTGATCTAAAAGATGTGCAATGGAGCCTTGGAATTTTATTTTTTCCCCCCGAGTTGCAAACTGCCTGCCTGATCCAGGCCACTAAAGTCATACTCTCCTCTCTCTGACTTCACCACCATCGACTTCACTTTTAGACCAGACCTTGCACCCGGCAAAAATGCTGAAGAATATGTTAGTCACATCCCCGACTTGCTGTATCACCAGCCAATGGAGAAAATCAGCCATTCTCCAGCCTACTCCGCGGTTTGACCGCTGAAAAAAAATCTTGCCTCTGTCGGTGTGATGAAGGCCAGTGTCGTCACAAAATGGGCTTGGCAGGAAGGACAGGGGTATAGTTGCTTGCCTATTCTTTTTATTTGCATCATCAAATGGGCATGACTTGCTAATCCTGGATACCCCGGATAGATCAGACGTCAAATCAGCACCTGGCGCCAGCAGAGCACTTCAAGTCGCCGACCTTGAAGGATCTCATCAGCCCATGACTTTCGTATCCTTGACGCCCCCAGCGCCAATAGAAAAACGAATCACACATCGTTTCGGAGTACTTCGAAGCGCCCTCTTAAATAAAGCCTCCAGGTATCCAGGCCCGCTACCAATCAGCTGCGCAGAGGTCCTCTCGACGTTAAGCGCCGACCATCAAGAACGCGGATCCAGCCGCAAAATCAGCAATTCATGCATGATGCTGGCCGCCATTCACACCTACTGGGCCCTATCGTGCGTCAGAGAGCCCGATCCTTGACGCTGCCACGAGCTGACTGTCCGGGCAGAACCCTGCCAGGAAGTATCCTATAGAGGGTGAACAGCGGCAGGAAAGAAGTCTCTTATAGGATTTCAATCCCGTCTGGCTCGCTACCGTTTCCTGGGACTTTCTTCTCCTTTGAATTATTGTCTATTCTCGTTTTCCCTTTCTGTTCCCACTCCAGCTGTTCCTCGCTGGTTAATTCTTTTAATATTTTGGGGACTGGTGTTTGTCTTAGACCGCTTGTGGTGGTGGACAGCGAGAATCACCTCTAATAATATATATTTCCTTGCATCTACAACACAATGAGCCACTTCCAGCTTTTCCCTCCGATCTCTTCGGAGGCCAATCCGAAAGCAACGAATCCCTTTCGCAAAGGCAACAAGAAATTGACCATCAAAACGAAACCCTCCAGTCCAATCCATCTACAGGAGATTGCCACCAAGAGTCCTTCAAATACTGAAGCTGTCTTGTTTCGCATCATTGAAGATACGAAGAGCATTCCCCCCCCTCCGCCTCCCAAGCCTGAAGTTGGGCGATCGGACTCCTCGAGCTCGATTGAGATATCGTCTCCCGAGTCGAAATCATCCAAGATCACACGGGTCTCGAGTCGGAAAACGGTTCAATCGAGAGCATGGACTTCGCTATCGGAAGCGTCCAGCTCTTCTACTCTGGTGGACGGCCACAATGTCAACTACAAAACAGAGGTGCCTCCGCCGCCTCCGAAGTCCTCTCCGCCCATGCGCTCGATGTTTCCCCGCTACAACCCTAATCTTCCTCTTGACCAGCAAGAGTATCATCCCAGAGCCTCTGCAGATGCCCCGAGGCAAATTTCCATTGCCACTGCCAAAAGACCAGAGCGTCTGGCCATTTCGCCCCCGCCAGAGATTGACACTATGCTCGGGCCACGGACAGTCCCAGCAAGTGTGATGGACTTTCCGGCCGGCGCTCTGGAACCCGCCGGTGTTCGATACGCCTCCGAATATGAGCTTCGAACCTTGTGGGACGCTGCCAATGGCCAAAAGCCTCAGAATATGCCTCAGATGATCAACCTTCCCATGGCTCGGTGAGTGATACCACCATTTTGACCATGGATATTTCAAGAGAGCTAACATTAAGTTAAGAACGGAGGTTGCAACTTTCACCTTTGGCAATCCGGAAGCTCCTTTCTATAAGATGCAGACATATTCCACCAACGAGCTTTCTATTGCTCGATCCGACCCGTCGCAACCCAATCGAAGCGTTCCCGTCATGATGCTGAATCTCGAAGACAGAAGTCGGCGGGAAGCTCCCCATGATGGGCTAGTCGCAATGCTTCTTTCAAGGTTGGCGGCCATGCTGGCCATTGACCAAGCTGCAGAGCTGGCCAAGTTGCATGGACTCTCACCCTCGGAAGCTAGCGAGGTGGAAGAGAATGCCCTGAAGCGAGCCGCCGCACAGGAATCATGCCGTCTCTACTGGAACCGAGACGGAAGGCGTTATGAGTTGCAACACCCGGCGCTCGAGAAACAGCCACCTCCAGCCTTGATCGGGGCTGGCGGCGTCGCTCTGTCGCCGATGCGAACGAAGCAGCCTGGCAGGCTTCATATCACTGTATCGACACATTCAGGGAACACTGCTCCGCATCGGCCACCGTCCATCCTCATCACCACACCTGTGTCCGTTGACGCAATCGAGACTGCAGAACTGGCTGCCGGGACCCGAACCTCAACTCTTCCTCTGACGGACTACGATGAACCGCTAGCCTCCCTGGACTTTGCCACGATGACTCTTTCCATCTCCCCCGCCCTGATCGGTGAAACCATGCCTTCGCTCTATGCGATCGACTCGCTGGTCACCGCCATGCTTGCTGTGGCAGTTTCTGACGAAGCGACCAACCCCATCCTCGCCGACATGAAACTCCACACGGTCGAAGATAAAACCACTGGTCCAAAATACCAATCATTCTTCAAGACAACAGGTTCAAAGACTTTCACAGGCAAACTGGTGACTACCCTTGCGGAACGTGAAGACGCCATGGAAGGAAGCAAGCTTGTGTCGCAGGTGAAGGCCGCCAAGGACAGGGAGCAGCCCGAACCACGAAAAGGGTCCTTTTTCTCCAAGTGGTTCCGGTCCAAACCCAAGGAGAAAAAGAACAAAAAGCAGATCGTTGTCGAGGAATTCGATCTGGAAAAGTACGGCCGCTACAGCAGTGGCTCCTCGCGCGAAGGCGAGAAGCTCCCTGGAATTGTACGGGCTTTGCTACGGCTCCTGTTTTGGGGCTTGGACCTGCTTGTATTCAGCATTACACTTTTGACCAAGATCCTGGCATGGGTGCTAGTGAATGCCACGAGGTGTGTGACCAGCGAGAAATTCTAGAGCGACACACACCGTGGATCGGGAAACGTTGCCTCGCCGCCTCCATCTTTGAAATTGGATAATGGTTTGATGTTTGATGATTGTTATGGTCTGACTTTACGAATATTTTCCTTTTCCTCATTTTTTTTTTTGCAGGTTGGATATTTGGATACTGTCAGGAGAAGCCCTGCTGGACAGGCCTCTCTGAATCCACTGCTCTATGACTGTTTTGTGCAACTTATATATATACCCTTCTGTCTAATTCAACGCCACCTTCACACAATCAATTTTGATTGAGTCCCTTGATTAATTTGATCTGACAGACTTTGAGTCGATAAAGGCATGGTAAACAAAACAAACCAAAGAGGCAAAAATCAGAAGAAGGAGCCTACGGACATGCCATTCCACGGGATCAAGACTTTCACAAGTTTTGTCTCAAATCAATCGAAGTGACATTTTTTACTCCACCATCATAGACGATTAACTTTTGTTTTGCAGCGAGTCGATCCATCGAGGTAGGGATGGATGGGTCTATCCCGCCATATCATAGGCATGTTATAGTTCCAGGGGAAGTTGTGGCATTCCACACGGAAGATCATAGCACATCGGTGACAAGCTACATTCACATTCCAATGGCAGTGACATGGTTACTGGGGAGCAACTTTGCTTCCACACTTTCAGCGAGGATGAGGGGTTATAATTGCCGTTGATGCCGGCTTGGATCTCGTTGAACTGAAGGTCTTTTTCCACAGCTCTTTACTGTTCCTGATAGAGACTCTTACACTGGTGCTTGCATCAGTTATCCCTATTTGACAGTTGTGAAGTGGTCAAGGCCTCCATAAGAGTTTGGTTCTCAAACGTTCCCTGTGTTAAGTATCTCCCCTCTTGTTGTGGCTGAATACTATCATCGCTTGATTACGGTCTGTCTAGGTGCGGAGCGAGAAAAAGAAACGATCTTAGCATTCATTCAATATGCGTCAGATCATTCCAGCCGTCGTGTTTGCAGGGTCAGTTGCGCAACTCGCTGCTGGCCAATCTGTCACAGACTACTTCAAGTGCGCTGTAAGTAGCGTGTGGATCACTAAGTGTTTATTAGGGGCGAGTGGCTAACAGCGTTCAGGAGGGAATCATCGATGGCGTCAAGGTGCCGGAGTGTGAATCCGGGACGACGATTGACTGCTTCTGCAAGGACACGGAATCGATCAATAGTCTGGATGCCAGTGTTGTTAAGGATTGCACTGATGCCAATATCAGTAAGTTCGGGTATTGGCAGGAAGATGGTTGGGGAGATGCTAACAGATGGGTACAGCAACCAAAGATGTGCTCAAGTATCTCTGCGAGGGGACTCCAGAGGGGGTTTCGGCCAGGAAGGGAAGCCTGCCCATGATGCATGCCGAGAGGTCGGTTAGACAGTCCAGACAGAGGAATGCGAGAGCGTACGCTCCACCGCCCAAGTCTGCGCACTCCAGTTCCACAACTACAGAGCAGACCAGCACCTCGGTGGTGGAGGAGATCCAACCCACATCGGCCGCTTCCAACGCGCCGGGTGTGGGAGTTCCTGGATCATTGTCCTCTGATTACCATGCCCCGGTGCAGGTTGTCAGCCAGTCTTCCTCTACTTTGAGAGAGGATGTGTTCACTTCCACATCGACCTCGTACCACACCCGCGTGGTGGAAGAGCCTTCCCCGGCTGCAACAGAGGAGACGGTCACTACTACCATGACTTCGTATCACAAGGTCTTGGTGTACGTGGAGCCTACCCCTGCGAGTGTGCAAAGCTCCTCTTCAGCTGCCAAGCAGCCACCCAGTGCCCCAGCCGTACACTCAGTTCAAGTTGTCCAGTCTGCGGTGCCAACCCCCAAGGTTGCCACAATCTCTACCCCTGCGACGCCATCGTCCAGTGCGCAGGTAGCTCACGGTATTGAGAGTACAGGCGTTGTCCAAAGCGTCAACACGATTTACGTGACTGTCACAGAAACGGAAACGGCTTGCACATGTGCAGCTGATGTTCCTACCGGCCTGGTTGGAGATTCCACCCCGGTCCCCTCCGCGACCAGCCATGCTCCCGTTGTTGTCCAATTTTCCCCGAGCGTGCACCTTGGCCTGTCTTCCTCCGGTCTACTCAACAACCTCCTGCAGGCGGCATCCACCCCCACGGTTGTGTACGAGGAGCATGCTGCAACGTCTGTCCCGGGCGGGTCTGGAGGTCACGGCTCATCAAGTGTTTTCGCTGGCTCTCAGAGCGTTGCTACCTCAACCGTTGTGGTTGAGCATCTGGTCCACAAATCCTCTGCCCCGGTCGAATCTGGTTTGCCCTCCTTCAACCGTGCTGTGACATCTACCCCTGTGGCCGCACACCAGTTCGCGACCCAGGAGGTCGTCGTTCAGCCCAGCCCTTCCACCGTCTCAGCTCCCGCTTCCAACCTGCATGGCCTGGCCTCATCTACCAGTGAGCAGGGTGTACACTCGGCTCCCACCACGGGAGCTGACCCCGTGCGAGCTTCTGCCCCGGCACCTATCTACTCTCAGTCAATCGCCACGGTCGTCGGTACGGAGACTTTGAGAGCACCAGGGCCTTCTGGTCTTGGGAACGCTCAGGGTCTATCTTCTGTCCATCACGGAGCCCCCCTGACTGCCGTCGATGCTGTTCGTCCGTCGGCGTCCGCCCCGGCACCCGTCCACAGCGCCAAGGCTACTGCCCTGGTTGGTGTTGATCCTGTCCGTATCACGCGTCCTGCCCCCCGCGGTCTTCAAGATGCTGGAGCCTATTCGCCTGATGTTGTCGAAGAGAACGCACCCGTTTCCTCCGCCGCTGTCTCTGCCTCGGCTGAGGCCGCCCCGTCTTCCGTGAACCACCTGCTGCATGCTACTCCTTCCGTGGAAGTTGATAATACCACTCCGTCCTCGTCAGCCGCCTCGACTAGCGGAATTGAGACTTCTTCTTCTGCTGCTTCTTCATCAGTTGCCTCTCCTTCGGCGTCTTCCCATCTCCTACATGGATCGGCGATCATCCTGCACGCCTCGTCTTCCTCTGCGGCCAACGGACTCCTCCACCCGGCCACCTCGACGCACACCGCTAACGCTCACCTCCACGGTTCTGGCGATGGCGTGGATGGCAAGGATAAGAGCAAGGGGGGTGATGACGACGATTCCAAGGACGACGGCTCCACTACCAGCGACGACAACGACAACGGGACCGGCGACGACCTCGACGATTCGTCTTCGTCTGCAAGCCCGGCTCCCGACTCTACTCGGCTCGTTAATGGAGCCGTCGAGGGCGCTGAAGCTCCATCTAGCGCCGTCGCTGCCTACAGCACTCCGTCTTCTTCGTCGCATGGCAAGGCCAACCCCTTCACCGCGTTCGAGGGTCGTGCCGTCCACCAGCAGCTTCCGCAAGGTCTAGTCGTCCTCGCCATCGCAGCCTTGATGGCCGTCATGGCTGTCTTCTGATCAGATCGTGGTCGATACCTGGAGCAGGTTCTTCTTGTTTGCTGTTTTTCTTTTTTCTTAAAAGACTGCTTATATTTATGTGTGGAGTGATCGCTTTCTTGTCTACACTGCGGTGTCATTTGCAAATACGGTTGGAATTGTGTCTGGGCCTTGGATCAAGTATAGTGTTTCTCTTCAGTGACTGTTTTGTTTTGCAATCGTTGGATGTGTGTTTTCAATGATATCATGTACCTTAGAACAATTCAATTAGATTATCCTCATTATCCATATATTTCACTATTATGCAATGAAGTACCTTCCATTGCTTTCATATTAAAGAGTTGTAATAAATAAATAATACATATTCTCCGCACCGCCACCTTAAGCATGGATAGCCTGCTGCACGCGCGGATACAAATGAATCAACTGGTTATAGAGGTCTGAGTGGTCCCTGATCATGACCTCCGGGTCCCATCCCATGGCCACGAAGATGGTATCGACCCCGCTTCCGACGGGGGTCATGAAGATCTGGCAGATCTGGAGGCCGATGACAAAGGCAAACGCCATGATCACGGCCGTAAAGTCGCCGTTTGAATTGTAGCTCGGGTTCGTGAACTGCAGATAAAGATACGCGAGCAGGGCGCAGACGTACGAGACGAACACGGAGCCCATGGTGATCACGGGTCCGATCAGGCAGTCATTGACTAGGGCGTCGAGCCCGCGATCCTTCATCATCGTCCATGTATCTTTCGCGGCGGGGATGTAGGCTTTACCGTACAGGGCGATATGGCAGAAGGCGTAGCGGTTAAAGAAAGTGACGAGCCAATCCAGCAGGGAGATGAAGCAGCCCAGGATACAGAAGAAGATGCTGCCGATGATGTTCCCCTCGGCGGCCTCGTGCTGCTGCGCGACGGAACACGCCTGCCGCAGCATGTTGATGATCGCGATGATCAAACTGCCGAAACTGATGCTGCCGAACGAGTACGTCGTCGCCCGTCGGAAGGCCCCCCGCGTGGCACCACGGGGCATACCCCCGGGGGAGCCGCTGAAAAAATACCATGATCCGTAGACGCCCGCGATGGTGGTATGAATAGTGTTCTTCAACCACTCGCTCAGCCAGTACATCGCAAAGGTCACATACACGACCAGCCCGATGACTTTCGCCGAGCTGCAGGACCCGTTACACGCCGGGTTTGTTGTCCCCGAGCTGCTGGGTTCGTAGGCGACATAGATTGAGACCAAGGTCACGGAGAACCAGGCCGAGAACGCGACGGCGACGATCCCGCCCAGCGCCGACACAAGGAAGACATGGCCGTGGTAGCGGGCCACATCCATCGCGGTCTGGAGCATCAAGGCGCTAAAGGGGATACGGGGGATCCAGCTGATGAAACAGATGATGGCGAACACGCCGAACAGCAGAAACACGATGCCACCTCCATACTGTCCTCGAGCGATGTAGTAGATCCCCGTCGCAAGGGCAAAGACGATGTTGAGAATACCCGTCACCCAGATGAACAGTTTGGTGAAGTATCGCGCGCCGAGGAAATACGCCCACGAGAACGCGAGGGCCACACACAGCACAAACACAAACAGGACTAGCGTATTGGTATCCAGCGAGAAGTCATTGGACCCGCCGTAGATGCCACCGCCACTGAAGCCTTTGTAACTGGCGTATTTGTTGATCGCGATGCCCGAGACGACGACGTATCCCAGGAAAACAGCAATCAACTACACGATATCAGCACAACGCGACAAGACAAGAGAATAAGCCGCAGAGAGAAAAATTCCCTACCAGGATACCGGCCCAAATGTCATTGAATTTGGGCCTCTCAACCTTGAAGGCCTGGTTGAAGTCATTGGCGTTCTGGTTCTGGTTGTAGTTCGGTTGATACGGTGGCGGCGCCTTGGGCTCTGGAGCTCCCGGGTGATACTGGCCATTACCATTCGCACTCTGGTTGTAATCGCTGTAACCAGACTGGCGCGCAGGCTGGACAGTTGGTACAGGCCGGGGATCCTCAAAGGCCTGGTTCTGATTGTAATAGCTAGCTGCCTGTCCGCTCATGGCTACGGGTTCAAACCAGATGGATCAACGGATTATCGTGCCAAATTCGACAGAGCAAAAGCGAGGTGCGATATAATGGTGTGCGCTTTAGCCCTTGGTGGAATGCAGAAGAGGGAAGATACGCGCTGGAGGCGAGGAATGAGGAATGCAGCCTCCCCTTCCTTGCTTTCCGCATCCGGGGAGCTGTTGCTGTGATAGCTGGAAGTGCATCACCATCGCAGATCGGCCCGGAAAGACTAACCATAGCGTCATCGAGGTTGACGATCAGAAGAAGCAAAGCCAATGAACGATCGATCCTCCCACGGAAGGGTTACTTTTATGTTTTTTTTTCTGGGTCTGGGAAGCTGGGGGATCCGTTCCAAAGATACGCTTAGACTGGAACGTCCCCTAAAAGCCAGGTTCCAAGAAGTAATCATATCAATAGTGAGGATATCTTGTCAATCAATATTCAAGTTGTGTCGCTAGTTTAAATGCAAGGCAACAAACAGGTTTTTTTTTTTTTTTTTTTTGGTGCTCGAGCATCATAAAAATTAAGTTGAAGAGTCTCTCATATTCTGTACAAGGCTGTCCACGAAGTGGTGAACAAGCTAAAGGAGACTAAATTCCAAGAAGAGGGTTTTCCAAACTCCTTCCATTCCATGAAATTAAGGGTATAAACATTAGGAGGGTCGTTGTGTACACTGGTTTTGATATTTTCGGATGTCATCGAAAGGCGTGCTGTCTCATATGTCGCCAACCTCCAGCGACACTGCGCTCCGCACCAGGGACAGGTGTTCTGGTTCGCGAGGGCCACTCCTCGTTCGCGACTGCAAGCCCTTTTTGCGCGGTGAGGGATCTTCTCATCTTTTCCTGGCGTACCGCCGTCCGCCGTGCACTCCGCAGCTGTTCGATCTTTGCTTGGCCGACACGGTTTCGCCGGACAAAGGTGTCGTCCAACAGCGTGTTTGCGTCGAGCAGTTTCTTGGGGACTGTCTGAACCACCTGGAAGACTTCCATCGGGTCCGAGACGGCAAGGATGTCCTTTTCACAGGCTTTGAAGATGGCCAACGAGACGCGGAAAAAGGTCTTTGAGCCCTCATAGAAGAAAACATCCCAGACTCGCAGCGTTGTTTCCAGAGGCAAACTGCCAATGAACAACGACATCAGCCAGTTGGTGAGGCCCAGAGTGATGTCCGGCAAGCGAGTGTCAACAGTGAAAGGCGGAAGCTTTCCCCGCGCGTTTGTCGGGCCGGTGGTTGCAATTTTCGCGAAAAGATGCGGTAATGTCTCCTTGAGCAAAACCATTAGGGTCCAGAGGTCCACATTGGCGCCCTCCAGACTAATCTCGTGCGTGCCGGGAAGATAGGCGGATGTGATGAGATGAAGCATCCAGAATGCCTTTTCTTCTGGGAGAAATAAAAGCAAGAGGCCCGTGATGAAGTTGAGCGACTGGGTATACCCGATCTTTGGGCTATGGAGCGCGAATGCATAAAGGACTCGCCGAAGCGACCGGATCATCTGGGTCTCGACGGTGATAGATCCATGCTTTGGATTACTGCTACCCGAGTTAGGAGCGTCTTTGGCCATTTCGGGTTTGAAATGAACGTTGTCAGGGAAGGTCCGATGCAGATCCCGCTCGATATGCTCCTTGTCATCATTACTGGGCGACTCCATGGCACGCTTCACCAACTCGTCATAAAGGCCCATGTTCCGATTCAGAAGTTCGTAGCCGCCGGCGTAGAAGAACCACGCAGCGCCGCGGTACTCATACGGGATACCTTTTCGGATGAATCGCTTCACTTTGTTCGATTTGGGCGGAAAGACTGTGGGATCGGACGTGTTGAGGCCATGCTCCTGGAGCAACTTGATCCATTTCGTCTTGGAGCTCGCTGTGAACTGGTTATACTGACGGTTCCATCCTTCATACTGATCCAATGTGATGTAAAGGGTGGTTTTGCGAAACCCGTAGCGGTCATGATTATCCGTTCCGGGCAAGAAACCCGGCGGCACCATACCTGGAACAATGATTGTGGTCTCTTGCGGGGGTTCATCCTGGTTGATTGGAGACATCGATACCGGCTCTGGGAGGTCTTGTGGCAAAGGAGGCACAGGAGGAAGATCCTCAACAGCTTCGATCTGCGGTGAATGTTCATCGGAGGTGTACCCATCGTCGTCGTCATCATCCTCACCATTGTTGACCGGTACTTCAGCCGAGTGGACGGGGGCGATGGTCTGGGTTTTGAGGAATTTGTCGCACTCCGGGGAGGCCGGTTCTTCCGTCACGTCGCTGAAGCCGTCCAGATACATAGAAATGGCGTCTTCGACACTCATCCCACCGTCTCGATCGCTGGGACCATCCGGCGTGTCTGGAGACAGATCCGTGATTGAACTGCTCTTGGTCAGAACACTACTGCGCTCGGTCCCGCTGGTATGTTCGATGCTCGATCTCGACGTCATGGCAGAGTTCAAGCTAGACCGGAGAACATCTTCACCCTCCGCGACACCACCGTGATATGGAAAACGTGGAGGAGGCAGCCCCTGGCCACCAGTATCGTTTTGACGGCGATCGTTATAGTGGGGGCCCTTGGGCCTGCGCGTGTACAATCGGGACGTAGAGTTTGATATTCGAAGCCCAGGCTTCAGTGGGGGGACCTTCCGATGGTTCTGTCGGTCGAAGCCACCGTGTTGCTCATTCGGGGGACGTCGCGGATCCTGATCTGCGAAATGAGGGGGGAAGGTAGGCGCGCGATATTGCGGTGTGGCCCGAAACGGCTCGCCGCCACCACCACCACCAAAGTCATTGCGTGGCGAAGGAGGCGGTCGAGAAGGGTCATGTGGATGGAAATACGGCGGCCCCCCTCGAGGCGAACGCGGAGGAGCGCCTGCGGGAAAGAGACGAGGGGATCTTTGCGCCGGTAGACCTAGATGAGGCGTCAGGCCTGGCGCATCGGCCCTGAGAAAGTCGAGACGTGGCGGCTGCGCGACTCTGCGACGACTGGCAAGATCAAGGTCGCCCGAAACAGGCGGGGATCGAGAACCACCATTTTCCGTGACCATCGCCACGAGATAGAATCCAGCACCCGTTAAACATTGGTTTGTTGACTGATGGCCGAT